TAAGACTTCTAGAATATAGCCGATAGGACTATAAAATACCCTTAAAGCCTAGAAGCGAACCCCGTTTTTATAAGATATACTTACTTAACGAAGAAAAAATAAAAGCCCTTAATAAATATCTTATAGAAAACGAAAGAAAAGGATATATTCGACTATTAACCTTATCTATAAGATTTCTAATCCTATTTATACTAAAGAAAAATAGAAAACTTAGGTTATATATAGATTATCGATAGCTTAATAATATTACGATTAAGAACCGATATTTACTACCCTTAATTACGGAATTATAGGATAAGCTTTATAGCGCCTAGTAGTTTATTACTTTAGACCTTAAAGGAGCCTATAACCTAATCTATATTAAGGAAGGCGAAAAATAGAAAATAGCCTTCTAAACGAAACGAGGACTCTATAAGTACTTAGTTATACTATTTAGCTTAATTAATATACCTATTAGTTTCTAGATAATAATTAATAACGTACTATAAGAATACCTTAATATCTTTATCGTAGTATATCTCAATAATATCCTTATCTTCTTAAAGACCCTCGAAAAGCATTAAGGATATATCTATAAGATCTTATAGAAACTTAAAAAAGCAAACCTCCTTATCGAAGTAAAAAAATACGAATTCTATAAACGAAAAGTTAAGTTCCTTAAATACGAAATTATACCTAGATTTATCGGTATAAACCTAGATAAAATTAAGGCAATTAGAGATTAGCTACCTTTAATAAACGTTAAAGAAGTATAAGCCTTCCTTAGCTTTATAAACTTCTACTAACGATATATTAAAAACTTTAGAGGTATCGGAATCCCTTTAACTAACCTAATAAAGAAAGACTAACCTTTTATCTAAAGCAATAAGGAATAAAAAGTATTTAATACTATTAAGAATAAGATATTAAAAGAACTTATTTACGCCTTATTAAACCTATTAAAACCATTTAAAGTTAAAACCGATGCTTTAGACTAGGCATTTAAAGGATAATTAATATAATAAGATAAATAAGGATGACTATACCTTATTGCCTTTTACTTAAAGAAGCTTAATAGACTAGTACTTAATTACCTAATCTACAATAAGGAACTTATAGCTATTATTAAAGCATTTAAAGAATAGAAATATTACTTAAGTAATATAATTAAGATAGTTAAGGTTTATATTAACTATAAGAATCTAACTAGCTTTACGATAATAAAGGAGCTAAATAAGCGATAAGTTAGATAGTATAAATTCCTATCGGAATTTAACTTTAAGGTTATCTATCGAAAGGGTAGCGAGAATAGATAAGTTAATGCCCTTAGCTACCGAGAAGACCTTAAACTACCGATAAAAGTATAAAGGGCCGCAATTCTATAAGAAACTAGCTAGGGAACTTTATAATTAAGTAGCTAATAAGTTAATATAATATAGAAGGTCGAACTTAACTAAGAGTAGATCTAGCGTATTAAACGAGCCTATAAACGCAATAAACTCGCTAGTAATTAAGAAACGAACTTAATATATTTAAAAGAATAGGATACGATCCTATTTAATAGCTACTATTATATTCCTAAGGTACTATAAGACGAACTCATTAAAGAATTCTATAAATATCTATTATATAAATACTAAGGGATTTATAAAACCCTTATAAAGTTACGATAAACCTAAGACTTCCTTAAGTTAAGAAAGACGACTTAAAGAATCGTTAAAGAATACGATATCTATAATAAAGTAAAGGCGAATCGATATATACCTTATAGATAGCTTTAGCCAATCTTACTACTAGATAAAGTATAGTATATAATCGCAATAGACTTTATCGTTAAATTACCTTTATTTAAAGAACTAATAACTAATGCCGTTTTCGATAGTATCCTAGTCGTTACGAAAAAACTCATAAAGTACGCTTACTTTATACTATATAAAGAGTTAAGTATAGCTAAAGATATCGCCTTTATATTCTTAAAAATTATAATTAGCTAATATAAGCTATTAAAAAGGATTATTATAAATAGAGATAAGCTATTTATATTAAAGTTTTAGATAAGTTTAATATAGTAACTAAGGATTAAGCATTCCTTATTAACTATATTTTACCTATAAATAGATAGATAGATAGAACGACTAAACTAGATACTTAAATAATATCTACGATCTTACGTTAATTATAACTAAGATAATTAAGTAGAACTATTACTTATAGTATAATAGGCTTATAATAGCTTAGATAATAAGGCGATTAAAATAATGCTATTTAAAGTAAACTATAAATATAACCCTATAATTATAGTTTAATAGCTAGAAATTAATATACTATAAGTAACGAAAACGGCTATATCGCTTTAATAAATATACGCTTATTTATAGTAAGAATAGATTTTCCTTTAAAATAGAATAAAGCATTACGCTAACTAAAAGAGATTAAAAGGACTAACTCTAAAGGAAGGGGATAAAGTATATCTCTTTCGACGAAATATTAAAATAAAACGACTTAACGAAAAGCTCGACTAGAAGAAACTTAAACTATTTAAGATCTAAAAGAAACTATTAAAAGTTAACTATAAACTATCTCTACCTTAAGGAATAAGGATATACCCTATTTTTTATATCTCATTATTAGAGCTAGCACTAAAGAAAGCAATACTCGAAATAAATATCGAAATTAAAGAACTATAGGAATATAACGTTAAATAAATACTAGACTCGCAAAGAATAATATAAAGAATAGAGTATTATATTAAGTAAGAAAGATATAATTATACGGAAAATACTTAAGAACCTAAGTCGTATTTAGAGAAGTACCCCTAGTTAATATAGCGGTATTACTAAGAGCGATACTTAAGGACTCGCTAATATCTAATAAAGGACTAACGTCCTAAAATTCGGAACTAAAGCTAAGGGCCTCCTAATCTACCTCATTCGAAACACCCGCTACTTAAAGATCTTTAACTACTTAATACTTATAAGCCTTTAAAGCTAGAGTTATGCTATCCTCTTCATTAAGCTTATATATACCCTATTAAAATAACTCGAAACTCCGCTCCTCGGTTTTCCGCTAGATCTTATAAATATAGGATAAGTAGCTTATAGTAATAGATAACTACTCTTATAAGGCAAATAGCGCATCCTTAGCGGCCTCCTTATCCTTCTTTAGCTTCTCTTAAGAAGCTATTAACTAGGAAACTATAGATAAAATCAATAAGACTTAAAAAGGGCTAGAGTAAGTAATATATATAAGATAAAGCGATTAGTACCCTATCGTAAGAACGACCTCGCTAGGTATATTTACTATAGCGAGAAGACTTCTTGACTATATAATAAGACTTATTATTTCGAAAATAATAGGTATAAGGTATATTAGCGTTATAGCCCTAATCGGCAATAATCGATATAAGCGTTAAGCATTCTAATCGTTTATAGAGGCGCGTCTTCTCTACCCGGCTCGATATAGTATTAATATCGTAGAAAGCGGGGAAAGAAGTAGAGATACTTACGCATAATCTAAGGGGCGGGTAGCTAACTTTAAGGGACCTTAAGGATAAGAACTTAAGAAAGAGGGGAATAATATTATAGACTAACGAGTAGCTACTAAGCTAGCTAAGGTAGACTTAATATAAGAGGACTAAGCTATAAGGGATAGCGCCTAACTAACTATCTTAGAAATAGAATATTACGTAATTAAGTATATAATAATCGGGAGCGTAAGATTACTAAGAGTACTATAATCTAAGCGCTTTACGATTTAAGGAGCGTAAGATTACTTAAAGCGATATACTTCCTATAATCTAACGCTTTAAGGTAAGATTAATAAAGAGCTAGATAGATATATATACTATAGTCACTACCTAGAGTAGATAGCTAGATCTTTAGTAATTAATCTAAGTATTTACTTAAATAAGAAGTCTTTAAAGCTTCTTAATAGACTCTTATTAAATTGTTTATTACTTATTAAACCTAGCTTACCTCTTAAGTAATAGTAAACCTTAGGACCTTACTTAAGCTCCGTTATATATACTATATATAGGGGTATTATAGTAAGGCAGAGAAGATCTACTTAGACGTACTGGCGCTACGGAGCGACCTATTAAGCGATAAGCATTACGTTACGATCTGAACTATAGTAGAGCTGCTTATAACTTACTATATATAAGGGAGATACGATAAGGCAAAGAAGATATCGGTAACTATATTAACGCTTTAGTGCGATATTCTTAGCGAGAAGTATCTTAATACTATCTAGAGTATAGTAGAGCTAGCTAAGATATACTATATATAAGGGAGATATAATAATATAAAGAAGATTAAAGTAGATATACTTAAGCTATATTATAACGTTCTTAACGAGAAGTATTTTAATACTATCTAGAGTATAGTAAAGCTAGCTATAATATATTATATATAAAGGAGATATAATAATATAGAGAAGATCGAAGTAAATATATTAATGCTATAATATAATATTCTTAGCGAAAAGTATCTCGATATAATATAGAGTATAGTAAGTTTATCTATAATATATTATATAAAGAAGATATAATAATATAAAAAAGATTAAAGTAAATATATTAATATTATATTATAATATTCTTAGCAAAAAGTATCTCGATATTATTTAGAGTATAGTAAAGCTAGCTATAATATATTATATATAAAGGAGATATAATAATATAAAGAAGATCGAAGTAAATATATTAATATTATAATATAATATTCTTAATAAAAAGTATTTTAATATAATATAAAGTATAGTAAGTTTATCTATAATATATTATATATAAAGGAGATATAATAATATAAAGAAGATATATATAAATATAATAGTACTATAACGTAATATTCTTAGCTAAAAGTATCTTAATACTATTTAAAGTATAATAAAGCTAGCTATAATATACTATATATAAAAGAGATATAATAATATAGAGAAGATATATATAAATATATTAATGCTATAGCGTAATATTCTTAATGAAAAGCATCCCGATACGATCCGGAGTATAGCAGATCTCGCTATAATATTCTATATATAAGGGAGATACGATAAGGCGGTGCTATATTTAAAGTCATATCTCCAGTGGGAACTTGCCGAATAATGAAAAAAGAGCTGCAAGCCGCCGCATCCTTGCTCTCTGCGGTCTGGCCACCATCCGGGCAGGTGGTGTACGCCTGGGTCTGAGGGACCGTCGGATCTAGGCTGCCCACTCCATGGTGCGCTATGCCGTCGCCTGACCCCGCTTCGTCCAACCATGAAAGACTGGATAGCATGCTAATTGAGGAGCCATCTCCAGAGTCACGAGGCGATCGTGAATCAAGAGATGATGAGAGTCATCAAGGATTATTGAGAGGAAAGAAGAGGGAAGACAAAGGGGAGTCGGAGGGGCAAACAGCGCGACATACCGCTGGGGGAAGAGGCGTATTAATAGCCGGGCGCGCATCCGGGCTTCCTACTTGACCGCCCGAATGACTGGCGAAGGAGCACGCAGGCGAGGCAGCCGCTTCTCCGTGGAAACAGCAGTCGGCACAAGCCTGGTTGAGAGCTGACTCCGCTATGGCGGATGCCGGGCGGAGGAGAGTTGGTCGCAAGGTTATCATATGCGACGCCTCGTATCACCGATCAAGCGCCTAGCCGAACCCCGGTCACGGCAGCGACCTCTCAGTCCAAGTTAGCCAGCATTACTTAATGATAAGCTTATAACGCGCATTGCACTAATATATAATCGTCGTCCGCTATGGCATTATAGGTAGAATCGTCCGATCGGTACGTTAGATCCGTCCGCGGCATATAACGTATCCTTTATACTACTAAAATAGGCCTTAGTTAGTCGTTGCCCTTTACCGTATAGTATATTCGCCCGAGGAGTATCTATCGATACCGAGAAGGGGGATAGAGTTAGATAGAATCGAAATTAGGAGAGTCGGGTAGGTAGCGGTTTATCGAATATTTTATATAACTAACCTCTAGATATCTCTATATAATAACGCTCGGTTAAATTAAGTAGGCGTGCCTCATTCGATAGGAAGCTTGTAAATGGATTATTGATGCGCGCTAAGATAAGGTTAGCGACGGTAGGATCGTAAGCGTATCTTAATGCGGATAGTTAAGGGAGTCGCGGTACCGTTTGCGACGCGAGGACTAATGGCGTATAGGCATATAGGGTGACTGCTAGCCGCCCCTCCTCTTGCGCTATAGCGATGCCTGGCTCGCCTAGGTCGCGCGACCACACCCGCATGGCTCACCCGGCTCACCTAAAGTCGCGCGATTGGCCGGAGCGCCGGAGCTACTGGCGCATCTGCCACGGAGTCCCCCCTACTCGCAGATTGACAACCTTCAGCGCGAATGCTTTGCATTGAAGACGTTCATCCTTACTTTGAAGAACAGCTCCCAGGAAGAGCGTCAGTACCTTCTTTCGGCCGCAATTGGCGACGACGGGAAAGTCACCGTTCCGGATCTTGCGCAACATGGTACTCACCACGAGGTTACATTTGGAGGCTCTGCTGTTAGCAATGCGGCAAACATCCTGGAGCGAGCGGGAGGCAATGTCGACACTCCGAACACTTCCTCGGAAGACGAGGTTGGCATTGGCCACTTCATATCATTGGACGAGAACGGTAAACCGAACAGCTTTGGTCCCTCTTCAGCTCTGCACGTTCCGTCACAAAGCGAAAGCGCCCAGTCGCTTCCTCACCCTATCAACTTCCGATTGCCAGAGGCGGAGATTATACAGCATAGGCTCATAGCGAACGCTGCTCTTGCCCGTCAGATGGAACACAACATAGCCAGTCTTTCTTCCATCGATGGCACGAGTACAGACATTGGGCTCCAGCTCCTCGACCTGCACTGGACACGACAGCACCATACATTTCTCTTGACCTATCGGCCCGCTATAATGCGCGATCTCCGGACCTCTGGTCCGTACGCGTCCTCTTTCCTCGTCAATGCCATCTTTGCGTGCTCCAGCAAATACTCAAGCCTGCCCGACATCAGGGATGATCCAAATGATCCTTCAACCGCTGGCCGACAATTCTTCCGCAAATGCGATGAATTGCTAGCCCGAGACTCGCTTCTTACTCTCCCGACACTGCCAACGGTCGTGGGACTGTTGTTGCTCGGCTCAACATTCAATTCCCGCGGGGAGACTTCCAAGGGATGGCTATATACTGGCTATGCTCTCCGAATGGTGTATGACCTCGGTCTACACCTTGATCCACAGCAAACCACGACCGACGCTGAAGACATTGAGATTCGTCGTCGCGTATATTGGGGAGCCTTTGTGTGTGACAAGCTCCAAAGTTTGTACTTGGGCCGCCCAGTGGCTTTGCATCTTTGGGACTCCCAAGTTTCACTAGACTTTCACGACCTCTACGAGGAAAATGAGCGCCTCCAGCTCCGTACCAATCCCGACCTGACCACATCCCATGGCGAAAGCAGCCCCAACATCCTTCTCTACTCTGTTTCAACTTTCCAGCAGCTTTGCTCCCTATCAAAGATCATGGCCACGATCATCAGCCGCTTCTATATCGTCCGCACGACGTTTTCGAACGCCCAAAGAAGCCTGGAGCAAGTCGACCAAGCTTTGCAACAGTGGAAAAATGACCTATCCTCAGAGCTTGACTTCCAGCCTTGGCTGTCCACGCCGCCAAAAAATCCGGCACCAAATGTCATGCTGTTGCATAGCTTGTATTACACTCTGATCATTTTGGTTCACCGCCCGTTCATCTCTGATGGACACCTGAGGTCAACCTCGCAGCCACTTCAATCTTGGGAACGTTGCACAGTAGCAACCCGGCGCATCACAACAATTGCGACGGCTTACAGGACAGCATTTGGGCTCTTCAATGGCCCTTATCTGCTTGGATATACTGTCTACGTTGCATGCACCATACATGTGCGAAACGCTGCTTCTGATGCCCAGTCCAGCCATGACCACGCGTCTCTTCTCGCAACTGGACTCAAATGCCTCGATGAGCTGTGCGTGCCAAACCCAGGTGTTGCTAGGCCGGCAAGAGTCATTCGCAAGTTGATTGAAGTGAACAATGTCAATCTCATAAGCCCCGGTAAGGCTCCCGTCCACACCACAACATGCCTAAGATGTGATATGCTGCTGACAGGCGGGCGCGGCCAACAGATGACGTGATAGCTGTAGATCAAACTACGCCAAGGCTCGATCTCGACATGGAAGCCATTATGAGCATGTTTCCACTAACAAATGGCCTGGACGGGGAGATGGACGCCGCCTGCCGAAGAAGCCCGTATGAGGAAGTACCATATGATCCTCTCTTTGGGTTGATGGAAACGCAGATGGGTACCTTTATCGAAGATCTGTGAAGCTCCAAAAACGTTTTGGGGATCCGAATGATGCAGACGTAATCGCCAAGAATGCTCCCACGGGCAAAGAGGCTAGTCTTGGGGTTTCCTGTTTTTGTTACGTGCACGACACCTGATTCCATTCCAGAGATGTAATGGGCGGGGCATTCTCCCCCTGGCTCAGTCGTAACGAGGCCGAACAGCAGAGATGCCGCTCGAAGCGGGAGCTGAAAAGAGTCTGCACAGCCTCACCAACATGAGACCAGCGTGACAACAACACGTTACGATCCGCGCCTAACAGGGACGGACGGCAACAATTAGGAACACCATCAAGCCATATGACCTCTACGCAGCCCATCACTAGGCTATACTTGTCGTGCCGTTAGTCCGTCGTAGGAGCAGACGAGACCCGGAAGCGCATAAATCCGCGATGCTAGCGATACCCCTGGCGATCCTGGGGTTTCAGGCGCTTCCTTTGCTCATGTGCCGCAAGCCCATCATCAGACAAACACCTGCAGCGGGGCTCTTTTGAGCTGAAACTGATGACATGCTGTGCGGTCTTACCCTTGTCTTGTAGCCTTATTCCTCACTTCGATGTGGGCGAAACGGCAATGCCAAGCTTTAATGTTGATCATCGGCCGGTGGATTACATGTACTTCGTACGCTAAGCCCGCAAACCTACTCGTCTCAACCAGAAAGCTTTTACGGAGAGTAAATTCTAACGATGCGCAACGATGCAATTTGCGCGACACATGAATCCTGCGTTGTATTTGTCTGGGTCACTAGGGTTCAGCTTGTAAGAGTTCTCGTCATGTTGATGCGCCAGCTCACCCCACGCCTAGTCACTAGTCAGGGTAGGCTGCGGAATGCGACCGAGGGCGGGGATGTGACACTGGCGGTCGCCCGCCCCAGGTTAGAGTTTCTAAAGTGGAAGCAGTTCCTGACTGACAGCTCCGTTGCTTCGTATGGCGGGATTGGCGCCTTGACTGGGATGGGCGGCAGTCGTCAAACCTGCCATCCCGCTCACAGCCCCTGCCCCTGAGACCTGCGAATCGCTGCGGCAGACCGGCTGCGCTACCAGCCGAGTGTGGCTGACATCGAGTCTGTTACAGCGCGCTGCCATCCCGACTTTGCCGTCCCGACTTTCCGTCTCGAACGAGTCAATGCCCTTGTTTCGATGCGTTTGGCGGGATAGAGAAGCATTGAGTTGGCGCTGGCAGCTTGCAGCTCGACGAGTACAAAAGAGCCGGCATCGTCGCTCTTGGCATCCAATACCCAGCACGCCATCAAGACAACTACAAAGCTCACTCACTACAACATTTTTCGCCTTCAATTCATCACGCAGCGGCCGCTTTAGACAACCGACATCATGAAGATCTCCAGCGCGGCATTCCTCCTCACCCTTCTCACCAGCGCGCTGGCCGCGCCTCATGAGGCTGGACCTCCTACCGACTCAAACAAGCGCGATGTCGCCGCCAGAGGCTTCGAGGAGTCCGGGGCCCAGGCTGTTGGCGTCAGGCACGTCGACGACGCGGCCAGTCTCGAAGAACGCGGGCTCGACTTCGAGGGCGATGAGCTAGAGGCGCGGGCCGCGAAGAAGGCCAAGGGCAAGAAGAAGGCAAAGGGCAAGGCGAAGAAGGCGGCCAAGAAGAATGCCAAGGCAAAGAAGGCGAAGAAGGCTAAGAAGGCTAAGAAGGCGGCAAAGGCTGCAGCGACTACCACTGCTGCGGCCAGGGTCACGGACGCCAACGATGCACCGGGCATTGTCTAGATTGATGCAGAATTGAGTGTTGTGCCTATGATCTTGTCTCGCGTGCTGCGCGCGCCTGAGTTAGCCTAGACTGCATCTCGTTGTAGCGACCAAATGTCAATTCTATAAAATGGAGCACTGCCGGGGCGTGAACCGAAAATGTGATGCTGGACAACCTACTGCGCAGGCATTTCAATCCAGGAACAAGGCGCCGCCAGGCTACTCTGCGCAGAGGCCGCCCCCGGGCTGTTTCCAAAGTTAGAACACTCCCCTGTCCATTTGGCCGTGTCACCAGTCACTTTAATCGAGCATCAACACGTGCAAAAAGCTTGATTTCCGGCAATAGATACGCTCTCCGTGGGCACGGCATGTTCATCAGATCACATCAGTTCCCGCTTGAGTCTTTGCCGGGAGCCTGAGACAGGCCCCTTATAACTAGTGCTACTGGCCAATAAGCAGGGAAGCACCCCCCAGTCCAGCGAGCTGCGTTTGATGTGCACGGTTCAACAGGAAGTGTGCGATTGCTGAAACTGGCGGGGTAGCAAACCTGAAGTACGCTGTCCATCCGCCAGGGGTCGTTCCCAAACGCTCCAGATTCCTCTGCGTGCCGTCAAGTTCTTGCTCGCCGCGATGCGCGCAGCGGGGGGGGCTTTGACAGCCCCTTGACACAACGAACATCCAGCTGTCACAGCCTGGGCAGTTGCGCTTTTGAAACATGGCGTTGCTGAAGACTGGGGTTGCCGACGCAGGTGCACGGTTGTTTCGCGGGATCACCGTCGGGCGGTCGCGGGGTGGCAAGTATGGCAAAGATCTTACTCCAAGGCGATGAATCCAACGGATGCGAACATACAAGATCCCATGGCCCGGCTGAAACTCCCGTCTCGAGACGACGACAGCAATTGCACTCCGGATGGGGTTGTGCCAAACGCGTTGACCGGCTTGCTGCTTAAAATTCGCCCAGCTGGCACCCGAGGGTTACTGCCCGTTGACTCCAATGCCTCACTTGGGTTTGGCCGACCTCTACACAAGAAAAGGGCCCGAAGAGCCAACATAACGCTTGCGCGACCTATCCTAAAGTATGTCATTCTGGGATCGGAATGGTAATTGCATCAAGATAGATCTGACATTGAAATAGTTTTGCTCAAACGATGCTCTCATTGCGCACCCTAGTCCGCCTCTGCTGCGTCGGCTCCGCCATTGGCGGCCAACTGCACTTCATATCCGAAGAAATATGTCTGCGATCACCACCTTCGCTGTCGCAATGCGGGCGAGACAGGCCAGAGAAGTTCCATGGCCTAATGCCAAGTGCGCTCGACGTTGGTGACGCGACTGGACCATCGCTGTTCCATTGGGACTTCAAGCCGCGATGCATCACGCCCGATGAAGCGGATGAGCCGTTTTGTCTCTACTCATCGCATTCTTTCGCGAGCGGGCGAGGCATATCCATATTGACTACTCCGGATCGCATCGAGTCAATTATGCAGTTACCGGCATTCGCCCAATCCAACTACTCACACGGTCCTGGGACGCCCGCATCCCCGCCATTCGAAGAACGAGAGCTCCCGGGGCGGGGCCGAGGCTTGATTGCAAACAAGACGGTGTTCCGCGGTGACCGAATCTTCGCGTACACTCCAGTCCTCTTGCTAGACGATGAGGCATACGAGGCCCTGGACGAGGATGAATGGGTCAAGCTTGAGGCGGCGGCAGTCGAGCAGCTCCCTGCAGCGTCCAGGGCGGAATTTTGGCAGCTGTTTGGCCAGCCGACGGTGAATCCCGTCACCGATCGGATCAATACAAACGCCTTTGAGATTGATACGGCTAAAGGCACGTTCTATGGTGTGTTCCCAGAAATCGCCGTAAGTCATTCGCTCTTATCCGCGGCACGCTCGATCGCATGCTCATTCGGTCAGCGCCTCAACCACGATTGCCGGCCAAACGCAGCCTACTTCTTCGATGAAGAGAGCTTCACGCACTACGTGCACGCCACAACGACTGTAGCTCCCGGTACCGAGCTCACGATCACATACATCGATCCTCACATGCCTCGGTCGCAACGGCGCCGCAGACTGTCCTCGTCATGGGGCTTCCAATGCACCTGCAGCTTGTGCACTGCCCACGCGAGCATCAGCCAGGAGTCTGACTCTCGGCTCAAGCAAATAACTGATTTGACAGAGAGGCTAGAGAACTCGCATTCGAGCTCCAGCGAGATGGCGAAGACGTTGATCAGTTTGTATGAGCAGGAGCGCATGCACGCCGCTGTGAGCAACGCATATCGGCTTGCGGCGAGGGCGTTTTGCGCGGAGGGCCGCCGGTGGGAGACTATCGCTTACGCACGACTCGCGACAGAGCGGACTATGCTGGATGAGGGGTTTCACGACGAGGAGGTTGATGCGATGAGACGCTTGGTGGATGAGCCTGACAGGCAGCCGTGCTGGCCTGGGATGGCCCCCAACGCGACCGTGGACGCTGCGTGGTCCGCGGGGGCCTTTTAAGCAGCTCTTACCGACGCGAAAATGAATGAATGATGCGTGCTACTCGTAGCGTGCAAGCTGATGTGTATTCTCGGGGGGTAGATGTTTGTCGCGGTACTTGTAACAGCGCGTCCAGGAACCTGTTCCTGAGAGTTCCATGCCGGTGCCTGAAGTAAAGTCTGATCAGCACTGTCGAGTCCACAAATCAGGTAGATCCTCTCACGTGATTCCCCTGAATGCACATTAAGCATCAGGATGCTTGAACCAGAGGCTTGCGGTCGCACAATCTTGAAACCACAATCGAACACGATTCCGGTGGGCCTCAATTGCGATGCCATCGCCGATAGTAGAAGCAACATTGCAGGCCACGGCCCTCTCTGCAGCGTCCAACCTCTGCGCGCAGTTCATCGACGCCTACCAACACCAGGTCCGTGATCCATCTCCCCCGAACGGGCCAAACGCCCCGCTAGCGTCCGACTCTGGGCTTACACGCGTCCCCATCGGCAGCGTGCCTTTGGACTGGATCTGTCACAGCTGGTCCGGTTCCTCGTCTTCACGGTGTTGACCGCGCCGCCCAACTTCATCTGGCAGCAATTGCTCGAGAGGAGGCTTCCTGCGTACCCTGTTGATGCGCGCAGGCAAAAGAAGCAGCAGCAGCAGCGAGACGTCGAGCTCAAGGACCTGGAGGAGGCGGCTCGCGACAGCCACAATGCTGACCATGGCAGCGGCATGGTGACGCCGCGGTTCAGCTTGCGCAACACGCTGGCAAAGTGGTTTATTGACTGCATGACTGCGGGCGCGGTGATGAACACGGTCGCATTTCTGGCCATCATGGGCTTGCTGAAGAGTCAGCCTGGGTCGCAGATCTGGCACAACATAAAGACTGTATGCCATCCCTACGCCTCAATCTCGACATTCACGGAGTGGGCGGCTAGGCCGACCAAGACGGAGCTGACGTATCGCAGGAAACGATACCGATAATTGTCGCGGGCTATAAGATCTGGCCGATCGCGTCCATCATAAGCTTCAGTTTTGTGCCGGTCCACCGTCGAATCGTCTTTCTGAGCTTCGTCGGGCTGATATGGGGCATTTACATGAGCTTGGTCGCGGCACGTGTTTGAGCGCAGAGGCAATCATTTTGACTGGAGTGTGACGCGCATTGCTTGCGGGCCAGGCAACTATAGATTGGTCGCTGTGTGGGATACAGTATGCCTCCTGTGTAAAATGGACGAGTTTGTGGGCCGCTGTGTCTAGGGTATTGTTGCGATGCGCGAGTCGGGAAACGTCTGGTGATCATTTCGTAGCTGAATGGGAGATTAACAGCCGGGCACGTCGGAAGCTCGAAGCTATCGAGGTTCTTAAACAAAAAATTCTCTACCGTGACAGCTTGATGTGTCGCAGCTTGAGACTTGATGCCAACAAAACTGTAAGGTGAGAACCATGCTAGGTCACCCACTCAAGATGCTAACGCTGAGGCTTCGAGGGCAGGCATCCCCAGCAAAAGCCTGGCAGGGGCTCGTCCACTGACGACGCATTGATCCATCAACTGCACTCTCCCACCTTCCATCGCACCACCTCCCGTCGGCGGAACAGAATCTGGCCAGGGCCCTCCGGCAGTGACGCTTTGCCACAGCTTTCCCCTGCGCCAGGAGAAGGCGTGCAGTCATGTCTGAATGACGAGAAGTCTTTGGCGCAGCCCCAGCGACAGAAGGTGGAGCATCCATCATCAACAAGCCTGAAAAGGCACTGCAGCCAGCCCCCTTCAGGGGTGGCGCAGACAATGCTGAGCCCCAGCACAGGGCGCCTGGAATCGCTCCGGCGTGGACATGGCTCGACTTCGGTCTGAGCCCGAGCAGGGCCGCCACGACTCAGCGCATCCTCATCATCAGGGTTGATCAGCAGCAGGCCCCAGCCGGCCACGGGAGCCACGACGCACCAGCGTAAGCACTGCTGCCGCGGCCCGCCCTCAGCCTCACCACAAGCCCCAGCGAACGAAGCCAAAACCAACCAGTGGATGGGACCTGGGATGGGATGCTGCTGTGTCCAGGCTGGCGACAGTGCTGTGCCTCGCACCAGCACAAGCCTTTTTTGTTCCGATCCATCCCCTGCCACCACTGCCACCACTGCCTACTTTGCTGGCGCTCATCGTGCTATTCCTCTTTGGACGGGGGCGTCGTCCTCCGGAACCCCCCCGGGACCCAAATTATTTCGGTTGGTCCAGCCTGCGCCCCCCCTGGGACACGGCAGGACGGGGGGAGGAAATCTAGAATCCGAGCGTCGGTCGGCGTCTTTTCGCAAACTTCCTCGCAACAAACAATCATCATCATCATCGCGAACTGCAACAGCAGCAGCAGCAAACGAGGCCCCGGACCGGACATCCTGAACCCCGGCCCCCGGCCAACGCAGCGAGCTCCCTCTCCCTCCACCCCGGGCCACCGGCACACTGTCTCACCCCCCCCGCGGCGGAAATGGTCCCCGGCGGCATCAACGTCCCCGTTGCGCATCTCTCTGCGCCAAGCCCCTAATAGCCGGGCATCTCCCCTCCCTCCCTCCCTCGCCGTCCCTCCGTCTCCCGTAGTAGTGGTAGCGGCCCGAGTCCGAATTCCGTCCGAAGTGCCGGCCGTACCACCACCACCACCAGCCCGGCCTCACTCAGCCTGAGTCTGGCCATGTCGCTGCCCTCGCCGTCGACGGCTTCCAGGTCGTCGACGACGACGCTGACGGCGCTGAGCATCGACAAGGGCGACGACGATGGCCCCCCGTGGGATGCTCCGGACAAGCCTGCTGCGGTCGCGGCCGCGGCATGGCAGGCGCCCTTTGGCATCATGTGCGTCGCTTGCCCCGGCATCATCAGATCGTCGCATGTCGCATTCCTCATCTCGCTGTTGCTGACACGCCCATGCCAGGTCCTGGATCTTCTTGTCAAACCTGACCATTCTCCTCAACAAGTGGCTCATTGACACTGCTGGCTTCCGTGAGTTCTCACCACCCTTGTCCCGTCAACGCCGGCATAGAGTTCATAGCTAACAAGGACTCTCAAGGATATCGTACGTCTCCACTGACGTTCTGCACTGCACCTATTTTTTGTTGTTTCATGAGGAGACGGTCATGCTAACACTCCCACCCGCGCAGCGATCCTCCTGGCGTGCTGGCACTTCATCTTCACCTCCGTCACGATACACATCCTCGCCCGCACCACCACCCTGCTCGACTCGCGCCACTCTCTGCACATCACCCCGCGCATCTACGCCCGCACCATTATCCCCATCGGCGTCTGCTTTTCCCTCTCCCTCATCTGCTCCAATGTCGTCTACCTTTATCTCTCCGTCGCCTTCATCCAAATGCTCAACGCCGCCAACCCCGTCGCCGTCCTGGCCGTCTCCTGGATCTGGGGCGTCGCCGACCCCAGCACGTCGACTCTCCTCAACATGCTCCTCATTGTCGCCGGGGCGGCCATCGCCTCGTTCGGAGAGATTCAGTTCTCGACGATTGGCTTTGTGTTTCAGGCTGGTGGCATCATCTTTGGTGCCATCCGCCTGGTCATGATCCAGGTGCTCGTCAGTCGGAAGGGGATGCGGATGGACCCGCTCGTCGGTCTGTATTACTTTGGGCCGGCATGTGCCATTATGACGCTGGCTGCGGCCTTGTTCATTGAGGTTCCTCGGTTCCGCATGAGCCACCTGATAGATGCGGGCGTCGGCATGCTTGTCCTCAACGCGGCTGTGGCGTTCTTGCTCAACGTCACAACCGTCTACCTGGTACGCAACGGCCGTCTCTATTTGCTGCCGCGTGCGCCACTGGCTAACCTTGTACGCACAGGTCGGAAGAACGTCTGGCCTCGTCATGGCACTGACGGGCATCTTCAAGAACATTCTGCTCATCGCAGTATCTGTTGCCATATGGAACACCAAGATAACGCTCCTCCAGGCCGTGGGCTACAGCCTCGCCCTCGTTGGCCTAATATACCATTGGATCGGGGGAGATCAGCTCGCAAAGGGTTACAGGGCGGTAACAAGGGGTATTTTGAGTGCCTCATCAGGCTTGCCTCTGTTCGAGGCGAGTGTACGACGACGTGTCGTCGTTGTTTCTGGGTGCGTGTTTTGCCTGGGCACACTGGCGATTGCATATAGACATTTGGGGGGTGGACAGAGCCTTATAGTAGCTCCACCACCCGTGTGAATGGAACAAGAGGGCAACGAATTCGAAGAAACGATGCGCAACGTCGCCTCATCACTCCGTTTCAGTTGGAAACATCCACCACTGACAAGGCATGGTCAAAAGCCCGTCGCCGCTGCCATCCCACAGTCCGTTTGTGACGTCGATAAAGCCAGTCGAGAACGCGTCTTGGCCGTTCGCACCCATCTGCGGTGACATGCCCTGCTGGTTCGGCGGCGGCTGGCTCGCGACGGCAGCGAAGCCAGGCGATGCTCGCTGGCCATTGCCGGCTCGGTTCCTTCCCGGCGAAAGCATCAGCACCTCGCGGGCGATGGTCTGGACCTCTTCTAGGTTCTTAGCTGCCTTTGTCCATACGCCCGCCATGGACTTGTGGTATCCGATGCTGAGGCGCAGCTGGTCGCGGGCGATGGCGAGCTTCTGGTCCTGGAGGATGAACTTGCACGCCGAGAGAAGCGAAAGCGTGCCGGTCGTGAGCATGCACACGGTGAAGGGCGAGTGGCTGGATGAGCCGGCGGGAAGGGCGAGAAGGCGTATCTGTGCCTCGGCTGCGTTGATGCACTTCGCCGTGTGAACTGCCTCTAGCTCGGTGGGCGGTCGTGGCGACCCCTGGTCATCGCCCGCGGTCGAGCAACCTGAGATGCACTCGAGCTGGTCGAAGGAGCATTTGGAGAATGGCCTGTGCAAACCGACCGTCGTTCTAGTTGCGCGGCACAAGTTAGCGTTCGCCATCCCCGTTTTGCTGTATGCGCATCATCGCCGGCTCTTGGTCGACCAGCTGGGGCGGCGTAGTCTCCAAGGGGGCTTCACTTACGCGTAGACGGCCATCAGTGCCTGGAAGATGAGCTCATCCACCTCGCCATCCGCTGAAAGAGGATTCCTCTTGGCCTCGGGCAGGAGCAGCATCCACCCGTCAAGCACGGCGTCGGCAACGTCGAGCACCTTGAGGGACGACGACCCCAGTAGAGCTAGCGAGGGGTTGATGATGCTGTTTGCCCGTGCCATGGCCGAGGCCATGCCCTGGACACCGCCAATGAGATGCGCAAAGGACGAGAAAGCGCTATCGTCGGGGGCGAACTCCCGCGCGTCAAACTCTGCGAGTGTCTTTGGAGTGGGGATGTTCTGCAACGACAAAGTCAATATATGAAGGGATGAGGAAAATCGGCAGGGACAACAGTCCAGGGCAAGGCAAAGTACTGACCCCGAGCTCGTAATCTGCTTCCTCACAGGGCAAGTCTGTCGTTGGATCTACGGTGTTGGCCCGGAACGCGCTCGACCGCTTGATGGCGGCGTAATAGGCGTCCACGATGTAAATCTGCCACCAGGTCCGGCGGATGCACTCTGCCAGCACCGCATCGTCGGGGGCATGCCGCATGGCAAAGTCACGCAGGAACATGCCGGACTCGAGCGCCATGGCAACCGCTGTGTCCATGTGAAACCGCGACTTCTGCGGCTGCCCCCGCCAGTACAGGGCAATGGAGTAGAGTAGGTGGCTCTGCGCCAGGAAGTAGTCGTCGCTGGCCACGGGCGACTCCAGGATGGCGGCCTCGACCTGCTCCTCCGTCGGCGGCGACACCAGGGGCTCGGACACGCAGAAGATGGCCCCGATATACCGCATCACGACGACGAGCGGCTTGAGACCTGCCCGGGACGACGGCCCATCTCGCCAATAATGCTCCAGCCGCTTGCGGGGCAGGACGCAGGGATGGAAGCGGTGGAAGCACTTGTAGTAGAGGTGGATGAGTGAGTCGTTGGCGACGGAGATGGACGGCGGCTGGCCCAGCAAGGCCGGCGACCTGCCCGAGGAGGGAGGCTCAGCCGGGGGCGTGAAGAGGGTGCCCATGCCAGCGAAGCGTTGGTGATGGTGTTGTTGCTGTTGATGTTGTTGCTGCTGCTGGGGTACCTGGAGGGAGGGCGCAGGTGGCATGTCGAGGGTGAGTCCCCGATGGCTATCCATCGCAGTGGCGTCCGGGCGCGGCAGCGCAGCAGCGGCATGCGGGTTCGGGTTGCCGGCGGCGGCGGCCTGCTCAACGCGGGACCTGCGCGCGGCCAACGCAGCGCGGTCCAGCCCGCCTCGCCTCGACTTTGCGTAACGACACTCACGACCCTCGGCGAGGCAGCGCTCGCACACGGGCTGCGTGGCATCGCACCGGACGTGTCGGGAGCGGCAGGGCAGGCAGGCCAGCGACACTCGCACGCCTCCTCCTCCTCCTCCTCCGCCTCCGTTCTTCACGCCGGCAGCGGCGGCCTCGTCGTCCATGCTGGTGTAGCTGCTGTCGGGCCCGGAGGCGGCGGCGGACATCACGGAAGGCCCGCCGGCATCCGCGTTGCTGCGGTTCGACATGGATAGGGAATCAATATGGAGCTTTGGATGGGAAATTTGACGGGCGTTCGGTGTGCGAGCGAGCACCGTGCTGTCACCCTCGGGTCCCGGTCCGGGCCAATTGGTGTGGTGGCTTCAGATGGAGAGACATGGATTGGGTGGACGGATGGACGGGGGGAGGCGGCAGGCAATTGAGGCTGAAGACGGGCTTAGCATGACCAAAGTAGCCTCGTGCGTCTAATAAGACGACCCTTTGGGCAGAGGAGCTGAGCTGATGTGAAGCACGTGACGATATTTTCAGCTCACGGAAATGGAGTGAGGTTCTCACAAGTTGCAACATGACGACATGAGTGAAGACCTTCCGGCCGATGCATTACTCGCTCCTCTAGCGCACGTTTATACGATGAAAACAGTGCAGAACGTGCCGATCACTAGATCGCGCATTGACATGCACCTAATTTTCTTCCACTAGTTAATACGTTGATCTGGAGCCCGTCACGTTACCGGCATCTCGTTATGGTCCCGTCGTCTATGTCGCGATATCAACCAGGCGCATTAGGATCGAACCGGCGTCAATGGCACGCCAAACCATAGTGTGCATTTCTCATTCCGCTCGAATGCCCTGCAAATTTTCCCATGGTGGCCAAGCTTTGGTAGGGACCACCCGAAAAAGAGGCCTGGTAGCATACGGATCCTCCTCCGCCTGTCTCTCAACGCTAGCTCAATAGTGGTTCACCTTTTCGGAGCTCAACATACCCGGCTACGAAATCTGATGCAGAAAACAGGCCCTCTTATTTTTTACTGACAGTGAGTAATCGGAGGTCACTTAACCCCGACAGACCGGACATGATGACGACGCCCTTTCATGTCTGCAAAGAATCTCTCCGTGTCGACGCAGGCAGCCCGTCGCATTGCTCGTGTCATGAAAGGTGTAACGGTCCCGGGTATCCGATTCGGGTATCGGGTATCCGATGTCAGGCGCTCTGCAGAACGGGTACCCGAAATCTTGATCCACTGCAACGTCGGTGGAGTCCACCGCCAAACCAAGGGTCCCTGAGTCCCTGACTCCCTGTGTGAAGTTCAACGCATGGAGCCGCGCGAGGTCTTGCCATGAGAGCCATGATCAACCCGATGCCTGGGCCGTACATGCACTTGCGTGGGCCTCAGCCGCGACGTTCTCGGGTCGCTTTCTCGGGTCGCTCATGGTGACCCTGCATCACCTGCGTCATGCTCCGCCCATCAAAAGTCGCCGGCATGGATCGGTTGGGGCCATGAGTCCATGACACGAGTCCGACGACCTATTTTCTCCGCCCGCCAATTCGTGAGCATGTTTTAGCGATCTGGCTGTATCCAGGCTGGCCATTCCGACTGCGCATGTTCTCGGGAACTGGATCACAGAAACGACAGATCCGGGGACCCGATTGTGGATTGACAGTCTGCTCCCAACAACATCGAAGTTGTATAAATATACCTTAAAGTCGACGAGTTGGAGCCAAGATTCTCATCACCATTATCATCGTAATCATCTATCAACAGCTTTTTCTACACGATCACTATGGCATCTCAACGCCTGCTCATTGTCGGCGCTGGCTTCGCCGGCCTCTGGAGCGCCATGGCCGCCAGGCGCCTCATCGACCTGCACAAGGACCTGTCCCGCGAGCGGCCGATTCAGGTCACCGTCGTGGCACCGGAGCCAGAGCTCGTCCTTCGGCCACGTCTCTACGAGGCAAACGTTGCCGAGATGCGTGCATCGCTCGTTGAGCTCTTCGAGGCAACCGACGTCACCTTCATTGCCGCCCGTGTTGGGGTCATCCGTCCCCACGATGGCCAGGTGGACGCTGTTGACAGCACTGGGGCTGATATCACAATTTCTTACGATCGCCTCATCTTGGCCCCTGGGAGCCGCTTGGCCCGCCCGAATATCCCGGGTCTGAAGGAGCACGCCTTTACCATTGACCAGATCGACGAGGCTGTCCAGCTTGAGGACCACCTTCGGCGTCTCGCCAGCGCCCCGTCAGGGACGTCGCGCAACACCATCGTCGTGTGCGGTGGTGGGTTCACGGGCATCGAACTTGCGGCTGAATTGCCCAGCCGTCTTACGGAGATCTTCGGCAACAATGAGAAGTTTCGGGTTGTCATCGTGGACCGCGCGGACGTCATTGGACCCGAGTTGGGAGACAAACCTCGTCCCATGATCGTGTCGGCTCTTAGCGACCTCGGGGTGGAGATGAAGCTCGGCGCTGCCGTCGCGTCCATTGATGCCAACGGCGTCACTCTGTCGAGCGGCGAGCGCATCGACACCGTCACGGCCGTGTGGACGGCGGGCATGGAGGCGAACCCGCTGGTGAAGCAACTCTCTGCGCAGCGCGACGCCATGGGCCGCGTGCAGGTGGACCGCGACCTGCGCATCCCCAGCCTTCCCAACATTTTCGTCACGGGCGATGCAGCCAGCGTCGTCACCAAAGAAGGTGGTCATCTCGCTCTGCAGTCGTGCCAGCACGCCCTGCGCCTTGGTCGCGCGTCCGGACACAACGCCGCCGCTGACTTGCTGGGCATCGAGGGGCGGCCCTACGAGCAGCTCAACTACGGCACTTGTCTCGACCTCGGCGGCTGGGGGTCGCTCATCACGGACGGCTGGGATCGCAGCGTCCACCAGTCCGGTGCTGCAGCCAAGCCCATCAAGCAGTTCATCAACCAGAAGCTCATCTACCCACCTCCTCCGGACGCCTCCACGGCCTTTGCGGCTGCGGATCCGGCTGATGACCCGCCTCCCGTCAAGGCTTTCTTGTAAGTCTTCGAATCGGAGGCATTGGGATTCGGTTATGATCATATGTTGAACATGAAGGGAGGAGACACATGCTTCGGCTCGAGCCGGTTTTCGAGTCGCGTGGACGCCCCTGTTTAACGCAAGAATTAGCATTAATAGAGTCAAGATCTTGTTACCAACGGACCAAGTCCGGTTCCGCTTCAAGTTGTGGATTGGAAGAGGCAACGAACGGTTCAATGTCGTGAATCTCGTGATCGCCCTTGGGTTAGGTTTGCCCAGCCGGTACCGGCAGTGAAGGTGACATTTCTAGTGGACTCCGGAGAGCGGTGCCACGACGTCATGGAGTCTGGCGGCAGCCGGAGCTCCACTGCCAGCACGTCGAATCGCCAGGTCTCAGAGGCACAGCAGCCGATGGAGCTAATAACATTAGCTGGAGCCGCCTCTGCCTCGGCTTCATAGCGGACGTTTTGTGCGCCATGGCACCGCCGTCGCCCACTGCCGGCCCTGATGTCGGTCATTGCCCGCGCGCCGGGCTTGCCGGAAGCGGAAACACCGGAAGGTCGGCACTTGGACGGGAGATGCCAGCCACGCGCGCAAATCCCGATCGCGGGGAGGACAAGGGGAGCTGTTTTCTCGAGGAGCTCCCGCACGCATTCTGCCATTGATGAGCACAGCCCGCGTCCACCAAGTCAGCGATGGCGGAAGGACAGGAACGCCCGCGCGCGCAAGCAAGCGACTCCGTGTCGGGCGCCGGCAGTCCGGAGCAGGCCCCGAAACAACAACACAAGCATCGCGGATGGCATCGTGGGCCGAAACGACTCCCGGGCTGGCTGGATCACTTTAACTCGCACGACCTCAAGATCCTCCTCCGCTGCTGGACGGCAACATGGGTCGCGACCCTGCTCGTCTTCATCGGGCCGTCGCTTCGACACATTGGCCTCGCCACCTTCTTCGGGTCGCTGCTGCTCTACATCGTGCCGCCCGCCAGCATCCTCTTCGGCTACCTGCTCGCCGCCTTCTCGCTGCTCTTCGGCATGTGCTTGGCGTGGGCATGGGGCTTGCTCACCATGAAGGCCGCACTGTCTGCCCGGCCCGTCGCGGATACACAGCGACAGCTCCAGGCCCTCCAGCAGCAGGCTGCTGCCCAAGCCCAGCAAACGGGCCAGAGCCCTGCCGTCGTGGCGCAAATCCTCGTCTACGAAGGCTTCATGCTTGATGCACGCGTCACGGCCGTCTACTATGTCATGTCCTGCGTCTTCATCTACGCGCTGGCGCGTGTGCGCTGCAGTAACGGGAAGATGGTCGCGCTGCAGCTCTTTGGCACCATCATCACGGACCTCTTCTTGCTCATAGGACCCCTGCTCCCTACGTACACTGCTAATTTGGGGTCAATCCTGGTGAAGCCCGGCGCCATTGGCATAGGAATCGGCATCGCCTGCTGCATCCTCTTCTTCCCGCAGTCCACGTCCTATGCCGTGCTCGACAAGATGGAGGAGCTCGTCCGCATGGGAGAGGTTGCTCTCGAGACGACTCGAAAACGACTGGCAGGCGGCGAGCTCCAGATGGAGGAGCTCAAAGGCGCCAAGGCGAGGATCATTTCCACCTACAAGGCCATGGAGCCGGCGCTGTTGTTCCTGCCTTTGGACTTTTCTCGCGGGCGGTGGAATGCCGACGATGTCAAGGCACTGCAGGCACCGGTCCGCGAAGCCATGCTCGCTGGCCTCTCGCTCATCGATCTTCATATCGCTCGAGTTGCGTCGAGGCAAAAACAGTGGACGCTGGAGCGTGCAAGCGACAAACAGGCAGAGGTAACCGAAAAGGGAATCCACGAGCCTGGACAGCACCAACTCCAGGAGAGCGTGGATCTCATGAATGCCCTCAATACCCCCGAGCAGGCTGTCATGCTAAGCCATGCGCTGGAAGGCCTTGTTGCTACCACGTCCGAAATCCTCCAGCTCTGCTCCAAGTCAATACGCCTTTCTGCAGAGTGCATACACACCGTCAACTCCTGTCGGTGGATTGGAAAGCCATCGCAGGCACAGTTTGATGAGCTGAACAGCGAGCTCCGCGCCACACTTACGGCTCTTCGCGCAGCAACGGCGACCTGCGTGACCCAAACGACCGAGGCAATCATTGAGAGCCACGCCGACCTCTTTGACGCCGACGGCCGCCTCAAAACTTCCACTCGCCCCAGCCCGAATTCGATGCGTGGTATTGTCATATCAATGGTTCTCGAAGAGCGCATCCTGGGTACCGCCACGGCCCTCGGCGAGCTCCTCGACCACATCATTAACCTCAACGAGGCGCGCACGGTTCATCGCATCTGGATCCCTTCCAGGCTTCGCTATGCCCTGTCCTGGATCTTCAATGGACGGCTTACCGTCCCCGTTTTCGGCAAGACCGACGCAGCGAACGATCCCGACGGCATGACAGACGTGGTGCCGCTCGAAGAACAGGCGATAGAGGCCCACAGGCGTTTGCGCATCAGTAGGGTCTCGTACGGCTCATCGGCTCGAAGGAGCTTCGCGAGTCGCGCCATCGTGGCTACGTTCAGGTGGCTGTTCAACCCTGCTGGCATGTATGCCCTCCGCATGGTGATTGTAACCATTGCCACCTCTATTCCGGCGGCCATACCACACTCTGCCGGCTTCTTCTATCGCGAGAAAGGAATCTGGGGCGTCATTACCGCCCAGACTTGTCTTCTCGTCTACATGGCCGACTTCACCTTTTCCCTGGTTTCTCGCGGCCTGGGTACCATCATTGGCGGCGTCATGGGCATGGTGGCCTGGTACATTGGCTCTGGAAGCGGCTACGGAAACGCCTATGGTCTGGCAGCTAGCACTGCCGTTATGATTGCGATTCTGATCTGGTGGCGCCTATTTCTGCCCCCTGCCTTTGCGCAAGCATCAATCATGTCGGGCGCCACCTTCGCACTCGTCGTCGGCTTCAGCTGGGACCAACATCACATCCAACAGTACGGCCTGCCGGGTCTCGGCTACGAGGCATTCTGGAAGCGGCTGGTAACGGTGTTGCTAGGCTTTCTGGCCTCGTTCGTTGTACAGCTGTTCCCCAAGCCTCCCTCGGCCACGAACCACGTGCGCAAGACATTGGCAAACACCGTGCGAAACCTCTCGGACCACTACGCTCTGCTACTGTCTCACTGGGGTCGGAGCGACAAGTCGAGTCCGCTGGGAGCGGTGGCAGACCAAATCTCGCTGGACGTTGCCGACACGCTCATGTCTCTTGATGGCGCCATCTCCCTCTTGAAGGTCGAAATGAGCTTCAGTCCCTTCGATCAAAAGTCACTTAGAGCAACCCAAGAAAAGTGCCACTACATCAACCAGTCCCTTGGGCGGCTGCTCGACCTCTCGACGACGTTGCCAAGGGAGCTCCAGGAACGGCTTGCTCATGTCGTGGGCATCGACGACGACCGCGCCATCGGAGACACCATGGCTGTCCTAGGCATCATTGAGCAGGCGCTTCGTACCGGATCGCCGTTGCCAGAGCGCCTCCCGGCTCCGCTGGTTCGCCGCTTCTTCGACTCATGGCAGGCACAGCATCGCCACGCCATACTCACGAAGACGCTCGTGCGCGACGGAAACTACCGTCGGTACTGCGTCGCCATGTCGTCGTACTTTAAATTCCTCTCTACGGTGGATGATCTGGTCCTGATTCTCAAGGGTGTTCTCGGTGAATGTCACGTCATTCACCAATGGGAAGATGTATAGTCTACATCAAGATATAAACGCCACACAGTCACACGGCGAAACAAGCATAGTACAGAGCTTTCACTCAACCTCCCTCAGCCTTGATTTTATCCTTGTGAAACGTAGGGGCCGTCTATCTCGGCGGCGTGCAGACCAGCATCCATCGCACGGCAGGGTGGAAGCCGGGTGTCAATTGAGGGTTAGGACTCACGGGCACTTTGGTCTTTGCCAGCGCGAACATCACGCCAGAGTCGCACATAACAGTCTGCGATCTATGGTTCCTCCCGCTCCCGCATAGTGACTTAACCCGTCGGCTCTTACGGCAGCAGGGAAGATCCCGTCGATCAGTTTGCGGGGTTCCCCTCTAGTCGCAGCGTTGCAGCGACGTCGAGGACGGCCAGTGAATTGGCGAATAGCCCAACGCGTACAGACGTCAGGCGCGCCAATAATGAGTGCTGTACAATCGGCTCGGCCATTTCAGTTCAGCGATACGAGAGGGCGTTCGACGCCCGGATTGTCTCTCTGCGACGCCGAACACAACACTAGCCTCCGCGGGGAAACACAATGACGATCGACAATGCATCTGCTATCCCGGTGTAACTCTACAGATGCGCGCCAATGGCTCTATATTCTCCGCATCGTTGTCAGGCCATAGTTATGCGATGCGAACTTTCGAGAGCTCTCATGCGAAGCCAATGGTATAAAAGCCTGCTTTCTGTTCACTCCGGTGCGTTCCGTGGCCCGGTAGCGACAAGCGAGAAGCAATCTATCAACAACATTGCCGTTCTCTCAATCTCAAAATGACTTGGAACCACCAACTGATCCTCGCGTTGCCTCTGGCGAGCGGCGCAAGCGGTTATGTGACCAAGTCGGGCGCTGTGAGTGTCGCGTACTCGGCCTAGTTGATGGCTCACCTCGCGCTGACACCTTCTCAGGGCAAGCTGCCCAGCCTTGGGTGGAACTCGTGGAATATGTATGGCTGCGACATCGATGAGGCCAAGTTCCTTGCGGCGGCACAAAAGATGATTGACACGGGTCTCAAAGATGCCGGATACAATTATGTGAACGGTCAGAGATACCCTTTGCCCCGCGACTGAGATGAACCACGGCTAATATAGCGCAGTTGACGACTGCTGGTCCCTGAAAACCGGTCGTGCAGACGACGGCCACATCAAAGTGAACACGACCCGTTTTCCCAATGGCATTGACGGCCTTGCCAAGAAGATTCATGACATGGACCTTAAAATTGGCATCTACAGTTGTAAGGACCATCGTGACGTGGGCTGGGGTACACTCATTAACACACTCAACAGCTGCCGGGACCGCCAATTGCGCTGGGGGCTATGCAGGCAGCCTAGAGCACGAAGACACCGATGCTGCCGACTGGGCATCCTGGGGAATCGATTGTGAGACTGCACTGGACGATGAGCTCCTGCGCCCTTGCTGACACCATGACCAGATCTCAAGTAGTGCGTATAGAGCTGTCTCGTGCGCAGTACATGAAGCGCTGTAGCTAACTGCAGCAAGCGACAACTGTAACGTTCCCGACAATTGGAAAGATCAATATGTCTTCTGCCACCCAGACCACGTCAAGACAAACTCGAACGGCACGTGCACACCAGAAACGACAGAAAATCTGGCACCTGAAGGGTACGATTGGCGGACGTCAAAGTCGTTTGAGCGCTTCAACCGAATGAAAGACGCATTGGCCAAACAGGACCACGAGATCCTTTATAGCATGTGCATCTGGGGCACAGCGGACATCTTTTCGTGGGGAAACGACACGGGCGTCAATTGGCGAATGAGCGGCGACATCTCCGCCAACTGGGATTCCGTCACGCACATCATCAACCTCAATTCGTTCTACCTCAACTCGGTTGACTTTTGGGGCCACAATGACGCCGATATGCTCGAGGTCGGAAACAACCTCTCCGATGCAGAGGCGCGTTCTCACTTTGCGCTGTGGGCGGCCATGAAGTCGCCGCTGCTGATCGGAACCGACCTCGACAAGCTCAGCCAGTCCAACATCGACATACTCAAGAACAAACACCTTCTAGCATTCAACCAGGACGATACCGTCGGCCCCCCGGCAACGCCTTACAAGTGGGGTATCAATCCGGACTGGACTTACAACAGCACCAATCCCGCCGAGTTCTGGGCTGGCGACTCTAAGGATGGCGTCTTGGTTCTCATGCTAAACACGTTGGGCGAGACAACTTCGAAGACCGCGGCGTGGTCAGAGGTCCCTGGCCTTGATGCTTCCAATCACCGGGTCACAGACGTGTGGACCGGCGACGATCTCGGCTGTCTGGGCGAATACAAGGCGGACGTCGCGAGTCACGATACAGCGGCTATCCTGGTGGCCAAGGAGCCGTGCACCTGATGTTCCTCCAGCGAGGACCGCCCGAAGCGAGAGGGGAGCCACTAGTTATCTATGAAGAATGAACCGGCGATCACTCCAGGTCGTGATCACCGACTCGTATGTGTTGTTGATGCATCATCACATGAAGCTACCCCTGGGGGGGATATACCTGCAGACATTGACGGCAGCCAATGACATGATGCAGCGACGCTTTCTGTCCGGCTCCAGGGAGCTGTAGGAAGGATAAGCTGATGTGAGACCGCAATGTTTCTTCCAATGCCTTCGGTCGCGTCTCGATGCGGACACGGCAAGTTGACTGTGGTCGAGTGCCTTAATTGCATGATGTATCGCCACCGCTAAGCGGCAGTCCCTTCGAATACTGGCATGCAGACCTCCATCTTTATTGATCAGACGAGATGGTCATCGGTATATCCCTGAAGATAGAGCCTCAAGTTGGAACTGTCGTGGCATGCGTGAAAGTCAAGTTTTTGCATGACTGCAGGTGGCCTCCAGAGGCTGAGGCTTACTTCAATGTTCAGTCGATACTGTTGACACCGCCATCGCCAATCGAGTCGACGCCAATTTACAGCGCTGTTTGGGTATTCTTTGATACGAGACAATAGACCAATGGTAGTGGCTAAGCCTCACGGGCAGCCCGTGTGCAGCTCGTAAAGCGACGCTGACAGCACCGAGTGTCTCACCATTCCGTGTCCCAAGTTAGCATGCGCCGACACATACGAGATCTGCATGAAGGGCTCTTCGCCATGGATTACTACCCGTGTATTGTTTTCTTTTGGCAATCAAGAGCACATAAAAGGCCCAGTGCCGTCCCAACAGACCGTTGAAGGCATCGCTCTCATCTATCGAATCTTCGGCACGAGCATAAAAGCCCAACTCGGTCCGATCTTGGTTTCGTACGCCCAGTTTCTTCAACAAATCTCCAAGATGCAGTTCAACTATCTTCTCACACTTATTGCCGCCGCCGCGACAGGCGCCAACGCAAACGTCGCCGCCACGCGAGCGCTGCACCTCGCCGATTTCCGCGTTTACAGCCAACCAGGCTGCGATGGCGGCAATCTGGGAATAGTCTCGGTTTACGAGGGCGACGTCCGACCCGGTGGTTGCAAGCAACTCGTTGACCACAACATCAAGTCCGTTTCAACCGTTGACATCAACACAAACTGCAAGCGTGCGTAAAGTCAAGCAAACGTAGCTCATTAACTGCAGCTAATCTTCAGCATATAGTGTACTTCTTCACCGACTTGGAATGCAGGGCTGGGAAGGAAGAAGTGACTTGGAAGAAATGCTATGGCTCTCTCGACGGGATCAAGAGCTGGAACATCAAGTGTGATTGAGATACGGCCGGTCCTGTCTATTGGATACAGTTGAAGTCTTTAACCTCCACCCGGGCGTCGCCGGGAGCATCGCAATGAACCTTATATCCAATTCACCATGTCTTCATTGTCAGTCCGTCAGTGGATGTTCGTGATCCATGAGCTGGGCCTGGAAGCGTAATAGTCATATCAGACACGGAAACGAGAAACAGCTTCCCATAGTGAGATTCTTGCAAGCTCAGAAACTGCGGTAAGAGGCGGGCACAGCCTGCGTATAGGGGTCATATATGCCGTCACGATCCCTGACTTTACGATCCTAGGAGGACTCTCACAGCGTCATATAACCCCCATAGACGGACCCAAAAATGTGTATATAGAGGGCATAACCCCAACCAAGTGGTAGAAAAACAAGGCTCCTTCACATTCGGAGGCAGCACTTTGCAACAGAGTTCATGCCTTGCGGAAGGAGGTGTATCAGCAAGTCCGGGAGTATGTCTCTTGCGTCTCTGGGCATGATGTAGTGCAGCAGACTCCCAGAACTAGCACCTTGAATGCGGCAAGACAGGTTGCAGGGGTAGCACGACGTTGGTTGACGCAACGGCAGTGCATCAACCAGCTGGTGGTCTGAACACCGGCGAAATTTGATCATCTGGACTTACCGACGCACGATGCGACGAGTACCTTTTTGCCAGCCAACACGCGGCCTCGACGACTTCCTTCGGCAGCCCGGCCGTTTTCCGTTGCAATTGTTCTGAGCTGAACATGCCGGGAGAACTGTTCCAGGCCTCACAGCACCTGGTTACATCGGCACCAACGTTCCGGCCAACTCCCCAATACGGCGGTTCTGGCTGCCAGAACCCCGCAATACGTCCGGCAAATCTGCAGCCACTCGAGTGCCTGAGTTCAGCTTGGTGTGTCTCGAAATTAGCGTTCATCACAAGACGCCAAGTCTAGCCTTGATCCGAGCGCTCGACAGTGCTCTGTTGAAGATGATCGTGCTCGTCACGGACTGCAATCTTGGCCCCAGTCTAGTCTCAGATCGCTTGGGATCAGGGTCTCAGCCGCAAAGCACGTTCATGAAGAATCGTCACCGGGAGGCAAGTCTATAAACAAGGTCAAAGGGCGCATTTTAATCCATGAGAAAGCCGCAAGAGTGGTGAACTACCCTTGAGCATCCTGGCTGCAGCGACTTATCGTTGGCTGCTGCCAAACAACTCTACCTTCCTAAACCGGTACCCATGCCGTTATGGCTTTGCTGTAATATGCTTCCGCGCTTCTAATATTACACCGAACAAGTAGGGAGTACTGTTGTCGGCTGATAGCGGTCGACGCGTAACCTGAAGTCCGGTACGAGACGCAGCCGAACGGCGATACTTGACGGAGAACGAACAGAACGAACAATGCCGTTCTCTCCACCACGTGGCCGCAACATGTATCCGTACCTGCCATGTTGGGAAGTTCCATGGCCATGAGTCCAGGGACAGGAACACGAACCCGAGGGACGGCCCCGGGGTCACTGTACAGGGGCAGTACTCAACAGTCACCCCAAACAGGCAGATGCAGTGCCTCGGAAAGAATCCACACAGTCGAGATGTCGGCGGAACTCCCAACTATTGAGCGTGTTTCTAATCCAATTGTCCGAAGCACAGTACGTACATGTGAAGATGTCATGCCCCGCCTCGAGGACGCACATGCGGCTCTCCTGGACACATAAATAGTTCCTTCGGTCGTCAAGCAGGCCACCTTCATCACCTCAGCACAGCAACAAGGCCCTAAGCTTGCTTTTGACTATACTACACCATTAATTGGCTTTCTTACTTCCAAAATGCAGAGCTTTGGTGCATTCCTCGTGTCCTTGGTGGCCTTCAGCGGCCTGGCTGCCGCTCGGCCTACCGAGCCGACTGGCACCTTCTCAGTCGCGACGACACAGAACCGCCACTACAAGCCCAATGGGCCTCTTGCGCTCGCTAAGGCGTATCACAAGTTCAACAAGCCGCTACCGAAGAAGCTCGCAAAAGCTGTCGACCGTCTGAGCCGGAGACAGAGCACCGGTTCCGTGGTCGCAAAGCCTCAAGACTACGACATCGAGTACCTGTCGCCTGTGCAGATTGGAACCCCTGCGCAGACTGTGTACCTTGATTTCGACACCGGCTCGAGTGATCTCTGGGTTTTCAGCTCGGAAACTCCGACAAACCAGGTCAAGGGCCAGGCTACTTACAAGCCGGGCAGCAGCACGTCTGCGAAGAAGCTCTCCGGGGCGTCTTGGAGCATCCAATACGGAGATGGCAGCACTTCCAGCGGCGACGTCTGGACTGACACTGTCACTATCGGCGGCCTGAGTGTGAAGAACATGGCCGTTGAGAATGCCAAGAAGGTATCCCGGTCATTCAGCGACAACCCAGCGTGTTCTGGCCTGCTTGGCCTGGCCTTTAGCAAGTTGAACACTGTGCGCCCTACTCGGCAAAAGACCTTTTTCGACATGGCCATGCCGAATCTGAAGGAGCATCTATTCACGGCCAACTTGAACTACCATGCCGGTACGTTGGCCCCCATCGTTACTTGCAAGCCATTGATCGTGCGGTTACTGATTCTGTCAAAGATGGCACATATAACTTTGGATACATTGACAGCGCGGAGCACAAGGGCCCCATCGTTTACACAAAGGTCGATAACAGCCAGGGATGGTGGACATTCACCTCGCCCGGCTACGCCGTCGGTGACGAAGATTTGAACTCGGAGTCCATGACTGGCATCGCCGATACTGGAACCACGCTTCTTCTGCTGCCCGACGACGTTGTCACGGCCTACTACGACAAGATCCAGGGCTCCAGCTTCGACGACAACAACGGCGGCTACGTCTTCCCCTGCAACGCGGCGGCCCCTGACTTCAAGTTTGGCGTGGAAGACTCCTCCATCACGATTCCTGGCAAGTACATCAACTACGCCCCCATCGACGAGTCGGGCGAGACTTGCTTCGGCGGCCTGCAGAGCAGCTCGGGCATTGGTATCAACATCTTTGGCGACATTGCCTTGAAGCCGGCTTTGGTCGTGTTTGACGGGGGCAACAACCGCTTGGGCTGGGCTCAAAAGTAAAAGCCGTCGGGGCAAAAGAGTGAGCGAAGGTCTTTAGTGGTCACATCATTGTAGTCGCTGTGTGTTATTTCCTGTAAATGGTTTGAGTTACTGACCGCGTGCCGCGGGATCGGCCTGGATGCGATGCGGCTCAATGGTAGTCAGCGAACATAGGAGCAGATGATTGTCAAAAATAAACGTCGCATTGAATGCTCTTCAATCGCCCAGCAATTGTGCACGAGGAGTGCGTCACGGCCTTGATTGACGACTGGATATGTTGTCCACTTGTCGAACCATCATACGAGGTCATCGCGCTGTCAAAACTGGCGGCAGTAGTTCAGCGCGGCCAGTCCAAAGCCATCCTAGGCTCAATTTCGCTGTCGGCCTCCCCGAGTGCCAATACGAGCGTCGACTAAGAACTGCCGCTGTCCAGTGTGTATGCGGACTGGCGTCTCGTGTGACCCTTCCCGCGATGTGGGCACTGGGGTCAGCCGTGTTCAGCCACACTGATGGAATCATTGAACAGAGCAATTTCCGACTAAGTGCATATGACCAAGATGTGCCTGCACCGAGAGGCTCATTTCAAGCCTCCAGACATTCGCCGCAGGATGACAGTGTTTTATTGTTCGGGCAGCGTCTGTCGCTGAGTGAAACGGAGACCATCGGGCCCTTCACGACATGACATGAATCGCTCAGTCGCTGAAGACTCTAGGATGTACTGTGGATAATGGATATGCAGATGTTGTCACCAACCCTGCCGAGGGGACGGCGTTGTGCTCTCTCCATTATGGGCCGTGAAACGTCAGGAACAGCCGCATCAAGTACACGGGCGACATGCTCAATGTACTTCTCTCGCTCATTGCGCCAAAACGGACACGCGCAGTGAAGGTGCAGCGTCGCGGGCACTCCCGTTCCACCAACCCAGGAAGGTTTCTGTCCAACCCACAGTGCCTGGGTCGCTAGCGATGGACCATGTTGCAACGAAACGACTCCTGTGCGAGGTCCAATCGGTTTCGAAAGCGGCAGAAACCTCCAAGCCGACCAAACAGAGCCAGAAGCGACACATCAAGCAATTGCCAAGACAATATCTGCCGCTCGATGCTCTGTATCCCTCATGAGCCGGCCTTGCACATCACAGCGCCCCGCAGCAATCGATGATGCGACATGCGGCACTGAAGTTTAACCGGCAATGGCGCCCTACTGGTTGCCCATGGGTATGGCGGCCATGGGCGCCGCTGGGTGCGCGAGCACTCCTTCGTACGCTCGAGGTCATGCGTCCAGGTATTCAAAGTTCCAATGCTGCTTGCTTCATCACCAGACCGCCATTGAGGGCGACCCCTTTCCCCTTTATTGTTCTGACACATCGAGCGAAACGATGTCGCAAATGCCAAAAAATCCTTTTATGAGAGAGAGGAATTGGCCGTGCCCATTCTGACGCGAGCACGATCGCGCCACCCCTGGCGGGGCTCGTTTGGAACATTGTGCCTGGCTGCGCTGGCTTGGCTGGCAAAATGGAATTATGTGGGTAGTAAAACGCGCCTATTATGTACAAAGGTCCACGACAAGCCTCCCCGTACAATCTGGGTCCAGGGCTCTGTAGCCTGCTCGCTTGGCCAAAATAGCACACGCGCACGATATCCAAACGTGAGCGCCACTACGCGCCGTGGTGCCGACCATCAGCGGCCGACGAAGGATCATGATGACACTGCTCTCCCTCTCCGGTTCCAAGGCGCGGAGAACTGCTCCGTTGTCGCGGTCCTGCTTGCCTGCCTGCCCTTGCTCCCGTTGTGCTTCTCCAAGCCACACTTTGGGGGGTGGGACCAGTCATGTTGCATTCCGCATTCCTCAGGATCGGAGGATTTGCTTTCCTCCGAGACCCACCGACAAAGGCTGTTCCCGTGCGCTCAGCGGACGTCAAGAAAACCTTGAGGTCATCGCTGGGAGAGCTCTGCAGCTAGCAGCGGGGGCCAAGGCGGTCCCCGGGATTCGGTATCCTAAGCCGCAGCTCAACTGGAGCGCTCGGTCGCTTTCCGGCCCCCATGAGAGATGCACTGGCAGCGGGAAAATATGGTGCGGCCGAAGCGCCTTCGTATGTACGTAAGAGAAGGACCGCGGTCCGCCAGGCGTGGCCCAGCTGGGGGCGGGCAGGAAATGAGAGCGCGGTTGATGGCGTGCCTGATGGGGAAAAACCATCTCCACGTCGTCGGGTCTTGACGACGTGTCTGAGCACAGTGCAGTATGCTTACAATGCTTATTCCTAGGAGCGTGGGCGGCTGTCTCGGCCCTCTGCTCGCAAGGTGATCAGTGCTGGGGTGAGACTCCTGAGTCCCAACCTGCATTCGTCGACCTGTGACATCTGAGACCTCGCGGCACATTCCTCCGGTCTCAACATCCATTCAAGCCATTACCACGCGGACGAGGCAGACAGGCCCATCAGTGGCATGCCCGCCTGCCCTCATGCCTTAATTCGGGGGGGACTGGACCGCTGGGGGAGCTCGCGGTGAGCCAACTGAATGGTTGTTGTGTCTACTCATCGTGGTTCAGGCCTGGTCCTTGGCCTGGGGCGATGCGCTGACACGCGCACGCATATCCATGCACCCTGGGGTAGGGGAACTACCGGCACCATTGGTCCATCGAGGCTCCCACCCGGACGGGAGGGAAGACCCTGGTACCGTACCGTGTCACGCGGTCCCAAGAAGCACAGCTCACCTTCCATGGAGGCGTGATTCCTGATGTGACACGGGGAATTCGCTTCGCACACGCGACCGTTGGGCCCCCTCCTGCTTCTGCATGTTGGTTGCTCGTGAGCCCCCAAAGCCCACCCGGAGGATAAGCCACGAGAGATTTCGTCAGGGGCCGAGCGATTGCCTATTCAAAAGCAGCGTAAAATGCGCGGCACAGCTGCCATGGCGCATGGGCCGGCCCAGCCCACGGCGCAGGAGCAGGCACCACTGCCGCCAGACATGCAGAAAGTGGCGAGAGGGCGCTTGACTCAAGGGGCCGACCCGCGCAGAGTGAAAGAAAAAAGGGGAGGCAATCAAAACGGGTACCCATTTTGAATACACTATTGGGTACGCCAGAACCTGGCCGGGTTGGGGCATAGGGCTGGCTGGAAGGATGGACGACCGGAGCTGACAGGTGGCGCACTGCGTGACCACTTTCCGCATTTGACTGGTCCCGGTCGTCATTGTCCACGGCTTGCAAGTGTTCACCTTGTAATAGTACAGCTGTACGAAGCAAGGTGGCACCCGTGCCCGGGGGGCCAGAGGACATGGCACCCGTAGCATCGCCGTGTTCCACACCCAGGACGTAAGTACCTGCCCGCCTCACTTACACCACTCTCGTTGAGCATGGAGTGCCCTAGCGGTGCAGAGTTCACGCCGCGCGCGGGCCAGTCGATCAAGGTTTCCAAGTGACAGGTAGTTCCTAGCCTCTGGGCCGCACCCGGCACTGACTTGAAGCCCTGCGGTGCAGACACTCGGTGACGCTCGCTGTCTCACTTCCGCTCTCGGCTCGTGCCAGATGCAGATTCCACCGCCAGCGCTGTAGTGTGAGGCATTGAGGGTCGAGCAGAGCCCCCGCACCACACACACACATGTGGACGCTGCCCTTCATCGAGGCTAGCACGTACTTCGTACGTATGCTCGCATCAACGGCTCGCGCGCACACACGCGCGAAGGACCGCAGGAGGGGGGTGGCCGGCTCTAATGGCGAGCATTTCTTGCCATTCCTCGTATTCCTCCGGTCCCGGTACGTAGCGCCCGGCACGCGACACAGCACCCGCCTTGGTCTAGCCATGGATGCCATGGCCTCGCCCCTCCCTCCACCTCCCCGGCTGTCGACTCCGTTTCAACCGACACGAACGGTGGCCCTACACGGTGCACGGGGCAGCTGGTCTGAGTTGGGCGAGCCTGGTCTCCTCTCACTTGGCCATATGCGTCTGCTCCTCCGCCTCCTCCTTCGCGTCTCGGTACATGTACTTCGTAGCCTACTCTTATTTAGGTACTCGGTGACCCATCCTTGTGCCGTACCCGCATCTTGATCTTGTCTCTCTCTTTCCCGCTCCTTTGTTGTGCTCGCGTGGGCTATGGCTGAGGGTGCTGTTTTCGTGTTGCTATAACACCGAGACCAAGGACCTTTCACGGCCCTCCGCCGCATCAACCCGCCCCCCATACTCACCGGCGGTCCGCTTCAACACCCGGCCGCCTTCCTATGATGGGGCCGACACGCTTCGCCAGCGCAGCAGTCTCTGTGCCGTTCGCTATCCGGAGGTTCATGCTCGCCATCTTGCCCCGCCTCATCAACCGTCGCTTCGCCTTCGCTCTTGCCGCCGCCGCGATCCTCGTCACGAAAGTCGCCCACGTCTACTTCCACCTCGATGCCATCCCGACCCGAGACCTCATCCGCTGGGGCAGCTCCTTCTTTCTCCAAGATACCCTCGTTTTAGTTATACTCCGCGTCCTCATCGATGGCCAAGCCGTCGCATCGATCGCGGCGTCCTTCTTCATCAGCTTCGTGGTGCTCTTGGCTTTCATCAGCCTCACCTTCGCTACCACCGCGGGCTCCGAGCTTCAGTGGCGCAATGTCACCCTGGCTGGTGACTCGTCGTCGTGGGGGATGATGGTGACTGGGTTGGTGTCCGCTGCCCTTGTCCTTGCGGGCCTGCTGGTGCTTGCTGCAGTCTCCCAAGCCGTGTTTTACACCGCCGCAGGGATCGCACTCGACATCTTGAAGTGGCCCGTCTCCGCTCTTCTAAGCAGATTCTCGACGAACCAGGGCGAAATCCCCGCGACGTCCGAGTACAAGCACCTACCACAGAAAGACCTCGAGAGTTCGACCGAATATCTCTATCAGAGCGATGACGGTTGGGAGAGCAGTTCACAGGATACGACCCCAGCTCCCGCGAGATCTCCGCGGTTGCTGTACGTTGTTGTTGGCGTCGGCATCTTCGCGCAGATCTTTACGACTCTGCTGCGCCCGGATGACACCTCACTCGTTTACATGTCGTGGACGCTACCACTCATGCCGTTTGTCGACTTTGCTCACTCTTCGTCATCGCTTTCGAGCCTGCTGGCGTCGTCCAGTAATGTCAATGGTACGCTAGACAATGCCACGGCTTTGACCAAACCTATTCAGTTTTCTTGGCTGCCCAAGGACACGCCTCTTCCAGGTTTCGAGGATTGGTATACCGAAGGCAAGGAACATTATTCGGCGCAGGAGGACCCGCTTAAGATCTCCAACCTCGACGACCCGCTCCTCCCGGCGCTTCGCGATATCAACCTCGCTGACGTGCCTATTCGCCACGTCATGTTGATTAAGCTCGAAAGTACGAGAAAGGACGTCTTTCCGATCAAGAAGAGCGGGAAGCCGTACACGCGTCTCGCTGGCACACACAAGAACAAGACCCTGCCGGAGGAAGCGAACAAGCTGCTCGCGAACCTCACACCTGCTGCCAAGTTCCTCACGGGCGACCACGATGACGGCTTCGAAGGCAACGACACCAAGCCCGAGCCGAATAGACGGCGAGGAGGCATCAATGCCAACAACGCCTTTACGACGAGCACATATACTCTGAAGAGTTTGGCGGGTACGCTCTGCGGATTGAGTCCCCTCGCGGCGGACTTCAACCTTGAGCATGCGCACCACGTTTACCAGCCTTGCCTACCGCATATCTTTGGAGCTTTCAACAGCTTGGATCACTCCCGGGACCACACCCCCAAGGCCGGTGCTTTCACCCCATACAAATGGCGGTCTTCCTTTATGCAGTCCGTCACATTCCGCTATGATAAGCAGGACAAGCTCATGCCCAGACTGGGCTACACAGACGAGAACCTCATGGACTGGTGGTATCTCAAGGGCACGCCCAAGTTTGGCCCCGTCAACATCTCGGACGTCAATTATTATGGCATGCCCGAAGTGGCCATTGAAGACTACATTCGCGATGCCTTTGATGAGGCCAAGAAGAACAACGAACGGGTTTTCCTATCACATTTGACGAGCACGACGCATCACGCATTTGGAATTCCAGAAGAGGAGAAATATGTGCCCCTTACTGAAGACAAGGACTGGAACGACTTGTCGCATTATCTCAATGCAGTTGGTTATGTCGACCGTTGGTTGCAGAAGATTCTTGGCATTCTTGATGAGAAAGGAGTGGCCAACGAGACCCTTCTGGTTTTAGTGGGTGACCACGGCCTTTCAATCGCCGAGAAGGGCACCATCACCCCGTACAGCAACCCGCACGTCGCCAACTATCACGTCCCTCTCGTTCTGTCGCATCCGAAGCTGCCCCAGATCAACATCGACGACGCAGTCCACTCTACTCAGATCCTCCCGACGATCCTCGACCTTCTCGTTGAGACCGGGTCACTATCAAAGTCGAAGAGCAAGGCAGCGCGCGATTTGGCGCGCAACTACGAGGGCCAGTCCCTCCTGCGCCCCCTCCGCAAGTTCTCGGAGCGCAACTCGCAGGGGGCTTGGCAAATTACGGTCATGAACCCCGGCGGCTCGACATTGGCAGTTCGCGACGCGCGCCAGCCCAACTGGCGGCTCATCGTGCCCGTCTTCGGAAACTACGAGTGGCGGTTTACCGACCTGACGGACGACCCGCATGAGGAGCACCCCATCTCTTCATTCGACCTCAAGGCGCTCATGCGCACGCTGGGAAGCGAGAACGGGACGGACACGTCTCGCTGGGTAGAGGAAGCCGCGGTGGTCACGCGGTGGTGGGCGAATGAGAACTACAAGAGATGGCGTTTCCATCCGTAGAGGATCAAAACGCTCAATGAATGGGTGGGCGGCTATTGTTGCAGACAGGAGTTTATGGAGCCGTGGTTATTTGCACAAGGGCGCTTGGCCTGCTGTATTAACAAGACATTAATTAACATATTACCAACAACATACTTAATATGCCTATTCAAGTCCCTCGATGCATTCGCGTGTTGCCCCCGCACTGACCAGCGCGCAGGAGTTTGGGGGCTGGACTTGGATCTGCGGCCGGCGTGGCCAACATGGGATATCGCCGAAATGTGCCTCGCCAGCTGACGTCTTCCTGCACACGCGGTGCTACGAATCTATTCAAGGAGCCAAGACAATCGAGATTCTGGTGGCATTCGTCATCACAAAGGTGCAGCCGTCGGGCGGTTCGAAGGATTCTGGCTGCAGCGGACTCACTAAGCTGGCTAACGGGATCCAATGTGCATCAATTGTATGCATCAATTGTAATATCGACTCGTACAGCCATGTTCGGCTGGAGATACCCTGGCTACCGTGAAGCGCATGTCGGACGTCAGCGATGCCCCAACCCCTTGAGAAACTTCGAGGTAGCCTTCCCAAGCTCTTCCGGAGCCTCAATTGGTACAAGGTGACCAGAATCAGGAGCAATCACCAGCTCAGAGTGAGAAATGACTCCGCGGACTTCCCGCTCGATTCTTGCGACTGGTTCCACGACGTCGCCCTCAGCGCCTACCACCAACGTCGGAACGTCAATCCTCTTCGCTTCAGCCACAATGTCGCTACCCATGCCATAAGCAGGCCAAGCTGCCTTGGCGTGGTTGTTTCCCTTGAGCATATCTGTGACGACGCGGTCGACGGTGCCCTGTTGAAGCGGAGAAGCCGTGAGAACATTTCGCGTGACGAACTCGGCGCTCTCTGGGGTGTCGTATGCGTGCACCTGCTGCTCGCGCATCTCGGGCGGGAGCTCCAGCGGCGATGGCGGCGTTGGCGAGACAAGAACAAGGCCCAGTAGCCCATCGGCGTGTTTCCTGCCCCCCACCAGTTGGGCAACCTTGGCGCCCATGGAGTGGCCCATGAGGACGAAAGATCTCAATCCCAGCGCGCGAATGACGAGCTCGACGTCGTCGGCGAGGTGCGCAATCGAGTACGCAGACTCGTCGTCGGGGCCTGTGGATTGACCCCAGCCCCGGAAATCCAGAGCGACAACGGGGTATTTTGGAGCAAGAAGAGAGCGGACTTGCGCCCACGTCGACGACGATCCTCCCCAGAAGTGAAGGAGAACGAGAGTGGTGTCGGTGAGGGCGTCCTCGGGCGTGGCCTCGGCCGGGAAAGAAATCTCCGCACGAAGCTTCACGTCTGGTTGAACTTCAACCACCCTGAATGTGGTTTGAAAGGTCATGGCGGCTATCGTGGGATGAGTTTCGCAGCTTGGGGTTCTCTTCCGGGGCGCACAGCAAGCACTGGTTCCGAAGTTGGATCATGAACTGTCTGAACAGGAGCTCGAACAGCTCTTTGAAGGGAAAGTGCGCTTCATTTAAGTGACAAGATGACCAGTGCTCAAAGTGCCGCCACAGGGGTGACTCAAAGCCATGGCCACCGGCCGAACCTCGCGATAGCGGTGCCGTTGTTTCCGGGTCGGGAGCGGGTTCGGCCGGCCGGCCCCAAGATCCGGCCCCACCCGGAACATAGCGATCGCGTCCGGAGCGCCGGCCGATCGACTGCAAACATTGAATACAACGGAAAGCTGTCTGAAATTTGCGGGGCCAATTTCACATTAATTGGAAGTGGTATTACGGTAAGTTAAATCCTCTACTCTCATTATCGTTGCTCCCGCACGTTATACACGCCGATCCGGCCATTTCGGTCCGCCATGATCAGGGACCTCCCGTCGGCGGAGAACGCCAGCTCCGAGACCGAGGACAAATCGTTGAACTGCTCAAACCCAGGTTTCGGCCCGCTGTCGATGGCGAGAGCGTCCTTGTCGGGCCAGCACCAGACCTCCCGCCCGTCAACTACGTCCAGCACGCACACGCAGCCCCGCGCCCCGATGCCCGTGCCGCTGGCGTGGCAGTACGCGACATACCGGCAGTCGGGGGATATGCACGCCGCGCAGTTGGGTATCGCGAACGTGTGCGTCGAGTTGGCCGAGAGGTCCCACACCAGCACGTATCGCGAGGGCACCTTGACGGGTACCAGCTTGAACCCTGTTCCGTCTCGCGACGGGGGCACCGGCACTGCGCGGAACCCGGCCGGGATCCAGATCGAGACCACGACGCTGCCATATGCGCAGAGATCGCAGGGGATGGCGGTGCCAATCTCTTCGTGCTGCCATGGTCGTGCCACCCGGAAAGGCTTGTTGGAGCCGTACCCATCAGTGTTGGTGTCCCATGCGACGAGCAGCGTCTCCTTGTCCGGTGGCGGTTGGCCGCGGCGTGGTGGCCTCGGCCCAGCTGCTGCGACCAGAAGCGGACTCGTTGCCGAGAGGGCCAGCTCGGGATATTGGGGCACAAACGGTAGGTTGGCTTGCTTCAGGTCGATGGATCGTTGCTTAGCGAACGGCTTCTTGTCTTGTGTCGCCGTAAAGATGTCAATCCGACTGTCGTCGCCGCGATACACAGCCAGGGGGCTGCATCCTCCACCGTACGCCTCGGTGCTCGCAGCGGTCCATCTGTCCGCGTCGTCGATGGTCTGCAGGCACTTTTTCTTTCCCCAGTTCCAGATCTCTATCGTCCTGCCGAAGCGAGTCGCGATGGCCACGAGGTTGGATGCTTCCGAAACGATGGAGTGGCTTCTGATCAGGTAGTCTCGCGATCGCGACTGTGCTTCCGTGTACGAGGTGAACTTGATCGAGTTCTCGAGCGCGCCGGTCTCGAGATCCCATAGTTTGAGGATGTTGTTGCCATGCTTGCTGGCCAGGATCTTCGACGCCGGCGAAACGTCGAGGTAAAAGACGCTGTTGTTGATGCGCTTGTCGTCCGAGACGATTTGCTTGTCGAAGCCGAGGTCAAACGACGTGGTCGATGCGATGGAAGCTTTGGATGGCTTCACTTCCGGGATGGATCTCTGGCGGGCCGTATTTATGGCATTCGGTGCCTGTTGCGTGTCGGAAATGTAAGACAGCGTCTGGGTCGGCGCGGTATCGGGGTTGGATGTTGCGATGGAGGACCGCGAGTACCGGTCGCCGCTGGCCGATGACTTGTCAAACGAATCTTGCGAAGGCGCCCTTGCTGCCCTCCTTCCTTTCATCGGAATCGGGGGAAGCGGCTTCGTCGGCGGTGGGAAGATGCTGTAAGTAGACCCTACGGACGGGGCGCGTGGAATCGATGGTCTGTGTGCTGAGTGCGACGTCATGCCCCTAGACGCGGGCCGCCTCGCATACCCGTCCGACACTTCTGAGCCGTGGGGCGACACCGGCATGGCAACAAACTCTTGAGAGTACGATCGAGGCTCCTGGCTGTAATATTGTTGTTGCTGCTGCTGCTGCTGCTGGTCGGCAGTGGCAGACGTGGTCCGGTACATGGGCCGCGACGTGTTGAGGGGCGAAGCAAACCCATGGCGGCTGGTGCTGCGCGGGCTCAGCCGGTGAAGCTGGGTTCTGTAGCACAGGAAACAACAATGTGCTGTCAGCCAAAGAACTATCGGTTGTTCACCCTCGAAGGTGAAGTGGTCGCGAGCGCAGCGACATCAAGCACCGGCGGTCGTTGCCTCCGCGATGGCATCACGTCGGGATCGCGGGGGAAAAAGACTCACGCTATTTGATCTACGTCGTCGGAACTCTGGGGAGGAGGGGGTTCCATCTCGGATCAGACGGGGAAATTCAGTGGGACTGGAGATGTCGCGTGCCTGAGCATAACCCCAAGGTTTCCCCGGGTTCCCCGCTTGGCCGGCGGAGCGCACGATGTGTCGTTTCGTCTCGGCGGGAAAACAGAGAGATAAGAGGCGGATGAAACAGCGCACGGCCGCGCGCGTTGTTATGCACGATGGGGTGGATGATGTGGGAAAGACAATCGCAATGGCACGACGGCTTCTCATTGAGAAACGACCCTCTCTGATGCGTCGTCCCGGTTGTGGATCCCGGGGGCGCACACAAATGCAGCAGGCAGCGTCTCGTCGCCTGAATCATGCCTCCTTGATCCCAGCATGTGCGTCCCGTCCCTCCAGGTCCCCCTCCTCTCGTCACAGCCAGGTGCGATGGATGCCAGGCCCTTGGACGGTTCCCCCCCGTCCACACATCCGGGCCACGGCTCCCGAACGGTTCGGCTGCAGCAGGCCCAGGCCGAGAAGGCCCGAACGCGGCCAGAGGCTAGAGACGGGATGGAACCATGATAGGTCATGGCGGGACCGCCACCGCGCCACAGGCACAGACGGGCCGGTGAAGACAAGTTTAGCCGCAATATTTCCTAACCGCTTCAGAGCTTCGCGCCTGCGCCGGATTGGCGACGGAGGCGACGGATGACAGGAAGCTTTGGCGACTGGTGCGGCCCGGATGCTTAGCATTCGCATCAGACAAGACGCTCACCTGTGCGACCAGGGCGCGGGGAGCAAGGTGCTGAGCCCCGCGAGGTAATTCTTGTGGACATGGGGTCGGAGCGGGTCTGCTGCGCTGGTAATTGGTGAAGAGAAGCGTCTTTTCATCTCGTAGGTTCCTCACTGCATTTTCTTCGCCCTCCGAGTCATGCCTGCGACTCCACCTCCAGTCCGGAGTAGATTGCGATAATTGGGGCGTCTGATGCTAGCCTGTCAGCCGCTTCGGGGTTCACTTACCAATTGGCGCATTCCTTGGGATTTGACGTGTGCCGGGCCATATCAAAACGTAAGTGAGAGCAAAAGGAGGTGGCTGGTGTTACATGGCTTCTACAGCCAAGGCCACGACAATAAAAGTCTGTTCATCTGCCGCTGCTCCATTCTATCCAACTCGAGTACACTTGAGATAACTACAAGTATGTGCAATGATGCTTCAATGTTACGTACAGGAGGCCCAAAAGCTGGGTGAGATGCGAACCCTGCAGAATGCCACGCGGGTAACTGAAAGGATCGTGGTTTTGGATCGGACCAGGCAAGGGGACCAGAGACATGGCGGCATGGCAGCAGCCAACCCGCAGGGTTCCCCTCATGTAGGCTGAGAGCTAGTGGCCTGCCAACCCGTCCGACCCTGGCCGTTCTACGAGAGAATGTCACTCCGTCTGCCACCACGCCACCCCCGTGTCTCGCAGCGTGTTAGTGCCGCAGTGCACCTCGCCGCCCCGAACGTGATGCGACATGTAGTCGTCGATGAACCAGACTGTCATGTTCGCCTTGGCGTAGACGTCCACGATGGCTGACTCGAGAACGTCGTGGCCGTCGACCACGGGACCCCAGGGCTTGGGCGCGACGTAATCGTGGCCGAGAACAACGCCGTTGACTGCGTGTGGGAAGAAGGCTTGCAGCTGGCGCTCACCGGGTAGCGCTCGATGAAGCCTCGTGGGGACGCCATCCGGGCTCCGTGGCCAGGGGTAGGTCGTATCCTTCCAGAGCGCCGGAACGCGCAGGACATGCTTTGGGTCAAGCGGGATTTCTTGCAGCAGCAGCGCGAGATTACTGTCAATGAACCGTTGGCCATACTCATTGATCTTGAGGAACTGCTTGTCATCCAGGATGCTGCTGACAGTCTGGTTCCGGACGGAGGGGTCAAGGAAAAGCGCATCCTTGTCAGGGGTCATGCTGCCGTTGTAGCTCAAGATTGGAGCAGAGCCGTGTCCGGCTTTTCTGACATCTCTCAGCACCTCCAGTGCCGCCGAAGTGTCAGGCACCGCAATGGTGAAGCCCAAATCATTGTGGTACGGCAAAAACTGCACCATCTCGTCGATGTGACCGGCCACAAGCCAACCCGCCTCGAGGAACAGGGGTCTCTGGGCACCTTGCGATTCCAAGAAAGTGATCATCGACGCAGCGGGGTATTTGTCGAAGTGCTTGCCCAGGAGAACCCGCCCGTTTCGATATGGCACGCCTGATCGGGACAGGTACGGCGGGATCGTCTCGATGTTGCCGCCCGAGTTGATCTCCTCCCACCCAAAGCCCGACCCCGACCCGGGCTGCCATCCACCCACGCCGTCTCCACGCAGCTCGTTGAAGACTCGTCGGCCGTTGGGGCGAGTGGATTGGGCAGATCGGATGAGCACGCGAAGCGAAATGGGGCCGTCAGGGCCGGGCATACTGACAAAGGCGGGCTCCATGAAGTCCTGGCCCCATACCTCGTTGCTGTTGTTGAGCACGCGGAGCGCCGGCGGCCGATGCAGACGGCCCGCAATATCCGTGAGGGACTTGACGAACGGCGCCTGCCACACCGAAACGGATTCGTTCGTCTGGAGGGTCAGGAAGGTATCGACCTGCTGAAGGTGGTGGTGGACGAGCACTGGCGCCTGCTTCAAGGCCACAAAGTCCGAGCCCTGGCGTTGGCCGTCGATAACCTCAAAGACTATCTGCACTGAACCATCCCAGATGTTCGAGTCCGAAACCAACTCCCGACCGTCCACCGCAAGGGCCAGGCCTTGGGAAAGGCTGGTGGCGTTGAACTCGAATTGACTATTGATCGAAATCCAGTCGGCCGAGTCGTTGCCCGCGCCACCGTGCCTCCAAAAAACTCGAACGCGGTCGCGAGCCGCCTCCGGCATTGTGTGAATCCGACCGACGGCATCCTTGGACAGGCCGTGGATCGGTTGCGTCTTGGCTCGTGCCGCCACATGCGGTGTGATGAGCCGATCGCCGGCCGCATCATTGCAAGAGGCAAGCTCCAAGTTGCTGAGGGGGAGACCGGCGAGATCGACACTGGCACAGCGATGGGTTCGGTCGCCGATGTTGGGCAGAAAGATGGCCCCGTGTGAGTCGGTCCATTGATGCCTGTGTTCGAGGTCCGAGTCGTCCACGGCACCGTCGCGATTGGTGTCGGCTAGAATAACGGGCGAAATGGCTGACGAGTTTGTCGCTGCCAGTGTGACTTGTAGACTAGCCACGGCGTGCAGGCCCCCAAGAAGGAACAAAGACGAGGTTGAGTATTGCATTTCGAGTTCTACGCCCAGTGGCTCGGCTCAAGCAGAGATGCAAAGGTGCGATGTCCCCAACATGAACCGTTTGCCCTGTCGCCAGGGTGTCCATCATCTTATAGACGTCCGGCCAAGAACTCGCGCGATCTGTTGGTGATCACACCGCTGAGAATCGTCACCGTCGTCCATCGTGAGATGGGTAGTTTATTGCCATTTCGAGAGAAAACTTTGCAAAGGTCCAAGGCAGTGAGAGTCGTGATCATTTCCTGTCCCTCTGGACGGAAGTCATCGCCGCCGAATCGATTTCCCAAAACGGCAAGAAAAATGGCCAAGTCCCGGCACTGACTGAGGGCGAATGTCTCACTGCCGGCGCACTGCCACGCAGCTTGGGCGGAGGCTCATGACGCGTGCGACCAAAAGCGTCAATTAAACGACATCGCCCGTCCAAACTCGGTGATTATTCTGTTCAAACTCCCGTCTGACAGCCGGTTTGTGGTGGCTATGTCATCCGTCATTCATCAAATCTAAAGCGAGCATCATGGCTTAAAGTGCGAAAATGTACGGTCTATCAAACAGGCCATCCCAGCTCTGCCCACGCCTCTGGTGCCACGACGCCCGGGACGCCCAAAGTCGCCCCAAGAACTGCCTTCCGATGAGTGGCGATGCAATTCCGAGAGTGCGGCTCATCCACCCTAGCTCGCCCTCTATGAACCGCCGGGAGGCCTCATCCATCGGGTCTACTTCGATGCCTGCCATGACGAGCGGCCAGATGACCATCTTGCGCAGCTGAGAATTGGCGTCGGCTGCGATGACTTGCAGGTGATGCAGCAGCGAGGAGCAGTACTCGATGCGCATGTTGTTAACCCCGACGCAGGTGTCGTTGTATGTTGTCGATGCGGACGGCGCCATGCCCCTCGTCACCTCTGTGCCGAGGAGAGACGAGATGCAGTATAAGGCGATTGCTGCCTGGTAGATTGTGGCGATGCGCTGCCAATCCCACGACGCCGTGAATTTCGGCGAAGGGATGTCGAGGCCTTGGGAGGCGATGAACTTGGTCTGCCGGCTCGCTCCCTGTATTGCCGCCATCTTGATCTCCGCGGCCCAGCTCTGGGGCGAGAACTGCCTGATCTGCCGCAAGAGCTCCAGACCAGAGGATAGGCGGTCAGTCCCGGCACCCCCAATGGCATCTCCGTCCTCCTGAAGTCGAGCTCGCTGGGCGTTGATCCGAATGATACACCGCAACAACCCCGACGGGCACGGAATGCACGTTTGAAGCTCGCTGCCAAAGAGCAGTGGTAGCAGGGGCACAAGCTCCAGGTTACGGCGAGCGGGTTCCGTGCCAACCGACGGCGCGGTGGTGCTGCCTATCACGTCTATGCTTTGAGTTCGTCAGATGGCTGCTGCACATGCCAGACAGGAACTCTTCTTACAGGACAAAGTACTGAAGAAGGTTGCGAAACAAGGGCCGCGACATGACGAGGTTCGGCAGCCCGCCTCGCTCCTGAATGATGGCAGCCGCCCCGTCGAGGTGGTGCCGCCAGTTGGTAGAAATGGACTGCTGGATCTGAGTCTACCCGTCAGCAAAGCAGTCGCCAGTCGCCAGTCGGCGTCTGATTGTACCTCGGAGAGCAGAAAGACGAAAATGGACACAATCACGGCGTCGCTTGTCTGCGTCTTGGGTTGAGAGAGCGCATCTGCGAGGGTCCGAATGGCGGCGCCCCGATGCGTTTGAAGTCGGGTCGCGAGGATTGCCGTCTCGTCGCCGGGCCGCTCGTTACTGCTCTGGAGAATGCGATGGCCGAGGGCAGTGGAGATGAGTGCTTCCTTGATGGGCTCGGGGAGATCGGCGGCCACGGAGAGAGACGTGAAGAAGGGGTTGTGTGAGCCGGTCAGGCCCGTAGCCAGCATGTCGGGGCAAATATGTTCGTTGTCTGCAGGTACATGAGCGATTGCAATGAGCAGATGGCGTGCATTTCATGGGCATCCTTACAATACTGGATGGCATCAAGTAACGAAGTAATCTCGCTCGACAGGTCAATCGAAGGCGAAACGACAAGCTGGCGTTCACTCGCGCTCTCCTCCTCCTCCTGCGGTCGCCTCTGGTCGCCAGTTGACTTATCTTTGCGCACACCGCGTCGCTTGGACCTCGTCTGCCCAGGCGCGATCCATTTCAACGGCTTGTGGTCGTACCCCGGACATGAGACGCCCCGCGCAAAGCATTTGTTGCATCGCGGTCGCGTGAGATCGCACACGAGCCGCCGCTTCAGGCACTCCCAGCACTGCTTCCTTTCCGTCATTGGGGTCTCCTCGGGGCCCGCGTCGTAGGGATTGCCAGGAATAAGGTCATGACATCGTGGTTAGGGTCGTGAAAATGCCGGTGTCGTCACCGACGTGTATCGCACCACGTCGAGAACTCGGGATCTTGACTTGGAGCCCTGACGTGACCCGCGTGACCACGCGACGGACTTGGATGTGGGCGGAGGATTGTCCAGTGCGCCTTACAGGGCGGAGGGCGGCTCGTATATGTCGCTGTGAGACCCGAGTGGGATTAGGCTTCCAGCTCCGGCACTGAGGCGCAGCGGAAGGCCGGGCCGCCACCATCATTGGCGGGCCACGCTTGACATGTGTGGGCAACTGCCGGTGGGTGACTCAAGGTGATGTTTGATGTGACGACGGCACTGCTGTTGCTGGCAACTGTCTGGTCTGAGGTGGTAGTCTCACCAGGTAATCGACGGGGCCCGACGGCTCTGCTAGCGGTTGCCTGATCATTCTCGGCTCTAACCTTCGTTTTATTCGTGAAGCCGACCGTGTGCTAATGACACGCAAGCGGTCCAGTCAAGCGTGTCGGGGCGGTGAGGCGGCATACCCAGCATTCAGTCACAGGGCCAATCCGCAAAGGCAAGTCCAAGGTCTGACGGGCAAAACGTCGACAATTTGATGTTCAATTTGATGCAATCTTCAGTACATCTAAGTGCTATGCTAGATCTAATCTCTCCACATCTCTCTCCGCTCGCAATTTGATGTGCGGCCACGCCCCGGCCGCACAATTTGTGTTACCATGCGATGCGAGCAATGGGTCCGTTGGGGAACAGTCGGACAACCAGCTTGCGAATCTCGTCCATGCACAGGATGCCCAGGGCGAGAGGGATCGGAATCACCCAGAACTCGATCGGGACCGACGCAGTGCCGAACAGGTTCTGGATGCCGGGCACCTCGGTGACGAAGACGGCAATGGCCAGGCTGATGGCCATGCTGAGGAGCAGCCACGGGTTGCGCCTCTTCTTGGTAACCGGGTCTGCCTGGAGGATGCTGAGCCTCCTGTTCCTGACGGCCAGGATGTTGCCCCACTGCAGGATGACCAGCGTCACAAAGTAGACGCACTGGCCCGTGTAGTTGAACTGCGTCAGCTCGTCCTGCGTGTACCCGTGGAATCCCTCCGAGTAGCCCTCGAACAGAAAGAAAAGCTGCCTGATCGGGATGCCCGCCTTCTTCCAGTAGTACAGAAAGAACATGGCGTGAGCCGTGCACGTCTCCATGAATCCGGTGAACAGGTACGCCTGGATGTAGATCTTGATAGTGATGAGGTGGTCGCGCTTGTGGTTGCGGGGAGGCAGCGAGAGGAGATCAAACTCCTCCTTCTCCATGATCAGAGATAGAGACAGGAACAGATCGGTAAAGACGCAAATGATGATCATGAGGAACGAGCTCAGGGGCAGAGGCACACCGAAGAAGACGTTGAGGATGACAGGCCAGATCTCGGACCAGCTACCAGCGGGGAGCAGGTAGGCAATGACCTTTTGGAGGTTCTGGAACACAAGACGGCCCAGTCTGATAGCCTCAATTATGGAGTCGAACCGGTCCAGCAGCACCAAGTCGGCTGCCTCGATGGCCACGTCGCTGCCGGTGACAATGGCGACACCGACGTCGGCGGCCCGCAGTGCTGGGGCGTCATTGACACCATCTCCCGTCACCGCTACCACATTATCGCGCTTGCGGAACTCGTTCACAATGCGCAGCTTCTGCTCGGGAGTCGTTCGCGCAAATACAATCTCGCCGTACTCGCAGATGAGGTCCCAGTCCTCGTTGACGAGGGCGCCCAGCGACTGGCCCTCGAGCAGGAGGCTGCGACGCTCGCCCGCCTCCCGGGCCTGGCGCAGATCGTGGGCCGTCAGGCTTTCCTTCGCTCGTATCGTCTCGATCGTGTCCGGATCGCGCTCGTTGGTGAAGATGCCGGTGTTGCGCGCGATCGCCGCGGCGGTAAGGCCGTAGTCGCCAGTGACCATGAAGAACCTGGCGCCGGCGCGACGGCATTCGGCGACAGTCGCTGCGGTTTCGGGGCGAGGCGGGTCGATGATTCCAAGGATGCCGATGACGGTAAGTTCACTAATGGCGTTGGCCGCAATCTCATCGCTGAAGGCGTTGGTGTTGAGGGCATTGACGGGACGCATGGTCTTTTCGCAGAGGACGATGACGCGCTCAGCGTTCTTCGAGAGCGAGTCCTGGTACTGCTTGAAGGCAGCCCGGGCAGTAGCGTCAAGGGGCTGCACCGAGTTGGTCTTGCGCGACCAGTACTTGGTGCAAGCTGGCAGCAGCACGTCCGGCGCTCCCTTGACGAAGACGCAGAACTCGTCGGTGGCCGCAGAAGCCTGAGGCTCCTGATGGACCGTGAGCATCCACTTGTTCTTGGAGTTGAAGGGGATCTGAGCCACGCGAGGCAGCTTCGTGTGCTCCTTCTCGCTCCTCTTCGTCATGGAGGCGAACCTCAGGACGGCAGCATCGGTGGCATTGCCCTGCACCTGGCGGCTGGCAACGGGAAGGTGGATCGTCGCAGGATCGAACGTGGCATCGTTGCAGAGCAGTGCAGCCTGGAACAGCCTCAAGATGCAGGCCTCGGTGTTTTCGGTCTCCAAGTTGTGCTGAAAGTCGTTGATAGGAACAGGCTGGTCGATGAAGGAAGCAGAGTTAACATGCATCTCATTTTGCGTCAGCGTTCCGGTCTTGTCGGAGCAGATGACATTGACGCAGCCAAGAGTTTCCACCGTCGACAGGCCCTTGGGCAGAATGTTGACAGCCTTCATGCGACGGGCCACCATCATCAGAGTCAACGCAACGGCCACGGGCATGCCTTCGGGGATGAACGCGACCACGCAGCCCATGACGTTGTTGAGCATGGCCACAACATTCATGTATGCAAAGTGGTCGCGCCTCAGCCAGCCAACCCAAGTGAAGAGGATGAGCAGAGCGAGAACGATGGTGAGGCACACGATAATGCGGACGAAGCGCCAGATCTCGCGTTGAATCAGTGTAGGACGCTCCTCAGCGGAGGCAGTGGCTTTGGCAATGCGGCCCATGACGGACCTCGCTCCAGTCAAGACGACAACACCAACACCACTGCCGTTGACAACGAGTGTGCCCATGAGAGCAATGTTGCGGCTCTCCAAGAAACTACCGTCCGTGCCATCGACAGCACCTTCAATCTCATCAGACTCTCCAGTGAGGATGGCACGGTCGAATCGGATGTCACCAGAGTGACTCAGGAGACGCATATCAGCTGGCACCTTGTTGCCGATCTGGAGGTGTACGATGTCGCCGCTAACGAGCTCGGTGGCCCGCATCTTCTGGAGTTTACCCTCACGCATGACCAGAGCTTCCGAAGGGAGCAAGTCGGTGATGGATTTCATAGTCCTCTGCGTAGACCAGTCCTGGAAAGCAGAGAAGCCGGCCTGAAGGGCGATGACAATGATGACGAGGATGGCGAGGGCGAGGTTGGTCGGCGACGGCGGGTCGCTCAGGGGGCGCCAGCAGATGAAGAAGATGATGACACCGATCCAGAGGACGGAGCAGAAACCACCGAAGACATAACCAAGAATCTTCTTCCAGTAGTTGGTCTTGGGCTTCGGGAGCGTGTTCCTGCCATCGCGCTGGAGGCGGTTGGCAGCAGCGCTGTCCGACAGGCCCTGCTCCTTGGAGACATTGAGCTGCTGGCAGATTTGGTCGACGCCGAGTTCGTGAAAGTTGAGGTTCGAGAAGTAGTCTTGGTCGTCCTTCTTGGCAGCAGCCTTGAGGTCGGCCGTCTCGGTGGAGTCGACATTGCGGGACTCGGCAACGTGGATGGAAAGAGTTCGATATTCGATCTGGACCCCTGAGTAGGGGGAGTTGGGGAGGTTGGAGCGGGAAGTAGTCGACGTTCGGCTGAGCGAGCGTCTGCGGGAACGGGAGCGAGAAGTCCCGTCGCCGGCACCACGGCTGCCAGCACCAGCCGTACGGCCTCGGCCAGGACGAACGTCGTCGTGGAAGGTGATGCGGGTGTCCCTTTCGGCGGCCTCCTTCTCGGCAGCCTCGGTGGTTGTCTCGGCTGCCATGATGGCTATTGGCGGCGGCGGCAGTTCCTGCAGCACAGCGTCGTGCAGATTCAGGGGCAAACGATCTCAGACGCCGTACGGGGCGGTCAGATGTCTCGGCGGCGCGGGAAATTCAAAATACTGCAACGTTGGGCGATCGTTTGAAAGTGTAAAGTATCGAGACCAACGATGCAGGTGCAGATGAGGTTGGATCTCAAGTACTCAAATGAGCGATATACTCGAGCCCGCGGCTGGTGGCACAGAAGAACTTTGGTTCAAGCGCAGTGCGGCGTTGCGTGCATTCCAGGGCAGGATGCAACCAGATCCAGGAGAGGGACGAGAACTGCCGGTAACTCGAGGTGGCTATGCCTCCCTGCCCATGCCGCCTTTTATTTGCATGCTGACGAGAGTACATCTGGCAGCATGCGTTGCCAGCCGCACGCGTGGGTTCCTTCCTGCGGCAATTTTTTTCTCTTCCATTTGACTTTGCGTATGTACCATCACGTACAGTATCGCAGTGACTGTACCAGCTTGCCAGCAGAACGGGCACCCTTGGGGACGTGAGGGAGGGGGGGCGAAACGGGCGGCTCTGGCTTTGGCTGAGAAAGTGAAGCTGTTGGATGTCCCGTTTTGGGAATCATGAACTCGATTAACAAATCCCGCATATTCAGTGAGCTCACGGACGATATCGAGGGACCAACCACATCCCTCACATTACCTTTTCGTTTCCTATTTGGGAAAGGCAGCCCAGGATTCGGGCCAGGAGGCCAGGCGCCCCCATGCGGCTTTGCGGGCGGAGCCCGGGGAGGGGGCTTGGCAGGGTCCTGGTGCTGCTGGTGGGTGTGTCCGGTCTGGCTGACGGGCTCTGGCTCCAGCGGCGATGCCCACTTGCCGTCTGGAATGGAAGTTTGCCGAGCGCGCTGGCTGTGCTGTGCTGTGATGCTTCCGGTGGGCTCTCGCGTGCATCCAGCCCGCCCGTTCCTCTGGCTGGCACTCGTCACATGCGTCTTCGTACGTACGTCCATGTACGTGCCGACGGGGAAGCGCTCCCGGCCCAAGCCAAGGTAAGCTCTGCCCATCGATCGGCGCTGTGGGCGGCCTCACGGCATCGTGGCCCGCTTCCCTGCCCATGGCCCTTCTGCCCTCCCTTCGCTTCGCTTCGCATCCCATCGCATCCCATCCCATCTCTCTTTTCCCCCTCTGGCATCGCCCCCGGCCTGGACTTTTGGATGAGCGCTCGGCGGCTGGCACCTGGCGCAGCCGTTTACCCGCCCTCTCCTTCGCGCTGTATGACCTGATGATGCTGAGGGAATTATTTCGACGCCGGGCAGCCGCCGATGATGCGGGCTGACACAGACACAAAGGGACGGCCGTTGGGAATCCATCCGGCTGATGCATTTCGGTGGATCTGCATTCTGCACCGTCGCGAGCAGCTCCAAACCCACGGCCGCAATGGCACGCAACGGGGTGCCGCTGCAACCAGCTCCCCGTCTCATCATCATCACCATTGTGAATGCACGTGCTCACCCCTGCCGAACGTTGCATCAATGGCATGACGCGTCTGTCTCACCGCTCCCGTGCTGCGCACATTCCGCAGCATACGTACATATAAACCCGTCGTCCTGCTGCCGGGCTGCCCACGCTCATCTCGCGTGGTGGCGCTTGGAGCTGTTCGGACGCCCGCGGCACGCCGCCGCCGAGCTCACGCAGCGGTCTGATGTCATTGTGATGAAGGCGGCCACCCCTGACCGCCCAGCTCCAGCCCAGCCTGGTCGCCTGCCACCCGCGTTGGTGCTCGTCTCGTCCCAGGCCCGGGCCCACGTTTCGCGTGAACGCAACTGAACCCAACCGCCGCGGCTGTCGTCCCGACGCCCGCACGAGTTGCTCGAGGGGCTGGCTAGCTGACTAGCTGACCGGCTGGCGGGCTGGCTGGGTCCGGACTGCCAAGTTCGGGATGACGGGGCCACAGTGGGCTACCCGTTGCTTGGGTGCCACTCGTGGTTTTTTTCGTGCCGGCTCTCGTGTGTCAGTGCTAAAAATGCAAGCTATTTTTTTTTTATTTCTGGGTCTGTTACTACGTACGGGGTACTGGACAGTACAACCTCAGACAGCTCCCGTCTTATTTAGGTCCTTGTACTCTGGTGGTTTCGAACAGGACCGTCTCCATTTCATAATATTACCTCTTTTCACGCGGACGCCAGGCCGCAAAGGGGACTTGTCTGTGGATGCTACCATATTTTTGCCGCGCCTGGTGGTTGGCAAAATTTCCCCTTTGACGAGTCGCAAAATGCCTCTCCAGTCTCGTGGAGGAAATTCGCGCGGCAACCCGCGGCTCGAGAAAAATCCTGCCCTGCGATAATTCACTCGTTCACCTGGCTGGCGGCTGGATACGCACATGCAGCCCTGCGTGGAGGCGTCTCCTCGTCGCATGTGCTCGCGTGTCATTTTCAGGGGCTCCGCGCCGTCGCGGAGGACGCAGTCGTCGGAACAAGCTTCCACGTTGAATGTCTGCATCGCACTGCCTCCTTGTGTTTGCCTCCTCTGCCAATGGGGTTGGTGCCACTGCTGTGATTCGTGTCACCTCCCAACCGTGCTCATGTCGTGTCACGCTGTCATCGTCACGGGTGTCAACGCCCTTGCGTCGCGGCGCCTCGCCCGCGGCGTTCCAGTGACGACCTGTACAAACCGGCAAACTCGCCATCTGCGGCTATCAGGTCTCGTGGCATCCCATATTCTTTCAGCTTGCCGCTGTCGAGCAGTGCCACCTTGTCATACCTGACAACGTGTTCGAGACGGTGCATGACGGCAAGCACGGTGCAATGCCGAAAGTCGGACTCGATTATTCCCTCCATGAGACGCTCCGTGTCTTCGTCCATACTGCACGCCTCTCCGTTAGTATCAGTGATGCTTCCTCACCAAGTGGAGCGAGCTACTCACTTGCTCGTGGCCTCGTCCAGAAGCAATATGATGCACTTCCTCGCCAGAGCTCGGGCGAAGCAAAGCAGCTGCCTTTGTCCTGCTGACCAGGAGGCCGCGTCCATATCCGTGTCCAGACCGCCTTTTGCCTCGACAAGATCCCACATGCGCACCTTCACGAGTGCATCCTCCAGTTGTGCGTGAGATAGCTCACCTAACGGGTCGATATTGGAACGAATCGTCCCTGGGAAGAGGAACGGCTCCTGCGAGACCACGCTGATCTTCGAACGCACAAGATCTGGGAGTATCTCCGACACATCCCTGTTACCGATGCAAATATTTCCTCCTCGTACCTCCATCATACCCAGGAGAGTGAGAAGCAGCGAGCTCTTGCCACTCCCTGTGCGACCGCATATAGCGACATGCTCTCCTTGGCCGACGGAAAACGAAATACCATCCAACGTTGGGATATCGTCCGGGCTTTGAAAATTAGAAGTGTCAGCGCCGGCCATGGTTTATACGGAATATCGCCTACCTGTATGCGGACACGAGCTCCGAAATCTCGATGCTGCCAGTCTCTGGCCAGCCACGAGGCAACGGTTGCTTGCTGCCAGTATCTTCTAGAGGTACCTCGTCCACGAAGCGTTTGACTCTCGATACGGCCCCGATACTCGACTCCAGGCCGGTCCACGAATGCACCAAACGCGCCAGAGTCTCGCTAAATCCCACGACGGTGACCAGGCTTACACCGACGCTGCCTGTGCTGAACTTGTCTCTCCACACGACGACCGTTGCAACAAGACCGGCAGCAACTGCCGCGACCGTGCAGTCAAGCACAAATCCGAGCAAGTTCTGGATGCAACTTTGTATATACGTCGGTCTGAGGGAGGCGTCGATGACACCATATTGACGGCGCAGGTACTCTCGCTGCCATCGGAATGCGCGTATCGTTACCGCACCGTCAACAGTCTCGGTAAAGCGTTTGTAGAGAGGGGCTTGGGCCTCAATTCCAAGCAGCCGCACCTGGCGTGAGGTCTTGAGGTAGATGCTCTGTATGACGTACAAGGCTAGGCACAGAACAGGTAAGAATATTCCGAAATACTGTGAGAACACTTCTATCAGGACGAGTTTTCCGATGCATGCGAAGACGGCTGTGGGCTGTCAGCAACAAATGCATGTACTCGAACTGGAAGCAAAACAAGGGGCCGGTTACAAGAGACGCAGTTAACCATGGCTGACGGGAGCTCCATGTCGACGAGCTCCATATCCTTGCTGAATCTGTTTCCTCGTCAGAGCCTGCCGTACAGCCGTCGTCTAAGCAACCCCGTACCGGTTTAATAGACTCCCAGAGTCTGCGGTCGACAAGAATCGAAAGGACGCCCTGTTCAAATCGTCAGTTTTTGTGAGCGGTTGTGGAAGTCTTGACTTTACCGGAGCGTTGTCTGCAAGATATCTGCGTGCAGTTTCATCGCCGAGTTGGAGATGATGTTGATAAACGCAAACCTACATGGAAGGCGCCGCAGATTCAGCCTCTCGATCAAGGTAAAGAAGGTGTGGTTACAACCAACCATGCAGTACCACATGCACTCATGCTTCCCGCAATTCCGAGAATCGCATAGACGCCCAGGTACATGCCGACATTCTGATTTGGCTGCTCTGCGTTGGCAGCAGACCACCACTTGATCCATATCGCTACTAGCTGTTAGCAGCAGTGGACACCAGCTGAGTGGCCGTGGCTTACCAGAGAACTCGGTGCAAAACGTCCACAGCACCATGAACAAGACGAACATGCTAACTACCGTGTAGCCAGAGCTGGTGAAGTAGTACTTGTATACTTCTTTGTCCCCACGCCTGCGGCTGTCGTCGTGGCTGTCCGTATCGCTCGGGTCCTGCTTTGTGGCTGGCGCAAAACCATTGGCGCTGTGTGAGATGACATCGTCTTCTTCTCCCTGCTCTGAAGAGTCATCTTCACCGTCTTGATACACATCCCCCACTGCGTCCCCTTGGTGTATCAACTTCTGTGCTATTAGGCGACCATTATCAGGTCTTGTGTCCATCATATATCCGTCCTTGAGGACCTTGATACTGTCCGCCAAAGCCATAACGGTTTCTGCATCACGAGCTTAGCCTCAGCCTGGTGAGGGTTCCAGTGCGCACTCACTATTATTCGTTGCCAGTACTACTGTAGCATGTGAATTTCGAAGCAGCCCGTCGCTCCCAAGTAGTCCACTCGCAACCAGTCTAGATGTGCGAGCGTCCATGCCGCTGAAGACGTCGTCCAGGAGGACCAATGACTGCCTTGAATAGACCGCGCGTGCGATTGCCTGCCAGCATCTGTCAGCAGACTTCTCCAACTGAAGGAACTTCGATTGTGAGTGCTGGGGCTTTCGACATACGACTCGCTGCTTCTGACCGCCACTGAGGCTGTGGCCTTTGCTGCCCACTGCTGTCAAGTCCCGTTGGCTCAGCTGGCTCAAGTCAGTATCCAAGCAACAGCTTCTCACAACCCTGTTGAACCAAGACTCCTCGTATGGATAGGCCCCAATGACGTTTTGCCGGATCGTCCCATTTTCCAGCCAAGGCTCCTGGGAACAATATGCCGCGCCGCCGTTTTGGTCCAGGAGACGTTCTTCCAGCACAGCTCCGGCAGGAGTGACTACGCTCAGCTCGCCAAGTAGACTCTGGAGCAACGCCGACTTTCCACTCCCAACCGGGCCTATGAGAGCTGTCACGGTTCCCGGTGCGAACCTTAGTGAGATGTCCTTCAGCACTGCGTCGCCGCCTCGGCGCCAGGCGAAACTGCGCTGTCCCGCAGCACCAGATCCGTCAGCGTGGTGGTCGGATTCGCCAGTCGTCAACAGCTCATCTGTGCCTGTGGCGTTGTCGCTGTAGTTGCAGTACTCATGTATGCGATCAAAGCTGCCGATGCACTGAATCACAATTGGCAGGCCCTGGACAAACATGACGACTGGAGTCGTGAGCAGGGATATCAGTGCAATCGACGTGAATGCCTTTTCAGCCAGCAGCGACTCGTTCTTCCAGAACAGCGCAATAATGACGTACACGGCAAACGTCAGTACCGGAGCGAGATTCAGCGGCGTGATTGCTACCAGTGTCAACTTAGAAGGGGGGTTGTGAAAGCATCCAGTGGTGTGTGCAACGTACAAAACAGGAGTGTCGACACCAAAAGCTTCCTGAAGCTGCGCGACGTATCAACTTCCTCCTTTCGCAAGCCCTGGATCGTCTTATGCATGACGTCCGACAAGTTGAGCATCTTGACAGCCTTGATGTCTCCGAGAAACGCCGAGGTAGCTTGCAGGCGCTTCTCGACCTTTTCAACCCACCGGCGTTGGGCGTCCTTGGCCTGCACAGACAATCGGGACGTCGCGGCAACAAACACTTCTCGCCGGTGAGTCCCTATAAACGAGCAATTGAATCGGATCCAGCACATACCAAGGATGAGGACAATAGGCGCAATGCACGCTAGGTACAGCTGTCGCCCGAGAAGCCAGCTCGCGATGCCGACGTCGAGAACGGAAGCCCACACCTCGTGAACGAACTGCATGCCCATGGCGATGCGCTCGACGTCAGTGCCCATAAGCGTCACGGCCGTGGTGTCGCCCCTATCTGCCGCGCGGAGCTCCAGCGTCTTCTCATACACCAGAGCCACGAGGCTTCCTCGCATTCTAGTCCTGAAACGAGAGTGCTGGTATCTGTACGTGGAGTTGCTGATCTACGTCCAGCATAATTGTCAGCGATCCAGAGCAAGTCGGCAGCATGTGGGCACGAACCGCGATCCCAAGGTAGACAGCCGCCCAGGCCGCAATGAGTCCCCCGCCACCGTGCTTATCCGGCCGCGATTCTTCCACGTATCGTATGGTGGCCGCGATGAGAAACGGCTGCGTAAAGGTGAATGCCGTCAAGCAAAGGCGCGGAACAACCGCCGAGAGGAACGGCCATCGATGGCTGGCGAAGCTGGCGCGCAAGAGACTGTGACTTTGTCGATGATCCGCTATCCAGGCATTAGCTCCTACGCGTGCCCCCGGAGACATATAAGAGCGCTTCTTACCCTTTCTCCAGGTATAATCAAGCTGCTCATGCGTCGCACTGCTCCTCAGCGCAGTGTCCAGCGCCGGCAAGTCGTCCACAGAGAGGACCTTGGCGTATCCCAGCCGGAATGTGTCCAGCAGCCAAACAAATGCCGTTCTGCTCCAAAAACTGGCATACTCTTCTGGTGAGCGGACAGACTTTCCAGCGGCCGAGGAGTTTCCCAGGCCGACAATGTCAAGCACAAATATCGCTGCAGTCATTGAAAGGATGAGCATGCCGGCGAACGCCACATCGCTGCCGGGACTCGCCAAGTATAGCGTCCGTACTCGCAGAGCCCAAGTTAGAGTCGAAGCCGTAAGATAGAGGCTCAGTACTGAGGAGCCGTGCAGCGATCTCTGGTGATCAAGCATGCTCAGTCCGAAGGCCGTGATGACGGCCAAGCAACCCAGCACATCGGCCGCGAGCGACGCAGGCGCAACAAGTCCCCTCCCCCGAGCGCGCAATACAAGAAATGCCAGCTGGGCTCCAAAAAGTCCTATGAAAGTCGCCTCAACGACCAAAGTCTGTCAGCACGTTGCTCCAAACCAGGCCGGGTAGCGGACGCACCGCTTTTGTCAGGACCAACTTGCGCCGTAGGGAGAATGAGCGCGGCCGCCGCAGCCTCGAGGTAATTGAGGCAATCGAAAGCATCAAGAACAGTGTATTCGGCATGCATGCCAGAAGCAAATCTTCAAATTGCATTGTAAAGTCGAAAGGCCGGCAGTCGGGGTCGATTCGAGGGCCAAACGCCCTGTCACTGGCAGGTGGGCAACCCATGATCACAACTTGAAAGGACGACATTTTGCTCATCTGCGCCACTGTCCCATCGCTCCATTGCTCTGCGAGAATGCTTCTATTATGTACGAGTCTCCTTCGTAGCTTGCCATTGCGACGCCGTCTAGTTGCCTGATGACATGATTCCCTTCTATACGCTTGCATCACCCGTTCTGGTAAACGCCGGATTCGCGACGCCAGACGCGGGACTCCGTGGCAGATGCGCCAGTAGCTCTAGCGCTCTGGCTAATCGCGCGACCTTGGGTGAGCCGGGTGAGCCATGCGGGTGTGGTCGCGCGACCTGGGTGAGCCAGGCATCTCTGTAGCGCGAGAGGAGGGGCGGCTGGCGGGCTCCTTGTATGGGTGCACTTCATTGGTCCTCCGTCGTAAATGGCGTCGCGACACCCTCGACCGTCGGCGTCGAGCCGCGCTCGCGATCCTGCTGTCGCTAGCCTTATCCTAGCGCGCCTTAATAACGCTCTTAGAAGCTTCCCGTTAAACAGACGAAGCACGCTGACTTAATTTGACCGAGTGTCGCCGCATAGAGATATCCGGACTTCGCTTATGCAAAACGCTCGACGGTCCCGCCGCTTGCCTGACTCGATTAATATCGATTCCGTCGAACTTCATGCCCCTTCTCGGTATCGATAGACACTTCTCGGGCGATTACGCCACGGGCGAAGGACGACTAACTAGCTAACGCGCTACTAGCAATATAGAGGACGCGTCGTGCGTCACGGACCGATATGACGCTCTGATCGGACGATTCTCGCCATGACGCCGTAGTGGATGAGCGTCGCATCCGTATCTACTAGTGGTGCAGTACGCGTCTTGAGCTTGTTATTGGATGATGCCAGTTCACTTGGATAGAGAGGTGGCTGCCATGACTAGGGTTTGACCAGGACTTGATCGGTGACACGAGGTGTCGCATATGATGACCTTGCGGCTAACACTCCTCCCCCCCAGCCGGCACATGCATTTTACGGCGGGCGGAGACATATCTCAACGTGGCTCGGGCCGACTTTCGCTCCTACGGAGCAGCGGCTACTCTGTCAACTCAGGATGGAGCATTGGATGAAGCGAAGTGCATTTGCCAACATTTCTCGACTTCTTTATTGACTACAAATCGAGGAGATGTGATAGAAGGCTACACGACAGCCGTCAAACTCCGGAGAGCCTCAAATGCTCGCGCGCCGCCCTCGACACCCAAATGGGCTCAGGGCTGGTGTGCTCCTACTGTCGGGCTCGACTATCTCCAGATCTCGAATCATCCGCACCATGTTAGCTGGCAGCCACATGGCCGTTGCAGCTCTCTTACCCCATGCCACGTTTGACCCTGAGCTTTACTACGGCGATGGCGACGACAACGCCTTGTACAACATATTCGCGACATGGCCAGAAAACTATTTTAGCAGTCTTCCCAAGCCACACGGCAATCGCGGGCTCGATGAGCCCTAAATTTTTCTGGACGACTGCTTCCGCGGCCGCGGCGCGAGGCGGCTATTTACCACTGTCATTCCTGGCCTCAACAAGCTTGAGAGAGACCACTTGCGCGAGCAGGCAAATTCGAATGGTATCGAGCAACACACGGGAAGAACGGTCGGTTTTCGATCAGCCTTGGATTTCGCCCAAGAGCAAGCCAAGTTCGACAATTCACTTGCTCTCGACCTGGCCTCCATATTATATCGTATGTATTGCAATTGTTTTATTGTCATATTATTAGCAACACTGGGTGCTGTTTCGGCAGCAGCTCGGGCTACTCGTGAATAGGGAAAGAGACGGAAAGAATCTGACGAGCGACTTGCACAGTGTTATTCTTTCGAAGTGGAGAGAGACCCAAGGAGCCTGTCGCTGGCACAGGAATTTGGACAACAAAGGCGGGAGATAACATTACAGTTGCAACAGACTAGTCGAGGTACGGCGCAGGAATTTGGACAAGGTCGTTCAACACTGCCTTAGCACAAAAAGTAGCTGGAACTACAATAGAAGTAAACTCACGCGCGTTTCATTTTGTCGGCTGTGCCTTACTTGCAGTGCATTCTGCAGGCGCGCGATGTGGGAGGCATTGTGGCTGGATGAGGGGGCGTTGGTACGAATTGAGAGATGGGTGCGTGCGTATTAATAGAGTGTCAAAAAGAAAGATCTAAGAGCTTAGAATTTAGAGACTCTAAAGACCGACGACCTTTACGCGACCCTCTATGGGTACAAACGTCTTATCGACAGGCTCGTTGACTTTACCCCCAAAGACAAGCTGTGCATTGAGTTTCCAGGAATCAGGGACGCCCCAAGTAGCGGCTACCTTCTCATCAATAAGAGGGTTATAGTGCTGTAGATTGGCACCTAAACCCTCAACCTCTAGGGCGGTCCACAGGATCCACTGCTGCATAGCGTTGCTCTGACTGGCCCAGGCCGGGAAGCGGTCCGCATAAGAAGGAGCCTGGGCTTGCAAGCTGCGAATCGTCTCCTCATCGTTGAAGAAGAGGATGGTACCGGCGGCACCCTTAAACATAGCCATCTTCTGGCCTGTGGGCTTCCATTTGTCCCGTGGGACCATGTCCTGGAGCATTTCCGCTGTGATATCCCATAATTTGTCGTGCTCGGCGCCGAAGAGGACCAGCACGCGGTTAGACTGGGAGTTGAATGATGATGGTGTATGTAGGGTGACCTGGTTGACGAGATCCTGGATGCGGCTCGGAGGGATCGTAAGGTCTTTCGTTAGGGAGAAGATACTGCGACGGAGCCTAACTAGCTGTAACAAGGTATCGGCCGATGGCTTGATGGCAGACATTGTAGGTACGATAGCGTCTTTGGAATAGGCCTTTTGGCAATTGGATATGGAAGCTGGTCTGCATTGACGGACTGGAATTCGTTCTCGGTGCCGGCTAAGGGATGTGCCTCCGGTATGCCGAATCAATTGCACAAGGGTTAGCAGCCGACTAAGGGTGATTGTTTTGTGTGAAGATGTAAGGTCGTTTAGGTCCTGGGGGCGAGGAGGGATGGACGGTTAAATAATATTCGGCCAACAGGTCGTTCGGCCACTTGGCTCGCACGCCACATATTGGAAACAACCACTACAAGAAGTGGATGCTGAAATTTGTGTACATAGTATTCCTCGACGTGGGCTCCTCCATCGGGTTGCCCGAGCCCAAGGATTCCGGATGTATGGAGCCACAGGTGCAGTGGCGGCAGGGTCTTCTGGAATCTGGACACTTATGGTCGAGCTGCGCCATGGCTGGACCAGGTTAATCACAATACGCCGAAAGCACCCATTGTCAGCCATTAGCACATTTGAAGTCACCGCGGCCTTTACCATGTGGTCCCGAATGGCCCCTGGCAGCCGGCCTCGTCCGCCTCTTGCGTTATGCCTCACGAACGCCTTTGCGACTTCGGCTCAACTCGGGACGCGGAAGGGCACACCGGCAGCGACAAGCAAAATGTTTGGGGCCGGCTCTACGGCCGTTGCATACTAAATAAGAGACATGTCTAATTTGATTATGCTTTTGGACACTCTGGAATACCGAAAATGCATCCTCCGGCGACGATTACTACGTATAAGCCGCTGGAATAGCAGCCTTGACTTCATCTATTTCCGAGGGAAAGTGGTCAGCTTACGTTCAAAATTTGAGCTAGAGTGCTTGGTCAGTTGCGACTGACCCCTTATTTTTCCAATGGCTTCGAACACTCTTGCAAAGTCATTCAAGGCGATAATAATATCCTGTAAAGCACGCCCAATTTCGTCGAGGGCGCGTTCTGTGCTTTGGATGTTCCCTTGTCCACCGAAAGTGACTTGACACACCACGCGAAGTCTGCATAACTCCATCAACAAGGCGTAAGCAGCCTGCATTACGCAGCATGACGAAGTTGGCATAGTTCGAGCAGGAACACAACCATCGTAAGATGTTGCTGAGGTTGGTAAGGTGCGAAGGTCTCGTGCTATTGCTAAAGCAGATTCTATGCATATTGCAGCTGCTTGTTCGCTATCGTGGGGTGACGGCCATTGTCCATTAGAGGTTGTGACGGCTGCGTCCATCCTAGATCCGTCTCTCATGGTCGAGATAGCAAAAGCGGACGGGCCAGGGAGGTCACAGTGAGCTTTGCTAAAGGGAGTGATATTCCAGAATGCTTTGTGTCGATGCATGCGGATTCTTGAACTGAGCAGGTGAGTTAGGAGCGCGTCTTTCCTGACACGGGTATACCACCCGCACAGACGCCGGGTGGGAAATCAAGCACAACACACCTGGATAACCGTATTCGAGAAAAGTGTCTCATGACCGAAGCGGTGAATTGCTCATTGTTGTCACCGATTCCTGGGGTAGGTGTCGACGGTGAAGACGCAATTTCTTTTCTAGTCGCGAGGTCCACCCACGTGTCAAGCTTGATAAATTCCTCGTAGACCAACGTGCCGGTCCCTTGCAACTTCGAAGGTAACTTGGAACTGGAAATGAACTGAACAGTGGCCGCCAAAATTTGCACTGACTCAATGAACACCTCCCAGGCCTACACCTCGTGAGCGTCGGAACTACTATGCAGTGGTTTGCTCGATACAAACCTTGGTGTCAGAGCCAAATCGTGGGAGCGGTGTCGTGACACCACTTTGGACATCCTCGAGGGGCGCCTAGCAATTCCGTAAATTTAGTTCCCTGCGCCACTGCTCAAGACATGATTATATGCCACTTACATCTTCACGAACCGCGGAGTATACGTGTGCACAAAAGTACTATCTCGTGTTATGGGGTGGAATCGTCATGTCACGTATAGGGATTCAGTACTAACCGTCATCCACCAAGCTCGTCTCCTTGATTCCGAGAACCCATCTGTTTCAGATCCGAGTCGGTGTAATGACATAGTTTTCGCCGTGATTATGGCCTGACTAGTTCTGACCGCCATTTTGAGTGCATTTCCGCGGTGGGCGTACTCGTAGTTGCTAAGGATAAGGAGTGCGAGCAGACTTTCCAGATCTACTGGAGTCTGCGGGTGGAAAGCCGTGCGAACCAGTGCCAGGCGATCGTCAACTGCGCCCCAATCATTGGCCGCGCTGGGATCGATGAGCTCGTAGTCAACCTCGATCTGGTGAAGCGCGGCTTGGGCGAAGGAGTTTGCGAGAGACTTTCTTGCTGACGTGGATTGCGCCGGGTCCCATTGCCTTTGGTCTGGCAAGGGCACGAGTGCTAGGACGGCTGAGATTGCGAGGCTGAGAGGAGAGTCTGAAAGGGTGAGAGGCGTGTTTGCATTTGTCCAGGTTGTTGGATTATCGATCTCAATTGGCGTCACTGCTGGTGGAAGTATAGGGAAGTAGTCGTGTATATAAATGTAATAGGCATTTAATCTCCTCAAGTTAGATCATTGTCCGCGTGAAAAGAGTAAAGAACAAAACGTACATTTCACGCTCACCGGAGTAAAGTCGAACGCAGTCATTTGGTTCTGTCTCTGCTATGCCCAGTGTTTGTGTCTCTGCGCGTGCCTGGTACCCTTTGTGGCCGTCTTGCGGTTGCCGAAGGCTCGCACCTGGGATTGCAAGATTATTGATCCGATCAAGATCAGCATCTTTATGTGCATGTTAGAATACTCCTAGAAAAGAAATTCCAAATGAACACACTCTGTACTAGAACGTGAGCCCCTAGGGTTGAGTCTGGTCCTTGGACACAGATGTTATCAGTTCTCTGTGCGCGCGGCTGTCGGCAGCGGCCCCGTCTACTGGGAATATAAGAGCATTCCCGCCCGCGAAGTATACACTAGAAGCACCAAGTAAGCTAGCTATGTCGTCCTTGAATGCTGTTGAGAGCTCACGCTATAGCAGGTTGGGCCACCGTCACACCGTGTTCTTGATGCACGGCTGGACCATGTTAGGTCGTTTCTTGTTTGACTCCTCAAGGCACGTACCAAGGCAAGCATGCCAGCCTTACAGGTGCCGCAGCACCTTTGACCCTCGATACGGTCCGTTGGGGCATTGTGGAATACTGACTTCTTGGTCTGACGCAGTATTGGCGAGAATAAACCGATGGGCCGGAGGCATGGCTCTTCGGCCGAAATCACTTGTATCGATGCTCACAAGTATCCTTCCACGTGCCATATGTTAACGATTCCAACCTGAAGCCCGCGCTCTATGAACTTTAAACGGCGCGGTGATTGTAAACACCGCGGCTTTGACACATGGCGGCGTTTGACCTTTTTAATCCCCGGACGCCACAGTCGCCCCAATCTGGTAGCACACAGCGAGCGGTGACCTTGGCTAACCCCGTGGAGGCAATTTCTACCGGCACACAATCACCGCGGCTTTGACGCATGGCGGCGTTTGACTTTGACTTTTTAGATCCCCGGACGCCACACGAGCAGTGAACTTGGCTAACCCCGTGGAGGCAATTTCTAGCGGCATACAGCTCGACGAGCTGCACTAGAAAGCCCTCGTGTAGTTATACGACCTGCCGCTTGAAAGATTTTTGCGGATGAGAGATCACGAACGGAGGAATTGTCAGTTTTCTGTATCGGACTGTTCGCACATGCTGCGGACCAATTGAGTTTGGGGGACCACCTTGTCACCGGCACGGGGGCAAGCGGTGGGAGGTGGAAAATATGCCATTACACCCAGCTGAAAGGGGAACGCACGGCAAATGGCGATGAGCCAAGTCAACGTTCGCTAGGAAATCGCGTGAAGGTTCGTGGCACGCAATTTCTAGAGCATGAGACCGGCCTTTCGGTGGCTGCTATGGGGTATGTACATGTACCAACATGGCATGGTCTCTTGCACAACGAACCCGATTACATCGACTTCAGTGGAGAGAATATGTGAGCAATCGATTCCTGCATCATACGGGGCAACACAAAATAAGATAGAAGCACACATCCAGCTACTTCGCGGTCCTGGTAAGATCTTGCCAAAAATCTAGAGCGCGTTCGAGATGTAGGGACCAGCGGTACTAGCAACCTTGGTGTTACCATTGATGCTCTGGCTCTAGCTGCTTTCCGTTTCGAGTTCAGTACACTCGTCTACGGTCATTGTTGATATCGCCCTTCCCATCTTCACCGTTACCATCAAACACAACGCTAGGACGGAGAGAGCGACGCCTATCCAGAAACCGATCCGATACCCGACTGCCGACTCGGTTTCTTTATCGGTGTTCTGGCGTTGTATTTCTGACACAGCGAGATCAGAAATACCGAGCCAGAAGGCGACTCCTAAGTATAGAAGGCTGTTGAGCAATCCACTGGCTGCCGCCTGATGCTTGCGAGGCATCGCCGTAGTAACAAAGATATTCGTTACGTTGAAGGTAATGTCGATGCCGATACTGCCACCCAACATTGCCGGAAAGACATATCCCCAGTAGAGTAAATTCGTTGATCCACTTACTCCTTGGGCAGGAATCAGAGCCAAGAGGAGAGCCGATAACAGGAAGCCGAGGCATGAAATAATCATGAGAATACGGTTGGGCACAATGTGTAAGATGAACCCTCCCGCAACAGAAAGAATTATACCAGCCATGGCGAATGGGGTAAACCACGCAGCAGTCAATATAGGGCGCATGCGCGCCACTGACTCGATACTATTGGACTTGGTCAGCATGCATTGACGAAAGCGATATCCTCGGTAAGGGCTCCTACTAGAAGCTGGCGTTGAATAGGAATAGCCCAAAGGTGCCATATAAGCAAAAAAGAGCGGTCATCAGACGCTTCATGTACGTCTGCTTGAACATTTCCGGCGGTAACAAGGGCTGCGTGGCAACCCAACCTTCAACGTAGACTGCCGCAATAAGGAAGCCTACTCCAAGGAGGAGCGTGGTGTAGATGTACGGCGTTTTCCAGCCATTCGGCGCTTGCCCGCCATCAGTGAGCGCAAAAACGATGAGCACCAATCCCGGGACGATCGTGGCGGCTCCAATCCAATCCATTGTCGCGCTCGTTTCGAGATCGACCGCTTTCTCCGGAATGGTAAGCCATCCTGAGGTGATGACAACAAAACAAAGTATGGAGCCAATCCAGAAATACCATTTCCAGGTGAGATACTCCGCGGAAAGCGCCCCAACAAGAATCCCAATGTAGAACCCGATGCAAGCAAAGGAACCATACACTGCAAAGATAAGATTCTTGCGAGGGCCGGGCCTGTATGTCCGGCCTAGTAGTGATAGGCCTGCGGGTAAGAACGCTGCCGCCCCTATACCTTGCATTGCACGGCAAATGATGAGCATGACTGCATTGGTGCTGAAGCCACTGATAAGTGACCAGCCTAACAGCCAGGTCTGTCCGGATATCAACACAAGGCGCCCGCCCCATAGATCGCACAGGCGCGCGAAAGGTTGAAGCAAAGCGGCGGTTGTGAGGCTTGTCACGGCAGAGGGCCATGTTCGCGATGTAGGTGGTATGGAGAGCGCCTCAACAATGGGTGGCAAGGTGATGTTAAAGCCGGCGATAAAGTACTCGCTCATCATCATGGAGGTGACGATGGTGAAGACGAATCCGACCTCTGACCACCAGTGCTCGAATGCCGTCGGGCGTTGACGGCCAAGATCCTCAACTGTCTGGCTCTCCAAGCCTCGAGAGGTGCTGCTCTGATGGCCAGAGTGTTGGGTGATTGCCGCTCCAGGAGCATCGGCTCGTCGATTGTTGGCATCCGATGGCTGGACTACTTTCTGTTTTAGCCTGTAGTTGGCCATTTTTGGACCGGTTTATTGATTCCTCGGCGCTGTTATAAAGCATGCGAGTTATTTGCTGAGTTGTCGTGCGGCTGATCGGCCAACTGACATGAGCTGTGATAAATCTTATAGAGATGCTGCAACGGTATTATATATGTGTGTGCGTGTGTGAGCGCAACTCCCCTGTAAAGGAACATTGAAGAGAGGTTTATTTGTTCCAATAGCTAGGTAGAGAGCACGACATTTTCTTTGCATTTCGCGGCGTCTGGTAATGCTTGTATTGCGCTAGAGACAATCGCCGCGGCGACTACCAGTCTCGTTTTACCTACTAAGGATTGTTGCGCACTAGCACGGACTTCGCAGTCCACGGATCCACCTGTCAGCAATTAACGGTCCCCCATTTAACACAGTCCACCGCTTCCGCTTCGCGGCCAGCGTCCCCAAAAAGGGCACGCGAATTGCTGTCGCGACGAGGAGCATGAGTCGTATATAGGAACAGTCCGCTCCATGGCAGGACGACGACATTTGCGACTGCTTTCCTACCAAACTTCACCGCGCCCGACAGACGCACTCTCTACGTCTACGCCTTGGCCTGAGTCTTTGGAGCAGTCGCTCTCCTCGCCGTTGGGAGATGTAGACTTTGAGAAGGTGGATGACAAGCACGGGCCGATAATAAATGCTCTGGGACAGGAGCAGAACATCAAGCTCCTGTGTCGACAAGGCTGGGAAGGAATCGGTCTTGCAATGCCCTACGGCTCAACTTGTTGGGTCGACCCAACCTGGAAGTGCACCTGATCGGCTTGCCGCAATCCCATCCAGCAAAACAGACGCCCGATCACAGGCAACACGAGTGGTGACGGCCCGGCAACAGGGCACCGGCTGTGCTGATACAGCCTGTGGAATTGGGTCAGCACAACCGAACGGCGCCAAATAAATCACGTATCCTCCCGACCGGAAAAACTCCAGCCATGTTCCTCTTTCATGGCAGTGGGCACGATCTATGGTGTCAAACTGAACTGACACTAGTCTCCACTCGCAGCCCAATCGTTATCCATCTACCTGACGCTAAGTCAACACATCTTGATGAGAGTCCAACTCTCGTTACTTCCGTACGGCCCACCAGGCACGTATTCCTCCAATATTTGGCGGCTTTGGGATCAGAACAATAATCACCGGCCCTGTCTCAGCAACAACGCTACAAAGGTTATTGCAGAGGATTGTACGTTGGTTATCACTGCAGCAGGTCTGTACTGGTAGTGTCGGTCGAGAGCAGAAGAGCAGTCCTCGATTTACGCGTGCAGGTCACGAGCCGCCGGCGCTCTATGCCTGCTACCTATCTAGTAGCTTCACCTTGAAGGCTTGTTTGGGCAGCCACGCAGCGAATGAAGCCCTGAAGCCGTCAGGTCGAAGGGCAAGGGAGGAATGGATGGGCTTCCGAGATGCATGATGCTACACACACGAAGCGACGCCACGTTTGATTGAATGGGTGGGGAAATGCCATACTCTTCGACATTAACCTCAGTCTCATAATTGGGTTATAGCCGCTGCCTTATTTTCAGATTGCTCGCGCAAGATACCGTAGTTGAGCGTAGCGGATGTCCCTGACCTACTGCCGTCGACGCAAGCTTCTGTATCCTTTCCGAGATGACCCCAGCCGATGAAGGGAAAGTCGGCAATGTTCATGGTGCCAAACCCGAGCTACATTGTTGCGTCCATGCGCCTCATGCTGTACCCCTAGGCATCTATACATTACTCAGTCAGCTCGCGCGACCCCACCGGAGCCAAATCCGCATCTTCCACCAAGTCAGCCGGGACTACTGCTAGGCCAGGCGTCAGCATGGCGCGTACACGGGAGAGCTGCAAGCATCCCGGCCAAATCTCCAATCTGGCAGCCATGGATATGCGTCAGCAGCTCACCTGCCTGATTAGCTCAAGGATTGCTCAATGCGGCGCAAGACGTCAAATGCAATGTCGCAGCGGGCCTTGGCCGACTACATGCAAGTTGAACTACTCAATAATCTCGTCCACCCACGCTCTCCAGTTGTCGTCCTCGCAGAGCCGCTCCATCGACGGCACATCGAGCGTCACCAAGACCTCGTACACGCCGCTCTCCTTCCTGCCTGGCATGATTACACCGGCGCCCATATTCCACGCTTCCTGGGCCCTGCGCACCGCGTCGGGGTATACACCGCCGCCTCCTACTCCGGCAACGGCGCCCCCTTCCGTCCCCGGGATCCCCCAGACGGTATCGGCGCCGAATCGCCGCCACGAGTTGAAGATGAAGTCGCGAGGATCCGCCGCATCCAGTCGGACCCCAATGACGCGAGGGTCGGGTGCCGCGCGGAACATGGCTGTCCGCGTTGCGACAAACTCGTCGTCGATGGTGGCCAGGGCCGTTTCGATGCGATGCACGAGAGCACCCAATGGGTTCCCCGCTGCCGACGCGTCATTCGGCGAAGATCGAGCGGCTTCTGAGAGAGTGCGAAAGTCAACGTTCGCCTCCGGCATTGCGACGGCGTTGCCCGCATAAGTCCTTGACACTTCTTGAAAGGCACGACTCGCCCACGACGCCGGCATGAGCAGGCGGCAAGCGACCCCGTTCAAATCTGTCCTATCGAGCTGCTTCATCCGTAGCGCCTTGACCTTCTGCGCGACTCCGAAGCGGGTAGCAGTCGAAAACGCCCACGTCAGCGCGGCGAGGCAGGCATACGTAGATGGGTGTCGGCTTTCGGAACCAATGACGGGTGACGAGAGCCACTGCCGCGCCGCTGTCTTGATGGACTCGATCTTTTCGTAGCTGAATCTGAATATCCTCCCGGTCTTCTGGATCGTCTTGATGCTCGGGCTCTGCATCAATGGAGCGGTCGGCCCGCTGAGATTGGACAGGGTCGCGTATTCGAGGCATCGGCTCATCAGCTCGCCAAAGGATGCCATCTGTAGAAGCGGCGACGTAACTTCCTCTGGCAGGTCTGTATATATATCAATTGGGCAGTCGTGGATTGATTCGACGTCCTCGAGCCAGTCGGGACCGTCGCAGTCTGACACAGAGCGTGAACAGTCCGCCAAGACGGAGAGAAAATTGGTCATTCCTCTACCGTCCGAGATGGAGTGGTGTAGGTAGATGCAAAGGAGCAGGCCGCCCTCAATCACCCGCGCGTGGACCTCCAGCACCGGTATGCCAGGCCCGCCTTCAACGAGCTGATAGGGAACCGTGAAAGACGGATCGACGAAGGCCTTTGCCGGGAACCCTGCCTCCTTGAGTTTCTGATAGGTCCACCCAAAGAGCTTCCGTTGATCGAAGACTTTGAGCGAGACCTCGTCCGCGCTCGTCCTTCCGATGGACACTTTACCCATACTCCCAGGTTCGAGAAAGACTCGCGCTGCGTAGTCCGGGAATTGCTTCGAAGCCATAGCCAGCGCAGAGGCGAGATGCAGGCGCAACGATTCAAGTCCAACTCCCTCGGAGCCTCCGCAAAAGGGAAAGCAAAACACCTGCCGTACGTAGGAGCGCATGGCGGCCTGATTCCAGCTGTCCAGCTGCCGCTTAACGCAGTCCGCCGCCACGGCAGGCCGGGTCGCATCCGCCATGCTGCACTTGTTGGTCGTTTCGACGGTGGTAGTCGTGGAAGAGAGTCGACCAAGAAGACTTGCAAAGATTCCGCCTGAGCCTAAATACATGTGCGTACTCGAGGGCTGTACCACGTTGGAGAAGGGAGCTGTGAATCACACAAACCTTGGCCGGGCATTGCACAGAGGGCCCGCGTGCGTCTCGCCCTTTTCCTTCGTCCGGCCTCTCCTGCAGTGAATCGATCGCACAAAAGCTGCGGCCGTCCCAAAGCTGCTCGCTTGCGAGACGGTTGTTCAACCCACGAACCCTCCAAAACCCGACGGGGCAGTGGGCGGCGACGGCGACGGCCACGACTCAGTTTATGCCCATCGGGCAGGGCCTCTTGCTTGCTACTAGTCGAGTCCCATGACAGGCCCATGACAGGCAGGCAGCGGTGCACCCTGCTCCGTAGGTGTGCGAGCACTATGCGCCGCCGGCGGTCAGCTGGGCCGGGCCGGCCATCCGCTTCCGCTTCCGCTGTGGCAGGGTCTATGATGGGAAGAGCTGGGGGAGGGCCAGGAGGCCAAAGAGGGAAGAAGAAAAAAAAGAAAATGGACCCTTTTGGAGGGTCCTGGGGATGCTGGACGAGCTGGTGGTTGCACTGACACACAGAGATCATTGGCTGAGCGCGTGGTCACGTCGTCTAGTAGTCGCGCTCTCGGATCGCTCCCCGGAGGAGCTATTGTATGAATCGCGCGACGATCTCGCTGGCGCTACGTCACCTGGTCGGTTGGCCCTGGCCCGGCGCCCAACGGGTAATAGATCCGGTGGGATACATCTGGCAGGGGTTGGGTTGGGGGAAAAGTCGAGTCGTCGAGTCGAGTCGTGATCGGCGAGGGATGTCGTGCGATTAAAGACTTGGCGACGGTCCATGCCCGACGCGGATGCACGTTGTCATTTTAAAAATCCGAGAGCATATCGACTGTCTCAAGTGATGTTCATCGAGCGCGAACAGGGCGGTTGAAGGGTATCTGTCGATATGAGCCCCCGAACGCACAGCATTGATCGCTCTCTCCGCCTCAATCTATCCTCGGCGAAGCAATGACACCCACGCTCGACTCCTGTTTTCTCACGGCAACCCCGCCCTTGGGCGAGGCGAGTTTTTTTGGGGTTGCAGATGTCGCGTGTTGGTCGTCGCACAGCCTGCAGCTGCGAAAATCATTTGCCGACGCACCGCTTCCTTGGGTCGCAGTTTGCTGCCGGGCCTGCAAGGGGATCCCGGGGGGATCCTGCGTCGAGACGCCGGCCCGGGCGATGGAGGGGTCGTTGCTTGCTTGCTTGCCCCGCAGCAGCTGATGATGATGATGGGTGATTCCAGGTCGGTGATGCCCTGCGCCCATCCTCCGTCGCCGCGGCTGCCGCCGGTGCTACGGTCTCGGTGCGGTGCCCGCGCAGGACTGGAGGTATTCGGATGGTTCTGTTTCTTTGTTTCTTTGTTTGCTTCTCAATTGGCGCCCGGGAGAATCTGTACGGTACAGCAACGAGACGGTCCAGAATCCCCAGAATCCAGATCCGTGCCGGGGAACCTGTCCAGTCCCTACTCCTCCCTAACCTCCTCCACGACCGACTCCCCCGAAGACTCATCGCCGCTCGTCCACCGCCACGTCTCGTGCATGCGCAGGCGCCCGTCGGGGAGCACCTCGGGCCGCGAGACGCACCGCCCCGTCATGAGCTGGCCCTCGCGGTTGACGTGGTGGTAGCGCATGTCGAGCGAGTCGCCTTGAGTCGCCACCACCACGGCCACGAGGGAGCCGCGCACCACGGAGCCCCCCGCGTACTCGGCCCACACGATGCTGCCGTCCTGGTGGTAGTGGAAGGTGGTCTCGGCGCCGACCTCGCCGTTGGCCGTGTTGGACGTCGAGCGGAACGTCTTGCCGTCGTAGGAGATGGACATGGTTGCTGATGTGCTGCGCGGCGCTGCGTCGCGGGAAGCTGACCTCGATCGGGGGTGTAAGAATAATGCGACGGCGACTTTTGAGAGCCTGTGGTTCCCAAGTTGATTCGGTTCTGCAGGTAGATTTGAGAGTCAGAAACGAAAAGGGTCTGCATCTACGAAGCAGAAAAGGCGTCGGTGGACATGATCCGCCCCCGACATGGAGATTGAGTCATATGAGATTATCGGAAGCAGCTCCACCGAGCATCAGCCACCAAACAAGGCCATTTGGCCCTGTTCTTGGCATATTTAGGCTCATAATAAGCTTATCCATGATATTGCGGTATTTGAAGCATGCGAGGCCTTCTTCATGCTTCTTGTCACCTTGCATTGCGGCGCAGAAGCGGACAATATTCGACCGTCTTACTCCCTGGCTGGGGTCCACGCTTGTTTTACAACCCCAATTGCACTGTCTTTCCGAAGCTTGGTCGAGAGCCGGCCAAGTCAATTGACCAAAACTCGGCTTGTAATGGCATTTGATGCGTTTCTCTTGTGAATGACACGCTAGAGCGAGATACTGCGCGGCTGCAGAAGGTACTAGACAGACAACGCACCGTTGCTATCTCCTCCCATAATACATGCACTGCCGGCCCATACCGCGTCCGAGGTCCGGCCCGAAAGCCCACCCCGCCTCCGGGTCCGGCACCGCAGTCCGATCCCCGTCAGACACCATTGGGGAGATCCGGCGCCGCGATATGGCATGCTCAGAGAAGCGCCATCCGAGGGTTCTCCCTGGCTTTCACAGACATGTCCAGTCTTGACGCAGCAATCATCACACAGAGTGCAACCCCGTAGCTTCGCCGCGTAACTAGCATCATTACACCCGTCACCGTGACGATTCCAACGTCCGACAGCACAACGTCCTCGACTCGTGACCCCGTCCGCGACTCACGACACCGCGCCCATCCAGCGCACCATACATGATATATGTCACCGCAATGCACGTCCAAGGCACAGTACAGGCCGCGCCCTCTCGCGAGTTGCACAGCGACAAAACTTCAGCCAGCCCCGTCCCGCGGCCGCGGCCGGCGTCCCCCGCGCTGTTTTTGGTGAGCCAGGCAACATTTTCAACGTCAAATAGGTCCTCCCACCCTGCCTCATTCATTTATCCTGGCTCGAGAGTTTGGCTGTCTTCCCGACAACAGCATCGAAAGCCGCCCAGCAGGCCAGAGGGCAGCCTCGCTCCTGAGTGTTTTGCAAGAGAGACCCCGCGCCCATCACTCTAACCAAACCACGCACCATCAGTCCCCGAAACTCCCAATGGCAACATAGCTGCCCGCTCACTGCCGAGCAAGAGCTTCTCCAAGTCTTTTCAGCTACCCGTCCCCGTGGTCATGGGCTCGTGGTGGCTGCGCCTCCTGGCAACCCCTGTTTCCCCGCATTCCTGGCCGCAGAGCCTCACCGCAACCCCCGAGCTTTCCGGCTGGCAACTCAACTCTTCTTCCATCCTCGCAACCTAACTCTCCTCTTCCATTAACTGCGTTGGCACATCCGCGCATCCGACGACTTGTGTGTTCAAAAAGGTTTCGTCTCATTACGATAAATCTAGTCCGGTCTATGGCTCGTCTATCCGTCTCGTGCCGCTCCGTCTCGCGCGCCGCCCACTCTATACGCGTGGGGACGAGCCCGTCTTCCCGTCGTCTTTCATTCTGTTACTTTTCCAGTCGTCCTGCGGCTCTTGAGAAAAGATAGAGAAGAAAATCCAGCCAAGTCTCGAACATGATGGACCAACAAAATCCAGGTTATCTGGCCGCTCCAGAACGCGCGGGAAGCGACACGACTCAACGCCCGCCTCAGACTTGACTCGGGCAACCGCCGACGCCATCTATATATGCCGGAACCTGATGGCAGGAAAAGGGACAAGGCAAAACATTTTACTCGGGCTTCTTCATGCTCAACGGCTTGGTGCCCAGGCCGTTGGTGTTGCGGAAGAAGAGAACGCCCTTGCCAGCGCCCTCGGCCTTCTCGCTGGGCTCGACCCACTGGCACATGCGAGCGCTTCGCCACATGGCGCGGATGAAGCCCCAGGGGCCGTCCTTGGTGTCGGACCGGTAGTGCTTGCCCATGACGGGGCGGATGGCGTCCGATGCCTCGTCAGCGTTGTAGAAGGGAATGGTGCTGACGTAGTGGTGCAGGACGTGCGTCTCGATGATGCCGTGGAGCAGGTGGCGGCCGATGAAGCCCATCTCGCGATCGATGGTGGCAGCGGCACCGCGGACAAAGTTCCACTCGTCGGCCGTGTAGTGCGGCAGAGACGGGTCAGTGTGCTGGAGGAAGGTGATGGCGACTGCGGCAAAACGGTCAGCATATCAGCGAAAACACGAGAATCGACCCTCGACGGGATCACGGGCGAGACGAACCGAGCCAGTGGTTGACCCAAAGATACGGGATCATGTACCAGACGGCCAAGTTGGCCCATCCGAAGCGGCTGCCGAGGAAGTACAGGACGCTGGCGGTGATGGCGATGCCCAGGTCGCTGAGGAGGATGAGCTTGCCGTCCTTCTGCTCATACAGGGGGCTGCGAGGGTCGAAGTGGTTGACGCCGCCGCCGAAGCCGTTGTGCTTGCCCTTGCCGCGGCCCTCGCGCTGGCGCTCGTGGTAGTTGTGGCCGGTGACGTTGGTCAGGAGGTAGTTGGGCCAGCCGATGAGCTGCTGGCCGATGAGCATGAGGAGGGTGTAGGCGGGGGCATCCTCAGCCAGCTCGCCGAGCTCGTGGACCAGCTTGCCGAGGCGCGAGGCCTGCTGCTCGCGGGTGCGGGGCACAAAGACCATGTCGCGCTCCATGTTGCCGGTGGCCTTGTGGTGCTTGCCGTGGGAGATCTTCCAGGAGAAGTAGGGGACGAGCAGGGCCGAGTGCAGGACCCAGCCGGTGGTGTCGTTGACGACCTTGGAGGGCGAGAAGGCCTGGTGACCACACTCGTGGGCGATGACCCAGAGGCCGGTACCGAAGAGGCCCTGGAGGACCGTGTACAAGCCCCAGAGCAGGGCGCGGACGGGCGTCGAGGGGATGTACTCGGGGGTGACAAAGTTGTGGCAGAGAAGGAAGGTGGTGGCGATGCAGGCCATGTCACGCAGGATGTATGCGTAGCCCTTCAGGGCGGAGCGTTCGAAGCAGTGGGCGGGGATGGCATCGCGGATGTCCTTGATGGTGAAATCGGGGGGCGTGAAGGCGTTGCCGTACGTGTCGACGAGGCCCGTATAGGCGGGCTTGGGGTCGGCGACGTCGATGGAGGAGAGGGAGGAGAGCGACGTGGACGAGGCCGAGTGACGAGGGGAGTCGGAGGGCGAGACGGCGGCCGACGACTCGGAGTCGGTGGCAGTGGCCGAGGTGACGGTCCTGCGGAGGATGGGATTCCGGGGAATGGCGGTGGAAGCCATGGTGAGGCAGGCGGACTGGCGATGTCCTGTGTTGTGCTGTATGAGACGAGGAGGGTGGTGATGGTGTTAGACGGAGTTGCCAATGGGCGTTGTTTGTGCTCGCTGGAACCTGTCCGTCTCCTGCCCGGCGATTCTGGCAAACTTCTAAACAGAAGAGAAAATAAAAAGAGAAGGAGAGTGCAGTGTCGACGAGTCCGAGGCGGAGAGGAAGAAGAGAGTCGTGGCCGAACGATCGGGAGGACGAGATAATCTGGGAGGGGGGGCGTGTGCCTGGAAATTGTTGGGGTCGGCCGCAGGGGTCGTGGGTCCAAGGGGTCGCTGGAAGCCGCTGCAGAAGAGACGTGTCGCCCGTAGGCGATGCCGAGCCGCTGGCGTGACAGTGGGAGAGGTGCGCTGGAGGGTCCCTCGTCAGGTACCAGGACTTGGGGAGTGGCCGAACCGGTGGAGGCTCGCTTCAGTGTCCTGTGGTTCGTATTGGGAGCCTGAAATATCGGCGCTGTTACGACACGAATTGGACAAGCATGGCACATTAATACAGTCTCATATGGTGAGAAACGAAGCAATTCGAGCGTCACGAGGCGAAGCTACATATACGTTGCCCAAGTCACACGCAGACCTCGGGCCAGCGGCGGGAGCCAGACGGCGCTGTGACCGGGCACCTGCGGGCTGGCGATAGTGCAACTGAAGGCGCCCGCCTGTCCTCCTTTTACCTCCCGTCTCCAGGACCGGTCCGGCTTTGGGCGATCAATCAATGGACGGGACGGCGGACACACCGCCTGGGGCTGGAAAAGAGGGCCAATTGCCTGAATCGACGTCGGTCATGGGACAAGGCGGAGCGCAGGAGGAACATTCACGGCGGCAGAGACCCGGGCAGCGGCTTGTCTGGTGGGTGTGGCTGCATCAATCCACGGATACTGGGTTACTTTGGTGGAGGGAGGTGCTGTGGTTGGAGAAGCTGCTGCTGCCCGTCCATCCACCCAGGGTCCAGGTCGCATTCCATCTTTTTTTTTTTTTTTGCCTCGCCTTCTTTTTTTTCCGCAGCGGGCGCCGCGGTGGCATTTCCCATTCGGGGATCCACCAGGAACAAGCGCCATCCGTGCCGGCATCCATCCATCCATCCATCCAGCCAGCCGGCTAGTCAGCTATCGTCACTGGACGGCGCCAGGCGATTCCATCATCAGCAGAAGCGGACCGACGGGGCATGTGAAGCCGACCCAGGCACGCTTGCTGGCTGAGGGAGGCGACAATCGTGCACCTCTGCGTCTCTGATGCCGTGGCGGCGGCCACCAGAGGCAATCGACATGATTGATCGCGGCCCCGATTGGTGCCTGTTTCACACTGGGCCCCCGACGCTGGTCTGGTCCAGCAAGAGCTGCAGCTTGTTACATCGAGAGACAGGTGTCACGGCGTCGCCCACTCGCCGCGGCGCACGCGTCGTGAGACATGACGCACCAGCCGAGAGCACTCTTTTTCTTTCCAACAGCCACCACGGCCGCCACCACCACCACCACCACGACCAAGACCGACGACGGCGACGTGATGGCGGTGGCGGATACTCTACTCGCTTGCTGACCAGCGATTGCAATTGCCTTGCGCCGGCAGGCGAGTCAACGACGAAGCCCCCCGCGGGTGGGTTGGCATTTGTGGGTTGACCGACCCTTACCCTTACTCGTGGAGTCGCGGGACGTGGAGCCGCACGACGACGAGCACGACCCGAACAATATGCTGTTGGCACCAGAAGGGCAGAAGGGGGGGCGTGTGCCCAGGCCGGGCCCTGGCAAGCCCTGGCCTCCAGAACCAGAGAATAACCTTATTGCCGAGCGCCTCCCCTCGATCCGCCGTCGCTGGTCGACGTCGCCCAAGCCGGACGACGAGACACAGGCTGGGCCCGCGCATCGACGGTGCGTCCGACTCCCTCGCGGCGGCCAACCACCACCCACACGCGCATATTCGTCTCGCATGTCGGGAACCGCCCTGCACGTTCGAGTTCCTCCTGCTCCTCAGCTGCCGCCGGCGCGAACCATGTCGTCTGCCCTCCCTCCAAGAGCCTGCTGATCAGATGCCCGACGCAGAGATGCATCTGGCAGAAGAGAAAAAAGTAAAAAAGGGCGCACATGCGGGACGGCTCGGCCAGCGCCAGCTGCTGCGGATACAGGATCACGTACTGTATTACCACAGCATACAGCTCGTCCCGTGAGACGCCATCGCGAATAAGGGCTGCCCGTCACATGCATCTCGACGAAAAGGACCAGACCCCTATGCGACGCCTCGATTGGCGAGACCAGATCCGTCTTTGGCCTGTGCTGATAGACTCACGCGAGCCGTGCGCGCCATGCAGACAGACAGACAGACAGACAGACGAGCTGCTGGCCGATGCACCTCGTCGTACGTCCCGGTGGCTCGCGATGCACGCCCACTTACACGGGAGCTCTCCTAGCCGAGCCAGCTTCATGGGGCGGTCAGGTGGACGCCGCCGCGGGCAAGCAAGCCAGCCAGCCAGGGGAATCATCGTAAGCCTAACCCGGGTCTGGCCACTTTCACATGCTTCAATTACAGGGGACAGAGAGCGAAATGGGCATCGTTTCAGCGAGCGCCGTTTGTCGAGCGGCCTCGTTTAGCGGCGCGCATCGGCACGGAGACCAGGCCCAAACACGCGATAGGGGAGGGAAAGAATTTCTGTTGGGAAATTTGTTGAGGGCGGCACCACCTCCCCTCCCGTCCTGTCCTGTCGGCAGCGGTGGCGCGACCGCCGCGCCCCGGCCCCCCTCATCCGCTCCAAGCCCTCCATAGGTGGGCTGTCCAGGTGCCCTACAGGCCCGGCCTTCCACTGAAGCGCCAGGGCAGGGCACCTCAGGCAGTCCACCAACTGCCCAGGTGGCCTTCCCGCTTGGGGGGGTGCCTGTGGGGGCCTCCAGCGGTCGTAGGTACCCGGCACCAAACTCCCGCACTCCACGTGTGTTTTCGCCTCCCGGCCCAACTGCCCTGTGGCTTCTTCTTGGCTCTCTGCATTTTTCTTCCCCTTGCCCTTCCCTTCCGCCCCGCTCGCCCCGGCCACTGGCGGCGGGTCTGCCCGCGAATGAGCTTCGTCGGTGTTCCATCAGGCTTGCTGGAGGCGCTCCCCGCGACCCGCCCCGCCGGCGGCGCTCCCGTGCCTGGACACACCGGACGCCGTGCTGCCATTTTTCGCAGTGCTGCCCCGCGCTGAGAGCTGTTCTTCCATGGAAGGGACGGGAAGGATGGAAGTGTCGACAGAAGCCGAGAGGATGCGACCATGGCAGTTGTCCTTGTACGTACGCATGGTTCGGTTCATGCTGGCTTGACTGGTCCATCAAGGATGGCTTCAACCTCACATGTGCTCGTTGGTCATGCCCGCCTACGTGCTGTACGAAGTACCGCCCTCCCACATGTTCCGTCGTTTGCTTGCTTGCTTGCATGCTTGCTTGCTTGCATGCTTGCTTGCCTTGCCTTGCCTTGCTGCTGCTCTGATGGCGTCGATCTGGTCGAGCCGAACCCCTCCCCTCCCCTCCTCTCCCCATCCCTTCCCTTCCCAAGCCAGGTCGCCACGTTTCCCGCGCCGGTTTCAAGCCTCTTGCGTCGTCGTCCGTCCTGCGACGCCCCCTCCCTCCAAGCCCCTCCTCGTCTCTCTCACCCGTTCACGCCTGAATTCATCCCAGCATCCCAGCATCCCCCAGATCGGATCGGGGAACCCAGGCCGTCTCGCTACTAGTTACACGAGTATCCGTCTTGAGGGGGGTTAGCAGGCGGGCGGACGCGGAGACAGTGCCCATATACGGCGTGCATCGCGGGACTGAGACCGGCCGGCCACACGCGCGAGCACACAGCGGCGGAGATTCAGCGCGTGCCAAGGCTTTTCCGTTGACGTGGAGGTCGCCGACCAGAAACCACGAGAGAGGGAGCCTTTCTTTGCCGTGGAGCTCAGCTGGTCTCTTTTAGATAGACACCTCATTAGCAAAGTCACCAAGATTTCGTTGAGCCTTGTAAACGACGAGGAGGTTTCAGCCAGCGAGGTGGTTGCGTGTGGCTGAGTGAAATGTGCCTACCCTACACCACTTACACGATCCCCTCGACGCCATTCCGGCCCCCTTGAGCAAGCGTTCAACAGCCGGCTTTAGGATAGGAGGTGTGCTGGTCGTCTCGCGACACGGCAATGTAGTGTTTGCACAGTCTGGGAATATGGTGAGGGTGTTGCATCACACTTGGGCCATCCGCGCCTCGTTCACTCCGTCGTGCTCGCCGTCATTTCATGCGGTGCCGACCACGGGGTATTGAATCCATAAATGGTATTCGCTTGTCTTCCCTGAAACCCCTCATAGTAGGTGCAGCACTATGCCCTTCGCTAACTAACCTCATGCTGGAGTAAATGCAATATGAAAAAGATGCCGTCGTGATCAAACGCCCGCTGCCAACACTTATATCCAAACGCAGCCCATCCCCCTTTTCCACAGGGGAGGCCTCAGCGTGCAACAAAACACGCTCTGCGCAAATCCTACCACGGCACCAACCTGCCCTCGCTCTCCACCACCTGCCGCAGCCTCTGCACCATAAAGTCCACCCAGATGTTGACCCTCTCCTGCTCCATGCCCTCCCACGCCCGCCTCGCCATCCCGCGGAGCGTCTCGTCCTCCCAGTCACGGTTCTTGCCGCCGTCCTCTTCGCCACCGCCAGCGGCGCCGCTCTCCCCCTTGCCCTCGCCAAACTGCCACTGCTTCGCAGGAGGCCAGAGCGTCTCCAGGGGGTTCAGGTCCGGCGCGTCGCCGCAGCTAAACACGTGCCGGAGCCCGACGCTCTCCTTCCACGCCTGCACCGCGTTCTGCTTGCTCAGCCCGCCGTGCGCAAACGCCTCCACGTCCTCGTACAGCACGAACGTCGGGTCCGCCGACAGCCAGCTCCGGACCTCCTTGTCCAGGATCTTGTACTGGTAGTCCGCCATGCTGGGCGTCCCGCCGCAGTTGGGGCTCGTCGAGTCCTCGTAGAAGACCAGCCCGCTCTTGAACCCGTACCCCGCCGCCGCCCACGCGTGCACCTTTCTGATGTCCCGTGACCAGCCCGCATCGGACCTCGAGCCGGAAGCATCGTCGCCTGTGTTGCAACTGGGGCACTGCAGTCGCTCGCCTGGGCGCGGCAGCAGGCGCACCCGGCCGTCGAGCCCGAACCCAAAGTGCAGCTCGATGCTGAAGCGCACGCGGCGCCAGTCCTCGGTCGACGGGTACGTCTCGAGCATCCGCCGCGCCCAGTCCGCGCGCTTCTCCCGGCAGCGGCGATGCACGACGTTTTGCCCGCAGGACAGGCACCGCCGATAACCTAGCGTGCCCATTGCGCGGTGCAGCGTTCGCGGGTTGACCGTCACCTCCACGCCCGCCGCCTTGGCCAGCCGCGTCCAGTTGAACCCGCCCGCCTCGCTGCTGTCCGCCGAGGTCCCCGATTCCGCCTTGCTGCCGCCCTCGCCGTGGTGATGCTGCCCGAGCTCATGTTGCTGATGCTGCGGGTGCTGCTGGGGACCCTCGTCCTCCCACAGGAGCGCCTCCATCCGCCGCTGGTCCGCCTCCGAGACCTTGCTCGGCCGCCCGCGCGTCTCCTCCCACTCCGGGTCACTCCGCTTCGACGACGACGGCGAGCTCAGCGCCGCGTAGCCCTGGGACCGCGACAGGTCAAAGTGCCTGAAGATGGCCGACTTGTTGACCGGCAGGCCCTGCGACTCGAGGTACGAGATGGTGCCGCGGACCATGGCCCTTTTCGGCGTGTTGTCGCCGTGCTTGTAGCCCGACGCCGGCGCCATGGCGAAGGGAGGGCTCCGGGTGTTTCTGGCCGCGGGCGGGGGGCGCGTGTCGACGGTCAGAGACGGGTCGTGAGTCGCGTGTAAGTCGTTGACAGAAGAAGTGTGTGGATGTTTTTGTCTGGCCTCGTCGCTCTGGCGGGCGGGGAGCTCGGTCGTCGACGTGGTGTGTATGACGTCACGTGACCGGTTTTCGGGGATGGCCAGCAGTCGACATCTTGCCGCCAAGGGCTCATCGCCAACAACACAGGACACAACCAACGACCAGGTTGGTTGCAGCAAAGGCTGAAACATCGTGTGATCTGCTCTCTAAATAGCATAATGTTCATGCTCCTTAATATTGTGGACGTGATGCCGGAGATCTTTGGCGGGCGCCCAGCGCCGGCTCGGAGCAGAATACCACGAAAGATACTACAACGGTACTTTGCAGAAACGGTAAAAATAAGATGAACATAAGGTGAATGTGTACGTCAGTTCATAACTATGTGGCCCAATCGTCTCGGAGCATAGCACCCGAGCGTAAGCATGGATCGAGTTTCCGCATCCAATCGCTCGTCCGACCCTATGTGTCCCATTGACTGGAATAAGATTAAACAATACAGCCAGTGACCTCCTGCTGTCGACAGCACGGAGCTGTTGGCGAGAAGAGAAGAAAAAGAGTATCCAGAAACACCAGCAGCCCCGCGAGGCCACTGGGCTCTCTCATGTAAAAGACGGCAACGTGCCGACAATGTGCCGGCCATCGCCAGCTTGCCTCCAAAGGCCGTCGAGACGACGCCGGGTATGGTCACATGCCCGCAGCCACCATGCTCCGTCTATACCTTGATATACATTACCCGCTGTAAATGAGACTCAGATGATTGCGTCATTAAGATGTGGCGAGATCGTTACGGAGCTCGTGCTTCACGCCTTCCCAGCCTCGCGGACCAACTGCATAAAGCGGTCTTCGGCTCCGACCTCGCCAATGGCTCGGATCGACGATTTGGGGGCGTTTCCTTTGGCTATTACGGCCTTGATCTCCTCCGCCGTCTTGCTGCCCAGGAGCGCCATCTCGCGAGACAGCAGCACGGCCACCGCGGCGCGAACGAGAACGGCATCGCCCTCGAATATGTATACATCCCATAGACGGGCGGCCTCGTCGACGGCGAGATAACCGGTAAAGACGCTCGTGAATAGATCGCCGAGATAGTAATCGGGGTCCACGTCTCCCATGGTCTTTGTGAGATGCTCGAATAGCGCGGCAGATTTGTGGCTGAGGGTTTGAATGACGAGGTTGTAGGCAGACGCCTGGGCGCCGTGATCAGAGGTGAAAAACGAAAGCGGAAGCGGTCGATTGAGGACGTTGGCCAGGGCAATGAAGGCAGCCTCGGGGCTCGGCAGGTTCAGCAGCAGAAGCGCAGCAATTGTCTAAACCGGGGTCAGTCAAGTTGAGTCAGTGTAGGCGTGGACGCTACTCACGTGGCTGCCAGAAACGTAACCGATGTCGTTTCTGTACATGGCGTACGCGCTCAGGACGTCCACCAACGCCTGATGCAGGGGTCCGCTGACTTCGAAGATGCGGAGATCTTTCCACGTTCTCTCGCCTGCATCCTTGCGGATCTGCGCAAACCACTTTGCCCTCTTCAGGTCGTCGGGGTCTCCTCTGTCGGCCTTGACACGGGCCTCGAGCTCATTAGCTCGTGCCAGCGCCGTCTTGAAGGACGCCTCGGTGAGACCGAGCTCGTTGCCGATGGCCCGTGCCCAAACATGGCCGCGGCTGCGCGGGGCGATACCCTTCCACCACATGTCTCTGGTCCTCCTCTCCCGGATCGCCTCGTTCCAACGCGGGATAATATCGTTCTCCCAAATCTGCATTGAACTGGCGGCGTTATTGTCTCGGGACTCCACCTTGGACCTACGAGCGGCCTCACGCCGCTCGTCCGCTTTGGCGCTGGCAGCCACCATTTTCTGGTACTCCCTAAGATGGCGCCGTTCCTCCGCAGGGTCCTTGGGGGGCAGCCAGGAAGGCCTGGTCCGGCTAAGGACTGCCTCTTTTTCCTTGGAGATGGGTAGAGGGTCGACCATGATGTTTGTGCGGCGTAGAGGTGGCAGCTCGGGCGTCGACGACTTGACACGTTCCTTCTTGTCGTAGAAATAGTCGACGGGCGTTTGGCTTGAGTTCCATGTATTGGGTCGCCCAGATGCAGACGGTCGCCGCGTGTACTGCTCGACAATCTCGTCCGCATGCTCTTCGAGCTTTTCCGTCAACGCCCTGGCCTCGGCACTGAGCTCGGCGTGGGCGGCGTTCCAGCTGAGAGCGCGGTTCTTCAATGGACTCGGAGGAGGCTTATCGAACCCGTCAGCCTTCCAAGAGGGCGACCGCAGGCAGCCCTGCGCCTGGGCAACAGGGGGCGTGCCATTTCCGACGCTCCGGACTCGCTCTTTGGGGGCGCGTTCAGGCGACGGTGAGATTGAGGGAGCCCTGCTAGGGGGTCGCTCACCGGCAGGGCGAGGAGAGATGGGTACATTGTCGAGAAAGATGCCGTCGGGGATGTCGTCGCCGTCGTCTTCATCGCACTCGTGTTCGAGCTCTTGGGGTGTCTTGCGGTCGCGATTGGCCTGCCAGCTGCCTCGCCTTGGCCTGGGCAGGAAGTTGGGGTCTCGGGCACTGAGTGCCAAGCCGGGGCTCGAACTCCGGTGCCGGCGGGGGACAGGAAGCGATGTCGTCGAGTGGACCTTTGTGAGGACCAGTGGCCGCGGGTCGGTCAGACCCGATGTGCTGGTACTCCTCGGATTGGAGGCGTACAGGCTGTTGTGCAGATTGGGAAATGACCGTCGAGGCCGCGGCACCGGCCGCTTGTTGGCAGCAAGCTGTCTGGTCGAGGGTGCCGTCGGGGAGGGGCCGCGTCGGACAGAGACGTGGTTCGGGCTCTTGAGGGTTGCATTGTCATCATCGAGGCCAATGTCTTCGAAGTGGCTAATGTCGGCCAGGACGCTGCCGTCGTCGCTGTTGAGGGATTGGAAGGAGGACGACTTGGAGCTCTTGGACGTGGTCATGCCAGGCGGAGAGCCAGGGCTCGACAGGATGGTGGTGGTGATGGAGGTCATGCTTTGTTCGCGAATCATGGCTGGGTATGGCTGCTGCAGTGCCGAAGGTGCATTGCCAGAGGCTTGCAGTGACCTAGCTGGACGCCACGCTTTTACTCGCTTGCGAGCTGCAGGGGCGGCGGGCAGCGTGGGGGGTGCGTGCTGTCGCGTGTTCGAGAACGAGGGGCTGATGATAGTCGGGCGGACGACGTCGGTTTTCGAAATGGAGATTAGAGATGTGCCCGCGCGAGACGCAAATGAGCGCGAGACGCCAAGGGTCGCGGCAGATCCGCGATCAAGGTAGGAGGGATGTGGAAAAGGCCTCTCGTCGAGTATAAGGTCGGCTGTTGGGCGGAGACGGGAAGGATTTTGGCGGCGTCAGCAGACTGTAGCGGGCGTCGATGGCTGAAACGGCTGCAACGACGGTATGCCCCTCGACGAGCGACGGTGCGAATACGGCAAAGAAGAACAAAGCGCAAAATAAAGTCGCCGACAGCAAAGAAGAGAAGACGTGACCCAAAAAGCCGTAGCGTCGATGGAGTTTAGTTTGAACGAACGAATGGACAGAGGAAGCGTCGACTGAGGGCCGGATGAGCCTGTTGGAGGAGTAAGGGGTAAGGTAACGGGTCAAGGTGGAAAGGAAACAAGAGAAGAGAGGGCGAGGGAGACCAAAGAAGCGGTCGACCTCGAGCGAGAGACGTGATGATGACGAAGGACAGACAAACAAACAGGAAAGGAGAGGGCGGGCCGAGCGGGTGGATGGGCGACGGGGAGGTGGACGAGGAGGGTGGAGGAGGAGATGGGATGGATGGAGGCTTGCCCGATCACAATCCAATCCTTCTCCCGGGCCCTGGTCGAGGGCCGCTGGGTGTCGTGCTGCTGTGTGGTTGGAGGATGCCCGCCCGGCGGGGGGGGGCCTGCTCCAGGGCAGTTCATGTCCGCTGCAGCGCTGAGGTGGGTGGGCAAGCAGTTTCCAGGTTGAAGCCGCGCTGGGGCGGTTGCAGCACTCGGCCGCTGGAGCACCCGATCTAGCTACTAACTTAGGTAGCGAGCCTGCAAGCCGGGCCAAGCCCTGATGAGAGGGGAGGGTCCACCGATCCTCAGCGCAGCTCTAACCTTGCCGGTGCGGGCGGCGGGCGTCCCGTCCAGTAGGCGCAGGCCCTGAAGCTTATCCCAGCTGAGCGGGTGGAGGACGAGGCGCGCGCCAAATTGAATTTTGATTGTCGGTGCAGCCCGCAGCCCGCAGCCAGCAGCGGTGCAGTGCAGCACCAGCTCGCGCCATCTGCCCGTGGCACCCCTCCTCCTCCCCTGGGCTCCCATCTCATCCTGCTCCTCCCCATCCTCCCCCAGCAGCAGCTCAGCACCTCACCGTCGGCCACCTCACGACCTCCTGAGGCGCAGCCAAGCGCGCGCCCCGTCAGCGCAGGTACCGTCCCGCCGTCGGGAGGCGCTGCGTGACCTGCATGCATCCCACCTCATCCTCCTGCAGCTGGCCCAAGCCCAGTCTCCACTGTCTTCCCGCCCATCCCGGGCCCCTTGCGCAACGCCGGACCTGGGCCTGGGATTCCATTGGCCTCGGCCGTCGACGTCTTGCCTCCCATGGGTCGGTTCTCTCTCCTCTTCAGTGAGTGCGCTGGCACAACACAAAAAGCCTGCTGGCGGCCGTCCAGGTGCGGGCCTGTCCGTCCTCCGCCGTGAGGCAGCCAGCACTGCAGCAGGTTTCGTCTCTTTGCCCGCGCCCCCTCCCGGACCGACCGTCAAATGGAACCATCACCGATCGCATCCCACGCCTCCCCGCGGCACGTCATACATTAGGCATCGCGCGACCCTGTGCCATTGTGCCATTCCAGTCCATGCCAGCCGCAATTGTTCGCCCCGACGCGCAACAATGAGACGGACGCGAGCCGGCTGGCGGCGCAGTCGGGGACCAAGACATTGTCGCTCATCCCCCTACGAAACACCAGGCCTTCGAAAATCGCCCGTGGCGTGACGCTGTCGCAGCCCCAAACCTGACGCCGGACCGTCCGTCGTCCCCCCCAAAAGCCCCCTTGTTTCTCCTGCCAGACCAGCAGCAGTGGCACAGACCGCTGTCGTCTCATCTGCGCCCCCGTGATCGCCAACCTTGTTGACTTGACTTTCTGCGAGGGGCGCCTGTCCTCTCGCCCGTCGGACAGCCCGACGCCTGTGTTTACTTGGGCTCAAAAAATCACGCCCAGAACGCGCTCCTGTGGTGGGCCGCGATCGACCGGGGGGCTTTTAGGCCTGGACAAACCCAAATGGGGGCCGTTCCACTCCACCCCGTCGCCGCCAGATCGATCGTGAATGCCAATGCAATGCATCCTCAGCTTGTGTGTCCATCGAGCCGCAGGGGGGGTGCCACGTGCCGTAGCGGTCCGCCCAGCCTCGCCTCGACGACCAAGCCTCACCATAAAGTGCGCTCAGTCACACTCAGTTGCAGAGGTCGAGGCCATCGTTTGTCCAGGCTTTTGTCTTTCCATGCCGCCCCTTCTATGGTATCTACATTACAGAAAGGTAGTCTCATGAACCCTCTACATGCCTGCGTCCACGCCCTTCGCCTCACATCCGCTCGCGCCTCCGGGGGGCGGCCCGGATGATGTCGTCTACCCTGAGCAGCAACTATGTGCCTGTTAGTCGTGGTCATCCCAATCGCGTTCGGCGTTCTTCTTACCTCGGCGGCCTCGCTGGCCGATGAAACAACTGCCTTCTTCAGCTTGTAGCTCTCGATCACGCCCAGGTCACGCATGTCCGCGATGCCACCTCCGGGCGTCGTAAGGTCCAGTCCGTACGTCGTCAGGCCGTCGTAGATGGCCTTGCGTAGACGAGCCACCAGGTCGCCCGAGTCCAGGCCGGCGTTGTCGGCCAGAATCGTCGGCAGCTGTCGCAGCGCCACAGCGAAGCTAGACACCGCCATCTGCTTCTTGCCCTCGATCCGCGTGGCTGCACCCTCGACCGCCTTGGCCATGACCATTTCGCCGCAGCCGCCGCCCAGCGTCGTCCTCGGCTCCAGCACAGTCTGTGAAAGGACCGCCAGCGCGTCGTGCAAGCTGCGCTCCGCCTCGTCCAGCAGCTGCTCGGTCGCGCCGCGGAGCACAATGGTGCACGCCTCGCCAGCCGAAACACCCGAGAACTTGATCAGCGTGTCCTCGCCAATGATGACCTCCTCGATCAGGTCACACTGGCCCAGCTTGACCTGGTCCGGGTGGTCAAACGTCGACGCAATCTCGCCGCCAGTGACAAGCGCCAGGCGCTCAATGCCGTCAAAGTCGGCGTGCTCAATGGACATGATGCCCGCGTCCGTAAACAGCTGCTCGGGCCAGTTGTAGATGAGCTGTCGGTTGATGAAGCAGTTGATGCCGTGAGCCTTGATCTTGTCCACCTTGGCCTTCATCTTCTCCTTCTCCGCCTTCTCCAGCTCTGCCAGCTTGCTCGTCGACCCGACCTTGACGCGGGCACCGAAGATCTTGACCTTGTCCGTGTCCATCGACGTGTTGGCCACCAGGATCTTGGCCTTTTCTAGTCGCTTGGGCTGGTTCACACCAATCTTCTTGTCGAGGATGAAGCCCTCGTCGAGGTACGACTCGCTCAGCTTGCCTCCCGCCTTCTTGATGATCTGAATGTGGCTGAGGTCCGAAGACTTCTTCAGGCGGAGGACAGCATCGCAGGCGAGCTGGGCGAAGTGGTCGCGGTCCTGAGCCAGGACCTTGGAGCTGAGCGTGGTGCGAGCAATGGAAAGCAGGTCCTTGCGGAAAGCCTCGGGGCTCTTGCTGTGGTCGACCGCAGACTCCTCGAGAGCCTTGAGCGCAGCCTTGCTGGCTATTCTGTAGCCCTCGATGATGGTTTGCGGGTGGATCTTCTTGTCGACGAGCTTCTCGGCCTCGCGCAGGAGCTCGGCGGCCAGAACGGCCACGGATGTCGTGCCGTCGCCGACCTCGTCGTCCTGCACCTTGGAGATGTTGACCAGGACCTTGGCGGCGGCGTTGTCGAGGGCGATGGACTTGAGGATCGTAGCACCGTCGTTTGTGACCATAATTTCGCCAGTCGAGCTGCGCAACGCTGAGGTTAGGGGTTGATCCGGGATGAGGGGTCGGAAGAGGCGGTGGCAGAGGCAGACTCACGCTGACTGCAGGATCTTGTCCATGCCCTTGGGGCCGAGGGTGCTCTTCACCAAGTCGCCAACGGCGATGGCGCCAACAAAGGCGGCGAGACGCGCATTCTCGCCCTTTTCCTCAGTCGTGCCCTCCTCGAAAATCTGCGTCGGCAGGAAAGACTGGCGGGTGGGTTAGCAGCTTGAAGGGACGTACGGTAACTCCAGAGCAAAAAGAGCAGGCATACCATGATGGCTTGTGAAACGGCGTGAAAGAGGGGACGCAGTCTCAGGAAGCCTTGCGGTTGACGTTGTGCTGAAAGTTGGCCCAAGGCTGCCGTTGACGTCCGTGTTCCAGGAGCTCTCGCAAGGCCCCTACTGCTGCAACGCGGCGTACCTCATCCCTGAGGTAGCTGCAAAATCAACCAACCCCACCATGGCCAAAGGGCCCACGTGACTTGCCCCTCGGCCGGAGAATTCGCGGGTCAGGAACATCGCTTCTCCGCCGCACACTTTGTGGGAATCTGAAGAACACCAAATTTGTGCAGCACGGCCCCGACGACGTCGACCGCGATCTCAACCCAGCCCTTTCTGCGCCGCCCCCGTTGTCCCGTCCTCGACAACACGCGCAGTCATCGGCTACTACAGACTCGATAGTCTCGACTACCCGAGTTCCCCCAGAGACGACGCTGCGACTCCTTCACAGTCGCGACTTTCAAATTTCGACATCGCCCAAGCGGGGCAATTTTCTGCACCCCTCCTTGAACACCAAAGCGACAACGACTGCCCAGGATGGCGCCGTCCTTCGACCACCTGCGCGAGGCCGACCTCGACGATGACGAGTTCAACGAGGATGAGATCGACATCTCGGATCTGCGGGAGAAGTTCGAGGTGCAGCTGGAGATGGGCTACGACACGTTCGTCGTGATCGACGGCCTGCCCGAGGTCACCGAGGACCAGAAGCCGAAGCTGGTCAAGTTCTTGCTGAAGAAGCTCAACACGGTTGGAAAGACGCGGGAGGACTCGATATACATGCCCATGGGCGAGGACGGAAAGTCTCTTCGGTTAGTTTGAGACGCCCTCGAATAACGCGTGTTGAGAAAGCAGCCACTAATGCGTTGACCGACAGCTTTGCCTTTGTCGAGTACTCCTCCCCTGCCGAGGCCGCCGCTGCCACCCGCCAGCTCGACCTGGTTCCTCTCGACAAGAAGCACACCCTCCGTGTCAACAAGATGACCGATATCGAGCGCTACGGTGGCGAGGGCCGCGTCGACGAGACCTACCAACCCCCTCACATCGACGAGTTCACTGAGAAGGAGCACCTTCGATGGTGGCTTAAGGACCCCTCGGGCCGCGGCCGTGATCAGTTCGTCATGTACCGCGGCGAGACTGTCGGCGTCTTCTGGAACAACGACCGCGAGCCGCCGGAGAACATTGTTGACCGCCAGCACTGGACCGAGACCTTCCTGCAGTGGTCTCCTCTCGGCACCTACCTGACCTCTATCCACGCACAAGGCGTCCAGCTCTGGGGTGGTCAGTCCTGGTCGAGACAGGCGCGTTTCGCACACCCCTTCGTCAACCTCGTCGCTTTCTCTCCTACCGAAAGGTACTTGGTCACCTGGTCAAACAGGCCGATCTCAATCCCCGACTCTGGTCACCCGTCTCTCTCGATTGACGACGACGGCAAGAACTATGTCATCTGGGACATCGCGACGGGCACGCCTCTGCGTTCGTTTGCCAACCTGGATCTCCCCAAGCCCGAGGAGGGAAAGCCCCAACCCAAGCTCCAGTGGCCCGCTTTCAAGTGGTCGGCCGACGACAAGTACGTCGCCCGCCTGAACCAGGGCTCTTCCATCTCCGTCTACGAGCTGCCGCGGATGAACCTCGTCGACAAGACGAGCATCAAGATTGAGGGTGTCATGGACTTTGACTGGGCGCCGGCGACGCCTCAGCGCGACGGTGTCAAGACGTACGAGCAGCTCATCTGCTTCTGGACGCCCGAGATGGGCAGCAACCCCGCCAAGGTCGGCCTGATGAGCATCCCCTCAAAGCAGATTGTGCGAACCCTCAACCTCTTCAGCGTCAGCGACGTCAAGCTGCACTGGCAGTCCGAGGCCACGTACCTCTGCGTCAAGGTCGACCGCCACTCCAAGTCCAAGAAGTCGCAAGCCACGACGCTGGAGATCTTCCGCGTTAAGGAAAAGGGCGTACCCGTCGAGGTTGTCGACACCATCAAGGACACAGTCATTAACTTTGCCTGGGAGCCCAAGGGCGACCGCTTCGCCATCATCACCACAACAGAGCCTGTGGGCGTGACCGCCGTGCCGCCCAAGACGGCCGTCGCCTTCTTTTGCCCGGAAAAGACCAAGGGGCCCATCGCGGGCAACTTCAAGCACCTCCGGACGCTGGAGAAGAAGAACAGCAACGCCATCTACTGGTCGCCCCGGGGACGGTTCGTCGTCATTGCTACCATCGCCAACCAGCAGAGCTCCGACCTCGACTTCTTCGACCTCGATTTCGAGGGTGAGAAGCCCGAGTCGGACAAGGACCTCACTGCCAACCTGCAGCTGATGAACACGGCGGATCACTACGGCATCACGGACCTCGAGTGGGACCCGTCGGGCCGATTCGTGGCCACCTGGGCGTCTGCGTGGAAGCACTCGGTAAGTCGTCGCCCAACGCAACGCAACCCCCGGTTCTCTTTCGGTTGGCGCTAACAAAACGCAGATGGAGAACGGCTACCACATCTACGACTTCAAGGGCGAGGCGCTGCGCGAGGAGCCCATTGACAAGTTCAAGCAGTTCCAGTGGCGGCCCCGCCCGGCGACGCTGCTGACCAAGGAGGAGCAGAAGCAGATCCGCAAGAACCTGCGCGAGTACAGCCGGGTGTTTGAGCAGGAGGACGCCGACCGCGGAGCGTCTGCGGACCTGGCGGTGGTGGAGGCGCGCCGGCGCATGCTGGAGGAGTGGCACGCGTGGCGCGCCGAGGTGGAGGAGGACTTGGCGGAGGAGCGGGCGGCGCTCGGCCTGCCGGCAGACCCGCATGCGGCGCTGCTCGAGGCGAAGACGAAGGAGATGGAGGGCTCGGGAGCGGGTGCCGAGCAGGACCGGGTCATCGAGGAGATTGTGGAGGACGTGTTGGAAGAGAGCGAGGAGGTGCTCGGGTAGAGGCGGCCGGCTTTCAGCGTCTTTGCATGGTCACACTCTTGGGGGCTGCATTTGGTTGTACTGGTAAAAAAATAAAGTCGGTCAGGTCAGGAGCGCCAGGGCTCCGAAATGACATTTCAACGAGATGGCGTGGTTGTTCTTGCGGTCTGACGGATTGAGTTGAGTGTGATGTCACGAGCGACAGACCAATTCGGGACTGCCGCAGCTCGGCTCCGTCATGTAAACGCATCTGCGTCAATGGCATTGATTGGTGAGGGGCGTCTCAGGTTTAGATTCTGAGTTTGACACGCCGTGCTCATATACGGGATGGGTATTGCTCCGTAGATAAGGTGCGGCGGTTTCACTGCCGGGCGCAGAAAGAGAGGAGTGGATTTGCCCGGGCGAGCTTGGATCCCGCTCCCGCTGAATCAGCTCAGTGTATTATGTATCCGTACATAATACTATGTATTTTGTAACACACACAACGCGTACCGGAGAGTGCTGTGTCACGTTTTAGACTCGCACGAAGTAGATTGCAGGCCGTCCCAGGGGGCTCTTGGCGAGATGGCCATCAGTTGATGCTCCTCCTCGTGGCACATGGACAAGGTGCTTCCGTTATTGCATTTTGGCTGTGGCGAGCTATTGTTGCCTCGTAGCCGCCCCAGCCATCCGCGACAGAGTCGGGCAAACGTCGTTTACGTTTCGAGGCGCCGTCCAGGGTACGCGAGGGAGGCAGGCGGGCGGACGGGGGGTCGAGAGGCTGTTTCGTTTCACACGGGCAGGCGGTTCGGCATCCGGGCTGCAGTCTCAGTAGGCACGGGCTGTGCAACGGCCCGCGAGCCGAGCGAGCGACCTGGGCCGGCGGCGTGGCGCACACGGGCGCACAGACACAGACACGGAGCGGGGATAGATGGGACAGACGGCTGATGAAGGAGCTGGTGTGGGCAAAATTATGGCTGGGCCGCAAGAAGCATGACGATACCTACCTCACGTATATAATGCTTTTCGCAAAGGATGGATGTGTGTACGACCCTGAAAGCATTATTTGCCAACGAAACATCAGACGCCCCCAGTTGATTGACTCGACCGGGGGGCATCTTCGGCCGGGACGAGGCGAGCCACGCGGTCTCGCCATGCAATTTTGATACCATCCCATGGGTCATCATCAATGCGCCGGGCATGGCTGAAGCCTGGCGGTCACCGCAGCAGCAGCAGCGGCAGCAGAAGCCCGCCGCCTCGCCCCTCACCGCACCCTCGGCAGATCAATGCACTGTGCCCGTCCGCTCCATCGCGAAAGTCGGCGGCGGCGGCGGGGAACGGACGATGGCGAGGCAGGGAATCGGGAAAGAATTTTTTGTCTTCCTTCGCTGTCTGTGCGGGCGGGAGCATGGACCGCAAATGAAGAGACTCGTCACAATCACAAACGAGTGTTTCGAACGCGTGAGCGCCTTTTTTCGTCAAGACCATCTTTTTCCTTCTTTGCTTGTTCTTGCTCTCGGCGGCTGGGATAACCAGCGGGATACGTATGCGGTAGCCGACGCCAAGGGCTTTGCTGCGCCAGCCGCCCAACCTACCTGACTGGATGGATGGTGGTGGTGGCGGTGGTGACACTCAGTTCGCACCAAACTGGGATGCCCGGATCGCTGCTGGAATTTGTTGGTGCCGTGCCGCGTGGCACAGCGCACTCCAGGGCTGCAGGAATGGGGGGGCCGCCAGACGGGAGTGGGCTGGATGGGATTGCCGGGCTGAACTGGATGGTGTGGGCGGTCGGGCGAGACGGGACAGAACCACGGGATTCGCTGCGCGTCTGCCAGAAACGCTGCGCGTGCACCAAGCCCGCAGCACGCCATTGCGCCAACCTGGAAGGCGGGCAGACCTGGCTGGGCTGGCTGGGCTGGCTGGCTGGGATCGTGGGGATCGGGAGTTGAGGAAGGACTGGAAGCTGAGCCGTCGGGCGCGCGCTTTTCCTCAACTCGAGACGCATCATCAGTCAAGATAGGTACCCGTACCGGGGGGCCGCAAGGCACTGGGCAGTCAGCGTTTGGAAAACCTTCTCGGGCAGGCCAGGCCAGGTACGACGGGCGTTACGAGGGAGGGGCGGAGGAAACAATTGCAGGTACCCCCCGCCACAGTGCGGCGAGGGATACGATACCCCGCTCCGCCTGCCATTCCAGCCTCCCGCACGCTACCCGCGCACCCGCAGGGCGCTCATGGCGGTGTCAAGAGAGACTCGGGAGGGACCTGCACAGTGCGACGGGTGCCCCGTGCGAGGTACCTACCTACATGCCGGGGGGACGGGGTACTTCAGGCAGACAAAGACAACCCGACACGCCTGGAGAGAGAGCCTGGCGGGAACGAACCCTGCTCCTGCCCGGTTGCCTGGCCTCGCCTGGCTGGGCAGCTCGGACACGAGCCGTCTGTCCGCCCGCCCGCTCGCCCGCCCACTTTCAGGGTGTGGTTGCACCTGGATGCACCTGGATGGCGGGCCTGGAAGCTTACCTAGGTGGGTGGGTGGGCGTACCTGCTACCGGAGGTAGGCGCAGGCGCAGCAGCACAGGCCATGCCCACCACCTACCTGTGCCAGGGCCGCCAGCGGGCAGCCATCCACCTACTGAGGTACCTACCTTCTCTCCCGATCCATGGATCCCTCCCAGCCCTCCATCCACGCCGCTTGGCTTGGCTCCTCTCCAGGGATGGTCGACACAGGCCACATCGGGGAAAACCCTCATCATCCCGCCCTCCGCCTCGTGTCAGACCTGATTTACCTGCCCTTCCTCCTGCATTTACCACGCACACATCCGACATATTTTTCAACATCATCCAACATCTACCGTTCATCACATCCAGCGGCAGCAGCGCCTTCACTCACTTGGTCTTTGTAATTGGCGGAACGGCCGACTTGCTCCTGCCTCTCGCGCTTCTCCGCCCAGCGTCGTCAGTCATCGTCGTCGTCGTCTCCTGATTGCCGGCTCGCTGCCCATTTCGACAACCGCCCGGCCTTTCATCTCCCCCCTTCATCCCCTGCGCCTCTCGTGCGACGGAGCTGGCTGGGTATGGCCTAACGACTTCGCCACGGGCGTCCCTCGCGATCGGTCATTGCCAGAAGATCCAGTCTCCATGTGATCGATCCGCCCACGCCATCCACAACGCCTGCCCGACATGCTACGACGACCGCCCAACGAAGGCCGCGGCGCCTCGCACCAGCAAAAGTTCCTCGTCGCCTTCGCCCTCTTTCTCCTGCCATGGCTGCCGCTCGCCGAAGTCCAGCACCGGACCCAGCAGCAGGCCGTCCACTCTCTTCCGCCGCAGGTCGGAGTCCGCAGCGGCGCCCGGACCGGCAACAGCCAGCCATTGCCTGACGGCGCGGCCGTCCACAACTGGGCTGCCACGCAATACGGCGACGGCAAGCATGACGCCGACATCGTCGACGAGGCGGCCGCCGAGGCCGCCGGCGAGTCGGCGCCGACACCACGCGACAAGAGGCGGCCGGCCTCCGCCATCCCCCGGCAGCGACAGCATGAGCCCATCATCGATCGCTCCAGACTAAACCACCAGCAGCACCGGCCGCCAGTCGGTAGCAACAGCTACAACTACAATGTCCACAGCGACAGCGACAACAAGAAACCAAACACCAAGAATAACAAGCGACACATCATTGACACCGACGATGCGAGCGCCCTCGCGACTTTGGCTCCGGCTCAGGCCGTCCGAGCACCACATCCCCCACGACATCTTCGGCCCACTAGCATCCCCGCTACCGGGCTCACCTCGCCGCAGAATGCGCGGAGTCTGGAGGACTGGGAAGTGGAAGACTTTGTTCTTCTGGCGACCATCGATGGGACCCTCTACGCCACCGACCGCAAGACGGGCAAGGAGCGCTGGCAGCTCGAGGTGGACCAGCCCATGGTTGAGACTCTCCACCACCGCTCCAACAGCTCCGTCCTCGACGACGACTACAGCCCAGTCGACCACTACATCTGGGCCGTCGAGCCCAGTCGTGACGGCGGCGTCTACGTCTGGGTCCCCAGCGGGCCCGATGCCCGTCCTCGAGCCACCGGCTTCACCATGAAGAGCCTGGTCGAGGAGCTGGCTCCCTTTGCCGACGAAAAGTCGGCCGTCGTCTACACCGGCGACAAGAAGACCACCATGATTACCCTCGACGCCGCCACTGGTCGCGTCATCAAGTGGTTTGGGTCTAGTGGTTCCCAGGTTAACGAGGCCGAGAGCTGTCTTCGGCCCAACGCACTCTACGACAAGGACCCGGAGGAGTGCAGCTCTACCGGCACTATTACCCTCGGCCGGACCGAGTACACTGTTGGTATTCAGCGACGAGAGGATGGGCGGCAAGTGGCCACCCTCAAGTACGCCGAGTGGGGTCCCAACAACTTCGACCTGGACCTCCTTCAGCAGTATCAAGTCTCCCTCGACAGCCGCTACATCACTAGCCGGCACGACGGCAAGGTCTACGCCTTCGACTACGCCCGAGCCGGGCCTGCGGCACCTTTGTTCAGCCACAAGTTCGAAGTGCCTGTGGCTCGTGTCTTTGACGTTTGTCGTCCGTGGGACGCCGCTTCGGAGAGCAACCCTGAGCTCATCGTCCTTCCTCAGCCAACCATGCCATCGCAGGACGCAAGTATCGCGCGAGCGCGCAGCAACAGCATCTTCCTCAACCAGACTGAAACGGGCAGCTGGTACGCCATGTCTGGCCGAGCGTATCCGCTCATTGTCGACGCTCCCATGGCACCCATCAACTCTCAGGACTGGTGGGATGTGGCATCGAGCTGGGATACTGTGAGCGGCCCCAAGCTTTCCAAAGCCCTCGCCGGCACGCATTCACTTGATAGACACCGCGGCGACAAGTTGGATGCACCCGCTCCGCAGGGTATGATCACGGATGGTAGGGAATACCAGGACCAGGACGTCGATATTCCCAACACTGTGCCATCCGGGCTGGAAGAGCCGACCATTGTCGACAAAGTCAAGGGTCTGCCGCAGAGCGCAGCAGACAGCGTCGTCGATTTCATCAAGAATCCGATTCTCTTCCTGCTGTTCTTTGCGGCCCTGATCTACAACGGGAAGAAATTGCGCGGATCGTACACTCGCTGGCGCACCGGCGGTAGCTTCAAGGATGCGATCCACTACCTGACGTCTGACGCTTCCGCAGAACGAGTGGTCAAAGTGGAAGACGACGAGTCTGATGCCAAGGTCACCCGTGAGGAGTCTCCTGTCCATGTCAAAGTCAATGACAAGGAAGACGGCCAGGATGTGGCCAAGGCGTCTGGGGTTGATGTGCCCACGGCCAACATCGAGAGGCAAGCCGAGACTGTCGACAAGCCTGCCAGCGCAGACGGAGATGCCAAAGCAGACGAGGAAGCGCAGAATGGCTCGGGCGACTTGCAAGCTGGCGCAGGACCGGAAAAGAAGAAGAAGGCGCATCGGGGCCGACGAGGCGGAGTCAAACATCGCAAGGGCAGGGGTCGTGAAGGATCGCAGTCGCGAGAGGACGACGCACCGCCCACCACGGTCGAGGAAGCCGTGAACAACGCCAAGCGACTCGGAGACCGGCCGAGCCTCGAGCCCGATGTCATGACGGTGGCCAACGACATGCAGGCAGTGACGGGGCCCATCATCCGCATGGGCAACATCGAAGTCAACACTGAGCTGCAGCTGGGAACTGGCAGCAACGGCACATTGGTCTTTGCCGGAAAGTTCGATGGCCGCGAGGTTGCTGTCAAGCGCATGCTCATTCAGTTTTACGACATTGCCTCTCAGGAGACTAGGTTGCTAAGGGAGAGCGACGATCATCCCAACGGTTGGTATTACCCGCACCAGTGCCGCCCTGAATTTTCCTGACATTTTGACAGTCATTCGGTATTACTCGCAGCAGATGCGCGATGGATTCCTCTATATCGCGCTCGAGCGCTGTGCCGCGTCTCTCGCAGATGTGGTTGAGCGGCCGCATCTGTATCGGGAGCTGGCGAACGCTGGCAGGACCGACCTTCCTGGCGTCCTCTACCAGATCACGAACGGCATCAGCCATCTCCACAGCCTGCGAATCGTCCATCGCGACCTGAAGCCACAAAACATCCTGGTCAACATGGGCAAAGACGGCAAGCCGCGGATGCTCGTGTCCGACTTTGGCCTGTGCAAGAAACTCGAGGGTGGCCAGTCGTCCTTTGGCGCGACCACCGGTAGAGCCGCAGGCACATCTGGCTGGCGCGCACCCGAGCTTCTCTTGGACGATGATGCGCGTGAAGCCGGTGTCGATGCCAGCACGCATAGTGGCTCGGGATCAGTGCTTGTCAACGACGGCACCATGGCCAGCAACCGCCGTGCGACTCGCGCCATCGACATCTTTGGACTCGGCCTCGTCTTCTTCTACGTCCTGACCAACGGCTCCCATCCATTCGACTGTGGCGACCGGTACATGCGAGAAGTCAACATTCGCAAGGGCAACTACAACCTCCGGCCGCTCGACGTTCTAGGCGACTTTGCCTTCGAGGCCGAGGACCTGATCGCGTCGATGTTGGAGTCGGACCCCAAGCAGCGGCCCAACGCCCGGGAGATCATGTCGCATCCGTTCTTCTGGTCTCCCAAGAAACGACTTGCCTTCCTGTGCGACGTCTCGGACCATTTCGAGAAGGAACCTCGGGATCCTCCTTCGGCGGCGCTTCAGGAGCTCGAACGGCATGCGGCACAAGTTACGAAGGGTGACTTTTTGCGCGCCCTCCCCCGCGAGTTTGTCGACTCCTTGGGCAAACAGCGCAAGTACACGGGGTCGAGGCTGCTCGACCTGCTGCGTGCTCTGCGCAACAAGCGCAACCATTACGAGGACATGCCCGAGGCCCTCAAGCGGACCGTCGGCCCGCTGCCCGAGGGCTACCTGTCGTTCTGGACGCTGCGGTTCCCGATGCTGCTGCTCGTGTGCTGGAACGTCGTGTACAATGTCGAGTGGGAGAAGACGGACCGGTTCCGCGAGTACTATGAGCCGGCGGGCCTGTGAGAGCGGATAAGGCATCCGAGGGGAGGATATAACGACGTCATGACGTATGCCTGGACTGTTTGGATGGGATATGGGTTCGGTCATTGTAGTCTTTAAAAAGCAAGTTGTTGGCATTATAGCTAGGTAGGCTCGGATGGGCAATGACACCGCATAATAAGCGCTTTTGATACTTGATCATCTTCACCATTGTAATTCCCGTCGCCGTGGTCACTACTAAGCAGCGACTGTTCATCCCTCCATCTTTGCAGCCAAGGCAGATGTCGAAATTCTGGTGTATGTCAGCTATTTACCCATCCACGCCAGACGCTGCTGCTGCTGTTTCGCATTTTTACACTTGTACTATCACATCAGATGGTGTGACTCGGTGCAACAGAGATAGATACACGCCACTTGGCTACGCCTTCATCGACTCTGCCTCTCGTCCTCTATACTCTCATGCATGCCCTTTTCGAGACGGTCCCAAACCCCCTTACAACTCCGACGCTTTGACTCGCTGCATTCACACGCCATCCGTACATGACAGACAAGACGACAAAAGGACCAGGGAGGAAGGGGAAGAGGAAGAAAGAAGGAGACGCTTGGTCGTGCAATGCCGCGCCCCTGGTTTCTTTAACCCCATTGCACGAGGACCTTCTTGCCCTTCTTGCCGCCCTGCTTGCCCTTGCCTCCCCCCGCGGTGTCGTCGGCGTCCTCCTCTGCGGCAGCGGGGGGCGTCGCCGCGCCTGAGCCGGAGCCGGAGCCGCCGCCGCCGCCCCACTGGAAGCCCGAGTCGGCGTGGCCGTAGTCGCGCCGGACACCGCGGCCGGTCCCGTAGCCGAAGATGGTGGTCGTGGGCTTGGGGGCGGCGGGAAGCGCGGGGAAAGCCTCGCCGCCGGTGGCGCCGCGCGAGCCGGTTGCCGTGCGGAGGGGTCGAGATGAAGAGGAGGCAGAGGCGGGTTGAGACGAGGACCCGATCCACGAGGGGCGGGCGGCGGCTGAGCTTGAGGAAGACGAACCGCCAGCTGCGGAGGCCAGCGAGGGAAACGCAGCCGAAGAGGGCGCCCTGATGTTGGTCGGGGGTGCGGCCCAGCCTGGAGGCCCCCGCTGGGCGGTAACGGGTGCGGGCCCTCCCAGACGGGTGCTGTTCTTAAGCCTGAGCACCCTCGTGGAGTGTTGCTGGGAGGGGGCCGCGTTGGGGACGGCGGGGTTGGAGGACGAGGCAGTCGCCCAGCCGCTGGAGCTTGACGTCGCGCCGTGCATGCCGCTCAGACCCGGCAGGCTGGGGTAGTCCTCGTTGATGGCGCGCCAGTCCTGCCACGCCGTGCGCAGGTTGTCCGCCTTGGTCTTGTCCTCGAACAGGTCCGCCACCTCGCGCACCAGCGTGCCCAGGGCGTTGGACGACACGTCGGCGAAGAGCGTGAAGAAGGCGTCGATGAGCTGCGGCGCCGTGAGCCCGCCCTTGCGGTACGACGAGACGTGGTTCCGGAACTGGGCCACCTTGTTGGCGTCGTTGCCGAGGAGGTTGGCCGCGCGCTCGACCGCTGCGCTGTGGCGGACGAGACTGGCCCGCTCCTCTGGCGTCAGGTTGGACGTGTCGGTGATGCTGAGCGAACCCATCGCGTCGACGGCACGGGCCTGTGCGGCGTTGGGGGTCGCTGATCGCGGCGTCGAGGCGGCTTGCCGTGAGGAAGCAGCTGCCTGTGCGGGCGTCGGAGCCGAGAGCTGACCGCCAAACGTCCGGTTCGACACAGATTGAGCCGAGTGGATGGCCATCTGGCGCTGAAACGCAATCTCGTCCCGGCGCAACGGCTGCGCAGACGTCGGCGGGACCATGTCCTCGTTAGGGGCTCGCCCTCGACCGCCGCCCGTCCGTCCGTCTCTGCCTCTACCGCGACCTTCGCCGTCCCTCTGGCTCCTGCCGCCGCCGGCACCTCCTCGCCGTTCCTGCTGATATGATTGCCTTATATCAAAGGCAGAAATGTCCACGGTTCTGGCGTCTCTGCCAGCCGTCTTGCCGCCGTGCTCGCTCAGTTGGTGGGCCTGCAAGTCCAGATTAGACTCGAAGACGACAAACTTCTTCTCGAGGCACTCGGCGTTGGAGCACAGGTAGTGGTCCTTCTTGAAGTGCTCCTCCAGCGCGTTGTAGTCCCGGTAGTAGTGAGGCTGGCGCGAGTCGCGGCGGTCGCAGAGGAAGCAGCGCTCGTGCTTCATGCGGCAGTGCTCGTAGAGCTTGTCGTCGTCGTAGAAGCGCTCGCCGCAAAAGTGGCAGAGCGGATGGCCCTTGAAGCCCGTCTGGTCGGCGGCGCCGGGCTTGTCATCGCCGTGGCGCATGTGGTGTTCGAGCTCCTTGTCGGAGAAGAGCTCGTGCTCGTGGGTGAAGACCTTCTTGTTGCGCGTGCACAGGTCGCACATGCGCTTGCGGTGGGCCGACTTGACGTGCCGATGGAGGTCGGGCCAGCCGAGGCCGGCAAAGTCGCAGGACGGATCGGGGCAGTTGTACCGCAGGAGGAGGACCGTGTCGCCCACAATGTCCTCGTTGGTGTACTTGATGCCGATGTTGGTGTCGGTGGTGGTGATGTCCTTGTCCGAGTACTCCTCGAACCGCTTCTCGGCATCGTCGGTGAAGATGACGTACGGCGCCGGTGTCTGCGTTGCACGGCATGTCAGTGTGGAGGTCCTGTCACGGAGAAGGGGAGGGATGGCGTACCCGACAGTGGGCGCAGTCCTTGGTCTTGTATAATGCCCTCATGCGCAGCCCACAGATGTGGCAGGTCGTGTGGTTGCAGGGCGCAATGGAGTGATGGGCCACTGGGTTCGCGCAGATGAAGCACACTTCGGCGTCATCGTCATCGCCGGCCGTGCCGTTCGCCGTCGCGGCAGCTGCCTCGTTGATGGGCCGCTGTTGGCCGTCCGGCCCGGCGTCGTTCGCCGCATGTGCCCTCGCCGCAAGTGCCGCGACGTCCTGAGCGGCCGGGTTCTGGATTGAATCGGCACTGCCACCGCCGGCTCGCTGTCCAGCATTACCGTGACCGCCTCTGCCGCGTCGAGCGCCGCCGCTCTTGTTGCTTGCGCCTCCTCGGCCTCGTCCCCCGCGGTTGCGGCCTCTGGAGCCCTCACCGCCTCGGCCGGCGTTCGCAGGTGCGCCCTCGGGAGCCACCATGGCCGCGGATCGCAGTGCGTTGCCAGCGGCTGGAGTGGCCACTCTGACGGGGCTTCGTGAGCGCGGGATCTGGGTCGCTGATGCTCGTGGCAAGGTGCCGTTGGGTTGCTGCGCCGATGGCAGCGGGAGGTGCGATTGAATGCTCGCGATGTCTTGTGTCCGGGATGAGAGGGAGGGCGTGTTTCTGTCGTCTGTCGCTGATGACGTTCAGGGCTGTCGCTGCGCACGCTACCTAGCGTAGGGTTCAACGGTCGCTGGAGGCGGTTGAAATTTTTGGTGTCGCGGGGACGGAGGGAGGTTGAGGATCGGAGGGGATTGATTATGGAGGGGTAATGAGCTGGAGTTTCTGCTCAGCCAGAGGTAAATAATTACAGCGGGCGGTGCAGCACCTTTAGGTTCTTTAGCGGCTCGCTCAGCAGCTGCCCTCAGCCACTGGCATCAAGCACGGGGCGAGGCGAAAAAACGCCTGGCTTCTGGAAATGCAGGGTTCTGATGACTCAGCGAGCGCCGTCGACTTCGTCATTTCGCATCAACCGGCGGTTTTCTGAACTGCACTGCCCATCCCAGCTGGGGGAGAAAAGAGTCATCCGGCAAGGACCCCGTGGCAGTGGTTTTTCGGTCTGATCCCTGCTGTGCTCCTCCACACACGCGCTTGGATGGCAGGCCTCACCGCATCCATATTCTGCTTCGTCCGGCCCCGGACTAACACAGCAAGTGATCGTCCGCCACACAGCCCCCGGCAGACGGCCCGAGCCGGACAAGCACCATCGCCTCACTGCGCAAAGCTGCTTCAGATGCATCTGGTACTGTAGTGATCTTATGCATAAGACGTTAGGAGCCTCTCTCCCTTCTCCCCCTTCGACATAGTGAGCAAATGGAATCCACCGTCGCGACCAGCTGTCACGCACTCCCTCTCGCCTTGGCTAATGCTACCCGCCCATTTTGCCCAACAACCGTTCGCAAATTCAGTCAAGAAAGGATTGGAAAATCAACCTAGTTACTCCCCTTTGCGCCGGAACCGCACAAGGTGGTTAGTTCGCTCCGTGTCTGAAACCATTCACTCCTCGCCGACCGGGTAGAGGTGGTGCCCTATTTCCTTGTTCATGCGAAACATGTCCACCCTGGCCTGCTTGAACACGGCCTGCATCTTGTCGTCGCATCGAATCTGGCGCTTGTCCTTGGGGTCCTGCAGGTCGTTGGCCTTGATGTGTTCCCACAGCTTCTTGACCACCTGCGGGCGCGAGAGCTGCGTCGGCTCGTTAACACCCGTTATGCTTGACCTTGACCAAACGGGGTGGCCTACCTGGGTCTCGCCGCAGAGCTCAGACAGGGTCGCGCTGAGGATAAAGGGCTTCTGGAAGCCACCGCCGCCCTTGCGCTTGGGGGCAGAGTCCGCGCTGCCGTCGACCTCGCTGTCGTCGTCCTCGCCGACCTTCTTGGCGCTCTTCTTCCGGGGTGCCTTCTTCTTCTTGACCACCTTGGTGCGGTCGCCACCGCCGCGAGTCGAGCGCGCTCGTGCGAGGCTGTTTTCCTGCGCTTGCAGGGCCGCAGCGAGGCGCGCGTCGGCATCCTCCGAGGGCGTTGACCGCTTCGCCTTCTTCTTGGCCGGCTCGGGAGAGGCAGAGGGGTCCGTCTCGGCAGAGTCGGAGACGCCGTTGGCGGCGGGCCTCTTATTCGGGGACGGGTCCGGCACAGACGAGGCGGGGGCGTCGTTTACGTTGGCGCCAGACACGGCATCGAAGCGGGCCTCGATGAGTCGCTTGATGGCATCCTGCAGTAGTGGCTGACTGTTAGCTTTTCACGGCACGGAGAACGGCGCGAGACGGTCACATCACGTGGGCAATCGCACCTTTTGGTCGGTCAGGTCGCGTCCGCCGAGGGAGGCCTCGAGACCCTGGCGGACCTTTTTTCGCGAGATGGTCTCGAGGTCGGCGGTGGCGAGGATACCGTCGATGATCTCGGTGAAGCGCGCAAGCTCGTCGGGCGAGACTGCGACGCGCGGGAATGAGCCTCTGCGGTCAAGGGGTCAAAGCATTTGGGGGAGGAGAGAGAAGCTCACGTGGCGCGCTCATGGTGGCGTGGGATGCAGTGCGGCGATGGGATCTGCAGTGTCGGACACGAGGCGACAGGTAACAATTCGCGACGGCGAAGGCGGTGCAGCAGCGCGCGAGGTGCTGGTGACGAGGAGCCGAGCGGGTTGCGAGGAAGACGCCTCACAGCATAGCCGGCAGCAGGCTGGCGCGATGTCAGGCTCCGAGATGCAGTCTGTGCGACGCGAGGACTGTGCGACGGGGTGGTGGGAAGGGGCCTTTCCAGTGCCGGTGTCGGTGACGGTGGAGGCGTACGTGTACGTGGAGGCGTCAAAGCTAGATGCTGCCAACGGCGGGCGTGGTCGCAAGCGTTGTCGTGTCCGCTACCGCGCCGCAGAGCGTCCCTTGGGCGATTGACCGACGGGTGCTGATCGAGGGGACCGGGCTGGCAGGACACGCAAAGGCAGCGTGGCTGGATGGCGCGAGTCGAGGAAACGAGGCGTGTGCGTGACAGGGTGGAGATGCGGCAGGCGGGACGGCACGAGCCTGCAGAAGCGCGGCCACGATGACAGCTGCCGGGCAGGAGAAAAAAGAGGCGACGCCGACGCGGGGTGACGTGCCGGAACGAAGGAGACGAGGCTCGCGGGCGAGGGCCAGAGCCGATGTAATGGGATGGGTCGGCGCGGCGGCGGATGGGGGGGTTCGGTTGGGCTGATGTCCGGCGGTTGGAGTTGGAGATGCAGGGCGGAGATGGCGGGAAACATGGGACCTTGTGATGCCGGGCCGGCCTTGGGTCATGTCATGTGTGGCTGGAGCCCTGGCGAGAGGCTGAAGCGCTGCCGCCGCGTGTGGCCGTGTGGGGGTTGCGGCGGTCCTGGGCACTACCTATCTAGGCCGCAAGGCGCCTGAGCCACACTGCTCTAGGGACCTGTGGCGGCGGCAGCCAATCACGGGCCTGAATTGGCCAACAGCCGGCCGGGAGGAAGCAGCCAGCCAGGCCAGGAAGAGCCTCATCGGGCAAGCGTCCCGCGTCACGTGCCCGCGGACGGAAGGAATCGAGGCATCCAAACCAGTCTCACGATGGCTTCATTTTCCTACTTGTGCACACATGCCATTGTTTGATTCGCACGCCCATCATCATCGTCATCACATGAAGCTCGCGAGCGGCCCGCTCCTCACGCCCGCAGGTACTCGCACACGCGCTCCGACCACCGCGCCGCCCCCTTGTACACCCACGTCCCCGGCGCGTTGCCCGCCTTGAGCCCGTCCACCGCGTCCGCCAGCTCGCCGCCCAGCCCTTCCTCCTTGATCTGCCGCAACGGGTACAAGTACGTCTTGAACGAGAAGAGCAGCGCCTGCGTCCGTGGCAGCCTCGTGAGCGTCTGCAGCTCGACGCGATAGTACGACTGCCAGCAAGGGTCAGGTCAGTTGACAGTGCCAAAGTGATGAAGCAGGGTTCAGGTAAACCGACCTCGTCTATGTTGATATCCGCGTCTTGCGCCATCTCCTCTGCCTCCTCGCTCGTCATGTGATTGCCGCTGCTATTGTACAGCTCGCCGTGCGTTTGGATCGCCCACTACCACCCCTTACCGTCAGCAACGCGCAAATCTCGCATCCCGGACGTGCCGCACTTACATTGAGTCGCTTCACGCTCTTGCCGACCTGCATCTTGGCAAAGAAGCGCTCCATGCTGGCGCCAATCTTCTCGTACGATGGCACCGGCGCGTGGATGTCCTTGAGCAGCTTGCCCACCTTGGCCGACGGGTCAAAGCCCGAGGGGAAGCAGCAGACAAAGGCAAACGACTTGTGGCCCTCGGGCGTCTCGTGCAGCAGAAACATGTCCTCCTCGACCGTCTCTCCCAACACGCGCAGGGCAGTCGCCGCGTCCTCGGGCGGCGCCGTCGGCCACGCCTTGCCCGTCACATGGTTGGTGAAGTGCTTCCCGTCGTTGGACAGCCCAAACATGGACGGGAACCGCGTCGGAAGGTACTCGCTCATCAGGAACGTGTACAGTTCACTCACCGCCGCGACACCGCCGGGTAGGCAGCCGTGGACGCCGCTCCCGTGCTTTTCGATGAGGTGCCGTCTGTGCTTGACCCTGTCCAGATAGTCTCTGTCGACCGTGATGAGGTCCGAAGCATTGTCTGCCTGCAGCCCTGCAGCCCGTTTCAGCAAGGCGACATAGACACCACCCGTTGAACAGCATACCCATGGTAATGTGGTAGACGCGCTTGAAGTGCCTGAACTGCTTCGGCTCAACGGCTCTCCAGTCAAAGTCGTGGAGTGGTTCTATCACAACTTGAGGCGCTGGCTCTTCTTTTTCCGCGACTTGTCCATTATCGGAGCGGCCATTGGTTCGGCCGCCACGCAGCTTGACATAGCAGTCAGAATCATCTTATCTGTTCGAGTGCTGGTGCGACGAACCAATTTGTATATGCATCCGAGAAGGAGCAAGCTGATCGCTCCCGCGACGGCGGTCGACGACAAGCCGAACGGGATCGCGCCCGCAAACCCGACGGCGCTGGATGCAGGCATTTTGCAGCGAAACAAATGAAGATGGCAATGAAGACAGAAACGAATGAGAACCCGTCCAAGTATGAGAGTGTCTGGCATCACGTCGGTAAACCCGCCAAGCCGCCATCGCGCTCCGATGCCGCTATGGCCATGCGAGTCACGAGCCCCTCCCGGCGCGGTACGGCGATTCACAGCCAAGCAAGCCAAGTAACGCGCCGGCAGAGAAGTAGGGCGCCAGTGCTGTACTGCCGTCGGGGCCGTGGCCCATCTTTTCCCCCCAACGCGTTCACTCCGGGCGCCGTGGTGGTGGTGATACCCCACATTCGTCGGCGTTCGGAATCGCTGGATCGGGCATTTAGAGGGAGAAGGGCTTCGCCAGAGGGCGCAGGCGAGCCCACCGGACATGGCGCCAGGGCGCGGGCGCGGGCGCGCACCCACGGATCTGAGCCCCGGATGGATCACGATAGCCGGGTGAGACTGTGATTGGGCGATGCGACTCTCCAAGCCTGGAGGGGGCGATGATTTGCAGATAACGAACTCGTGCTGTACAGCAAGTACGTGTGTTATTGTCATGAGTTGGGATAGGTGCTGTTGGGCGGCAAGGCACGACAGTCTGGGGAATCTCCATGCGGGGAAGCAGCTCTGGCGATGCCCACGGTGGGGGAACGGACGGACCCTTCCCAGAGCTTCTGGAGATTAACATCCTCTCAGGAGATAATTGTTGACATGCTCGTGGATGGGAATATAAGGTAAGAACTTCAGGCGCAAAGGAACCCGAGGGCATCGCTCCTCAACGAGCGCGAGAACATCGTGTCGCCCCCCAGAAAGGGCGACGTCCACGACAAATATCCCAATCTCGAACTATGCAGTGTTCGGGAAAGAGCCTTCAAGATGGGCCTCGCGTACCGCGCATCGCATCGCCGCTGGCATCGTTCAATGTCGATCCGAGTCTTACAGAGAATTGCGCGGCAGGCCTATACTAATGCCAATTATCCATGATAGCTACGCGACATAAGGACGACTTATTCAGCTCGTCCGGGGCTCAGTAGTTTGTATAGCCACGCCGATATAAGACTCTGATCAGTACGAGCTGCATGGCGTGATTCAGACTTTCCGTCACAGAGCGGTCGATGGCTGCCACTGCCAAGAACGGGCTTCATGCATGCTGGCGCATTTGCTCCCCAAAGTAATAGTGCCCGTCGGGTATCGACAGTGCTCTTAATAACTGCCTGTACCCCGTTAGAGGCGGGCGCGAAAGTTTGTCCATCTATACCTAGGTTCAGCTGGCCTCAGCAGAGGGTTGGTTTGTATGCGCGCTGCTCCTGCAATGGGCCGGACTTGATGATGCTGATGTGTGACCTCAACTTTCCGTTCCCAAGATTCCATGAACGGCGGCGCAAATCTGCGACCAAACTCTTCACATGGCCAATATTTACCATCGCCATTACCCCAGCATGTTCCAAACCAACAAGCCATTAGCCCTTGGGATCGCCAAAGTCACTCGGAGGCATACTTCAACGGGCGCCACGTCGACGGCGACGACTGGACTGGACGCAGGATACCCACCACGGGGTGGAGGCAAATTTCTTGGTTTCATGTATCCCGAACTGGAGAGGGATTGTTGTCGTCTGAACTGAGACGACATGCGGTCCTCAGGCGTGGCCGTCGCTCTCCTGGTCCTTGCGTCGACTGGGCATGGCCGTCATGGCCAGGTACAGGATGACGAGGCAGCACCTGACGCAGTGATCTTTTCCATGCCGGCCGAAGCCAACGAGCAACTTCAGCGCAGCGGCCCAACGGAACTTGCTCTTACGTATCTCAAGTACGGGACCCCAATACCGCCGGAGCTGGACGAGCTTGTCGGGGAGCGCTTGGACACTGCCTCCAACAGACAACGCAAGCGGTGGCCTCCCCCGTCTGCGCCCCTGTCCTCGCAGCTTGGATTCCGGGGACGGGAATATCTCATCGAGGCGCAACTCGGCACCCCTGCGCAGCGACTGAATCTGCTTCTAGACACCGGATCCAGCGACTTCTGGGTCTTCAGCACCAACACGCCCGCCCGCGCCGCCGGACGACGCACGAGGTACGACCCGTCCAAGAGTATGACCGCGCACAAGTCCGACGGCTACACATGGGCCGTCACGTACGGGATCGGTTCCGCGGTGGGCGGCATCGTGTACTGGGACTCTGTCACGGTTGGGCGAGTCACGGTCCTGAGACACCCTGTTGAGTCCGTGCAGGTTTTGACTCCAAAGGTCGAGCTCGCCATGAGTGCGTCCGGCGTTCTCGGGCTTGGTTTCGATAAGCAGAACAAGGTGCGGCCGAGGCGTAGACGGACCTGGTTCTCCAAAGCGAAGCGCAACTTCAAGGAGCCGCTGTTTACCACGCGTCTTGTTAGAGACGAGTCCAGTTCGTTCGCCTCTCTGGCCCGTTTCCCGTTTCCTCGGTGCAACAGCTCGTCGGGCGAACACTCATTACCTTGGCGAGACCTACAGAAGTAAACAGGCTGACTTTGAATAGAAGGCACGTGCGGCTTTGGATACATCGACGCGTCCAAGTACAAGGGCAACATCACCTACACGCCCGTGCTCGGCAACACTGGTCTCTGGAGCTGGTCGGCCAGCGGCTACCGGGTAGGACAGAGCCCATTCCAAGTGCAGGACATCCGCGGCGTGGCCGACACGGGTTCGAGCCTGGTGCTGCTGCCGCGAAGCATCGTAGAGGACTACTGGGCTCGAGTGGCGGGCGCAAAGTACAATCGGGCCGCGGGAGGGTATACGTTTCCGTGTAGCGCGGCGCTGCCCGACTTTACGTTCGGGGTCAAGGACCAGATGTTCACGATCCCGGGGAGCGATATGCAAGTGCGAAATGCGCGAAACGGTAGCAGTTCGTCGATGTGCTTTGGCCTGATACAGAGCAACGGCGGCGGGTTGACGGTCTGGGGTAACCCTGCGCTCCAGGCGGCGTTCATTGTCTGGGACGTTGGGCGAATGCGCCTGGGGTGGGCGCAGCCTGCGTAAGACTCGGTTTAAGTCGGTTAGCAGGTCTTCGGTGGCTGGATCTTTGTCTTCATCGTACTTTGTACAAAGCATTGTAAAAGCTGCGCAGTGTGGACGGAGATTGGCGACGACGTCACAACTCGAGCGTCTCGTAATTCGTTCTGTCGCTGGGGATGTTGCCGCGTGTAAGTGAAATCTGGTGAGTGCTCTTCACAAATGGGGGAGCATCGTATTCATCGCGTGGCAAGCTAGTCCGCCTTGGTCGTAGCTGTCTGCCTCACTGCAACTTGTGAGCCTTCATTCTAAGTGCCACAAACCCAGCCGCCAAGCGTCAGCAGTGACTCACGCACCAACTCCATCAACGAAGCTGAAGTGACAGACAATTTGCAGGTCGAAAGACGACTCGCTTGTCTCATCAGGCACTCCCGAGACTTCCCCAGTATCTCTCCGATTGGGGAGACTGAAAAGATCGCGCACCCGGGATACGGAGTCAGCGACTTGATTTTGGTGGCACTCAAGACCGCACCGTGCTGCAAAACGTCAGTGGTTCTCTGAAGAGCCATCAGCTACCAGCGCATCTTTGACGCCGACGAGACGCCATTGCTCTACCAGAACGACAACGGTGCCCTTTCGTCTCACGAGGCGCGGAGAGGCGGCCCAGGCACCCGAGACGACGTGGCAAGCTTAAAAGGATCAGAAGCTCTTACTGGGCGTGCTCTCGGTGCGGCCATGTTGGCTCAAATGCAAAATACACGCTCAGGGACCGTCGGCCCAAGGCGGCGCGTGGCCTACATCCGCACAGTCATTGACAACGACGTCGACTACAATGAGACAGACTGGTGCAACCTGCGCACATGGCTGCGCTTCTGGGTCGGCAAGGAGGCTCGCCCGCACCCGTTTAGCGCAGAGGCAAAGATGAGATGCGGCGTGAATACGACAGACATTCAGCATCATTATATCCTGGCTTATCGGAATGCGGCGGACGAGTTCGTGCTGGACTGGCTCATTGGCTGCTCAACAAAGGGCAGCTTCCGGCTCAGGCGACGCGACTTTACCGTCTACCTGTCACAGGCGCAGGCGAGCGACCCGGCGAAGAAGGAGCTGCTTCAACGGCTACAGAGCGAGTCCGTTTCCGTCCACATCGTGCCTTTGGATAAAGCACGAGAAACACTATCGCAGGATGAACCCGATGCATGCGAAGAGGCTTTACTCTCCGCGAGCGACTACCTCCTCGAAACATACCTCTCACGCGCGCAACGCATCTCCCCCTTCCACAGCCTGTGGCGCGACTCGCTACGACACGGCCACCGGGAGGCGTCCAACGCCGCCGAGAAGAGCAAAGAGTACTTTGAAGGGGGCCGGCTGCGCGCGCACATGGGCGGGTATTCGTCGAGCTCGTGCTCGTACCCGCCTCCCAAGACCGATGCCTGGCGGCGCGCCCACGACGAGGCGTGGCGCAACTACGCGTGTCCGTCGTGCGGCAAGCGCTGCAAGAGGAGCAAGGGGTGTCGGACGACGGGCGAGTGGTGGACGGCGGGCAGGTCGGAGGCGGCGCGGCGATGGGGCGAGGACGTGGACACGTCGGCGCCGCGACCGCCCGAGTTTGAGAAAGAGTGGAGGGACCTGAGCGTCGAGGACGTCGTGGCGCGGTACGGGAAGGGATGGGGGTCGCGCGTCGGCTGGAAGTGGCAGTCAGTCGATACCTTTTCGGGGGAATGAGGGTCAATAGGGGCTGGGGCGAGCATCTGAGATGAGGGAAGCGATGAAAGGGCGTGCACGTGGACTTCTCAAGCGGGCGGGAGCATTCTCGTTTGAAGCGCCATGTAATAGATAATACGATGATTACGCTCATGCTACTAGCGGGGCTTGTGCTCGTCTCTAAATTGGCGATCCGCAGCTCAATATCATTGGAGCCAATCTCGAATCGCCTGGTGGTTACGCGTCGGGATGGGACGGCCAAGGCCGCCATGGAGTTGTTAACTTGCTAGGTTGGACGCTTCTTTCGGGCTAAACAACGCTCTTCAGGCTTGGGAAGGCCGTTCTAAATACAGTCCTTTGGGCCATGGCCCACAACGTTTAGACAGATCATACGTTGATGCCACATGCAGTGTTGAACCGACGTTGTGGTTCCCGTTGCCCGATGATGCAGGCTATATTCATTCACAACATGAACGAATGGAAGCGTAGCAAAGTCCCCGGATGACCAGACAAAGCCCGAAGTATGAACAGAAAAGCAACTACCATGACTGAGGGCAGGCATAGCTGTCCCTTGTCCACGGGGACATTGCTCAACATCGCTCCGATGGTGTAAGTAAACACATGTGGTGGTGCGCAGCCAATGAAGATGCAGCGTATCGACAATCCCCCCTTCTCCTATTCCCGGCTATGCACATGTGGACTATATAGCTAAAATCTTAATCTCAAGAACGGCCGCCCTGTGCCCGATGTCGAGCTCAAGCCGCGGCGGTCAAGTTTGGACATGGAGTCTTATCCCAGCGGGCCAGTGGGTCCGCGAGCGGAACGGGCTTGCCGCTCTCTCTGCCCACGGCCGCCGAGAGGCACCGGCATCAAATTATAAAGTTTCGGGGAATGCAATGACACCGGGAGGGGCCCGGTTTACGGCGAATCAGCTCATTGCGCATCGCCCAGGGCCATCTCCACCTGCCAACGCGGCCTCTTGCGATGGATGGCCAGATGGCCACAGAGCCTCACACGACCGGAGCCCCTGACGCGTGGGCCAAGTCGCTGCTGGGAAAGGGAGCTCAGCTGCAGCTCAGCAGAGATGTACCCAGCGCTCGCCGGACGCATCATCACGACGGCAAGCGACCCTAGATGGCACAAGACTGAACCCACGGCTCTTGCAAGGCGGTGGGCTATGTTTACGCTTTCTGACGGCCTCACTTGGCGAACCGAGATGCATCCATACGACGTGACGAATGTTGCTGCGGTGCCTCTTTGCTCCACAGCATACCGCCCTGCTTTTATCGCCGGGAGCGTACGTCGGGGGCCCAGATATCTACTTTGCTGGATTGGATAGCCCAGGTCAGCCCACACTGTCGTGAAGCTCTCTTGCTCCCGCTGGACGCGGAAGTGGATGGCGGCTTCCCTCTCATTGCACCCCGACGAGGTCAGGCCACGTCCAGTCCGGTCATAAGAAGTCACCGCTTCCCATCTCCCTTGCTTCCACTTTTCAACTCCATACCTACCTGGTTCGACAATCACTCTTTGCACCTCGCTCGCTCACCGACCAACTGTTCATCGCTCGAGATCTCAACGTCAACCTACACCGCTCGTTTACAATGAAGTCGTCTCTCGTCGCCTACGCCCTCGCCCTCGTCGGCTTCGCCGCCGCTCGTGACTACGAGGGCATGCCCAAGTGCTGCGTACGCCTTGACTGAAAGATGCTCTGTTGTATATCCGGTGTATTCTTGCTGACGTACTGCTCGTATCGTACAGTGGCCCGGCCTGGACGAGTGCGTTCCCAAGGCTCCCTGCAAGGGCTTCGACGACAAGGTCTGCATGTGCGGACCGGCGGCCCAAGCAGCCTTGACGAAGTGCATGACGGATGCCATGATGAAGGGCACCTGGACGTGTTCGGGAGCGGAGCTCGGTGAGATGGCCGGCGCCACCTCTTCCTGCGCTACCCTCACTGCCGCTGCTCCGACCACGCAGGCCCCGACCACCAAGGCCAGCACCGTCGCGCCCGCCGTTACCACGACGACACCCGCGCCGTCCTCGGCTGCCGCCCCTACGAACGCGAGCTCGGGCTTCAAGACGTCGACGGCGACCGGCACCGCCTCTCCTTCGGCCATCACTGCTGGCGCCAATGCCGGCCCTGCTGTTGGTGCTGTTGCGGCTGTCATGGCCGCCGCCATGGCCTTCTAAGTGTGCCCCTGGTCAACCCCGACCTTTATTGCAGTCGAGCTGCCTCTGCTGTTATTGAACATCGGTGAAGGAGGATCGCACTGCCAAGCGATGCCACGGCTGCGGGCCTTGTGCTCCTACAGGCAATTCTGACCGGGCTTCCATGTGGGCTGGGGAGCGTCTTGACTACGGGCATGATGGGAACTATGTATAAGGTTTCGCGTCACACAATTGGAGGTTTTATTCTTCACCTTCCTTTCTACAAGCCCAGCTTGCGTTTGCTTAGACCTAGAAAGCAACAATATAATGCCTAAAGTACCGTGGAGATTTGCCAGAGCATCGTAGAGTTGCAAATTACCAAGTCTGTGAGATGAACGTCGGGGAGTTTGGCTCAACCTCTACAGCGGAATCATAACGAAGCGTGCAGCTTCGCGTCTGCTCTAGGTTGACGCCAACCATGCTAAATTGGAGCGCCATCTTCATGTACTGGTTTGCCCCCAAGCACGTTGTCTAATACTCGGGTACGAGGGAATGCGATGACCCTTCGTACATTCCACGGAACTGGCTTTGTTCTTGCGAGAATGACCTGAGGCAGCCATGTTCACAGAGAGTACTGAGCTTAAATAGCGGTCGTTGCATGAAATGATTCAGGGGTTCGCTGTCAAGGCAACAGCCTATTTCACTGAACACAATTCGGCCGGCCTTATAGCATTAAGTGCCCATCCACTCACATTTCCTGTCACGGGGAAGATGAAGCGCCGCCGGAAATAGTCCGAGGCGAACAGCAAGGGGAGCCAGATCGAACAACGACCCATCTCTATACATGTATCTAGTGGCCAAACATGTAGCATGCGATTGATAGCGTCGCCTTTATACAAAACTCTGCTAAGCTCTGCTAGGCGTCTAACGTGTAGCGTCGTAGGAGCCGACTGCGCGTGCAGCTGAAGACTCGAACCTTACTGCCTCGACGAGCTCCCACTACCCCCACGGCTCTGGGGGGCTGATCCGTCTTTGGCCTTCTTCGCTGCCTCCTCCGCTTTTTCCTTGTCGCGCCTCTCCTGGTTCTCCTGGCGCTTCTGCTTAGCTGCCTCGGCTGCCTTGCTCATGCGCTCTTCCTCCTCTGCAGTAGGCTTTCTGATGCTGCCGCGGTTGTCTGCCATGATGTCGTCTTGCACTAGACGTTTGAAGAACTTGGCTGGATGGGCGAGAAGGTATTGGACACGATGTTCGCTTTAGCGTTGATGGATTTATTGATGGGTGTAGAGATAATTCGATGAGGATGATGATGCTGCTTGGTAGGCTGTGCAGAGTACGCTGACCGTCGGCGGCGACAGATTCGAGATATATAGACTCGACGTCTACAAGACGTAGCCACTGCTTGTCAGTGAAGCTCATGGTGCACCTGACGGGTATGTTTGCGGTGTTTCCTATTTCCACGCTCGATTGCCGCGCCCGACGACGAGTTCTTGTCGGAGTCCCTTAGCAGACTGGAAAGTACAAAGGACAGGAGCGGCGCAAACATCAAACCGCTGGCCCCCTGACGACGAATACTGGATCGACATCTAGCAAGCCGCGCCCAAGGGAGAGCCAAACTCGCATGACCTTCCGACAAGATCTCCAATGCAGCTTGCTCATGGAAGACCGCATGGGAAAATGTTTGGCGTTTGCATACGTACTCCTGTAGGCGCGTCCCATAACAAACAGCTGCGCAACATGAACATGGCCAAAACGCTTTATGGTGATCGTCTGCCCTTTAGTTGGTATGATTCCATGCATCCGCTTTCAGTTAGGTTTGCCGTTCTGGAGGCTTGCTCAGCAAGCTCTGTGTCAGCCACCTGCTCGTTGTTCTGCGTGTGCTCATTCGCAAAGGCGCACGGAGAAGCAACATGATACCACATCCTGGCCACGAGGGGGTGTCAAATCGTGCTTCGATAAGGCGGGCTACAAGGGTCACACCGTCGACACTGTCTAAGGCCAGAGGCTGATGTGCCCCTTCTACGGCTGACCTCAAGCTCACGTCTTAGTACATACTGTCCATGAATACCAAGTTCTGCGAATGCCGCCAAAAGGTGGTGTACCCCAGTGAGTCCCCTGCAGACAATACATCGCGACTGTATCGGTCGGTTGAGACCTGAGAAGTAAGTTGGTAGCCGCCGTGGAGCCTCGTCCCGCAAAGTCGTTATACCCTACCCTGTCAGTCTCTTCTCGTGCCGCCTGCCGTGACGCTTAAGCGCCCACGTTCCATCTTACGTCGCCCAAGCCGTGCCTCAACCTCCTATGCCTCACCCCGCCCGGAGAACGCATGCCCACCCACCAATCGGACAGACCACATACACCGCATGAGCATCAAACAGGTGAGGCTGAACTTGTGCAATATGCCCTTTTGGCCAGGATCTTACTCTTTCTCCTCCTCTTCGTCTGCCGTAGTGTCCTCTTATCATGAGAGTGAACAGAAGACGAGGCCCGCTCGCTGCCCGGCAGAGATGTTGAACAAGCCATTCGTCGACGCACCGCGCGAAACAGGCCACGCCCGAGCCGGTCCTTCTGCGCAACCCAACAACGTTCCGTACCTTGAACGACGGCCCCCGCCAAATCAGACCTCGGGCCCCAATGCTGTTGCGGTACCAATTCCCCGCTCCGCCGTCGCCCCGGGTCGAGCACCGCCCGTGTCACCCGACGGCGTGGTCGAGAACGATGCTGCAGCACCACCAACACGACGCTCATCCGTCCAGTCGGTGCAACTGCCACCTCCCCCAGCGAGAATCATCAATAAACTGCAAATAAGACCACATTCGATCAGACGGCAGTCGCTGCCTCGTCACCGTGTCTTTCCCAAGCCTCCGCACCCGGCATGGGAGCCGCCACCGCCGCCATCAGTGCCATCAGAGAAGAAGCATTCCGGACCGGACACGCAGCTCGACAGCCTGCACATCAAGTCGCACCCTAACCCCGAGCAGCGCATCCTCAGGATCGTCAGCGAGTTGCACCGACCCTACGGACGGGCCAAGCCCGGCGCTGACCCCGTGGACGTGCACCGCGCGGTCCCTCCCACTTCACGCCTGAAGTTCCATGAGATTCGTAAACAAGACCCCGTCCAGTGAGAAGAAGCATTCTCCTTTTAACCCGTTTTCCTGTGTACCATTGCTGCGAAGGGGGAAAGGGACTTATCTCGCTGCACTGTGAAAGTCAAGTTGTTGCAACGGCTCATTCATGTTTATCGATGCGTATAGGCTGCTCTTCTTCAGGGCGTTCAACGGCCGGCCCGTCGTCTACGGCAGACCCGTCAAGTTCAACAGATGCTGGACGAGCCGCGAGTTTGCGCACGAGCTGGAGGCGCACTACTACCATCGGTGGTGGTTCTTTCGCGCTGTGAAGCCGACGCGCATCAAGTTTGTGTACTTTGTCGCCATCGGCACCGTCAGTGATCCAAGCAGCTCCAACACAAACCACATCGAAGGACTAATGCAATCGCAAAACAGGAAACAAGGGGGAGCCATTCAACAATATGGGCTCGCTACCGAGACATCATCCAATACGAAGGCTCCCGCACGCTGCGCTACTTCACCTACGTCCTCAAAGCCGTCCGCACAGAAAAGGAAAACTACGACTCCACGCTGACGCACAACCTGCTCCGCCTCCGCGACGACATGAACGGCGAAACATGCGAAAAGTACATCCTCGTTGAGATTATAGAGCACATAGCCGCCCAGTAAGCACGACTATCTTTTTTCCCCTGCCCTCCCCTTCGCTTCCCTTCGCACCCAACACACCACACATACCACATTACGAAGTAGCTGTGCTGTGTGTGTGCAGTATCAAATGCTGAGACGAGGAGCCGTCCCCCAACCGCAGGGTAGTGCTGGGGTACATCGTAGCTACCATTGCCTTGAGCATCGCTGCGGCGGTCGTTTATGGGTACTTTCGGGAGGACTGGGCGGGCTCGTTTTCGCTTGGTGCGCTGGTTGCTGCCTGGGTCACGCTGGTGCTGGGCACGTTCGCTGCGTGGGAGTACTTGGGGCTTGAGAAGCTTCTGGATGACGAGATTGAGAGCCGCACTGGCATCTGGAGGTATGACGAGCCGTCGGGCAGGGCATGAGAGGTCTGCGGGCTTTCTCCCAGCCTGCCCCGTCGCTGGGTAGGCCGCTTCCGAATATGTGCGAGATGGGACATGCTCACCGTTCACATCGACTTACACTGAACGCTGTCAGCGGACGAATGACGACCGAGCACACGCTTCATCAATGCACAGATCATTATCTTTTGAGTAGGTACAAGGATCGCAGTCATGCCTACTTGACCGCAAGTCGTCAATGGCCCCGTTTCCACCCGGAGCTCGAGATCCTCCCAACGCCACCCGATGCACCAAACGCCACGCAGTAAGCAAGTTGACAAACAAATCGACAAGCAGACAATGAATGATCAGAAAGATTCGTAGTGAGGACGAGCCACCTACGCGGCGCCCATCTCAATGTGCTTTCCTTTGACGCTCTTCCACTCCACCAGGACCGCACCCGTAATCGCCGCAGCCGCAGTCGCCGCGCTCACGAGGAAGCAGTTGGACAAGGCGCTGTTGAAAGCATGCACCACGCCATCGAGATACTCGGCCGCAATGATGTCCCGGATCTTGGTCGCTCCCGCATCCAGAACGACGCCTGGATCCACCTGTGGCGCATACTCCATCACAAAGGCCGTGAGCCTGTTCGAAAAGACCGTCTGCCCTGCCGTCACAAAGAGCGCGCCGCCGAGTGACTGAGCGAAGATGATGATGGCCGTACCGGTGGGCACGTCGGCAATGTCGAGCACCACTTGCACAGCCGTGAGAGGCTGCTGCATGCCAATCCCGACACCTGCGCCGGCGATGATCTGGAAGCCGATCCAGGCGGCAGCGGACGACTCCTTGTTCAGTGTAGACATCAGGCCGTACCCAATTGGCATAAGGATGGCAGCGCCGATGATGAATGGCGTATAGTATCCCCAGGACGTGACAATGATGCCAGATCCGACGGTGAAAAGCACCACGCTGAGCAGCATGGGAATGTTCATGACGCCTGATGACACGGCCGAGGCGCCCTTGACCGCCTGAAACCAGATGGGTAAGAAGTACATACTCAGCAGAAAGCACGCGCCGATGAAGAATTCAAATATGGCCGACGACCACACCGTCCTCTTTTTGATGATTCGCGGCGGCACGGTGGCATTCTCCTGCATCTTGTACTGCACGTAGAGGAACACGAGCACGAGGACGACGCACAGCATGAGCAGCGACGTGACGCGCGAATTGTCCCACGCGTACGTGTGTCCTCCCCAGTGCAGGGCGAGCAGCAAGCAGATGATGGCGGGCATGAAACAGATGGTGCCGATGGGATCGAGCTGCCAGAGGATCTGCTTCCAGGTGCGAGGTTCCTTTTTGCGCTGGGGGTCGTGGAAGAACACTGAGATGACTGCGACCGATACGGCACCGACGGGCAAGTTGATGTAGAAGCACCAGCGCCAGGATAGCCGGTCGGTGAAGACGCCGCCCAGGAGGGGCCCGGCGACCGACGAGATACCCCACATGCTCCCGATGAGACCGCTGTAGAGGGGTCGCTTTTCGAGAGGCACAGTGTAGGCGAGGATGGTGAGGGCGCCAGCAAAGATGCCCGCGGATCCGACTCCTGCGACAGCTCGCCCGATGATGAGTGTCATGCTGTTTGGTGCCAGGGCACAGATTAGGCTGCCTCCTTCGAAAAGGCCAATGACAGACAAGAATACCCATTTGATGCTCCAAAAGGTATAAAACTTGCCAAAGAAGAGTTGGAACGATGATCCCGTGAGCATGTAAGCCGATCCATACCATCCCACGTCGTTGAGGCTGTGGAACTCGTCGGTGATGCGCGGAATGGCCGTAGCAATGATGGAGTTGTCTACGAAACTTGGGTGAGCAAGATGCATGCTTCATGGGCAAATGACGACATACCGAGGGCCATGAGAAACACGGAAAAGCAGAGCGCCGTGATGATGAGCGCCAGCTTGAGGCCCGTGGCGTACTCTTGCCCGTCCTCACGCTTGCCTGGCTGGTTGGCAATGTCGCCGCTGTCGCCGTTGACGAGCCCCAGCATCTCTTTGCTCTCCGTCGTCAGGGAAGGTGGCTCGCCGGGACGGACCGCATCGTATGGTACCGTGCCCAGTATTATGCTGGTGCGTATCTGGCTGTTCCTCATGCTGTTTCGCACGCTGGACCTGGCGGCGGCGCGCTCAGGGAACTTGAGGCTCGCAATGGTGCTGGGCGTGGCCGTCGTCGTGGGAGCCTGGGACTCGTCATCGGACAGCCAGTGCTTGATGCTGTGGGCCATGTAGTGCGTCTCGCGGTCGTCCAAGAAGTAGCGCGACGACATGGCCATGGAGGTGGCGAGCGAATCCTTGGGCAGGTGCACGCTGAGACGGGCCAGCTCTGCCTCGGTCAGGGCCCTTCTCTTGGAGGGATCCATGGCAGCGGGCTCAGAGTGGTTGTTGGTCTCCGGCATCGAAATGATATGCAAGATTCCGGCCTGGCAGATCCATCACACGGTGCCATGTGGTCGTGTCCCGACACTGCGGTTATATATATGAGGCGGCACTGGGGGACTCGCACCAGCCGGCTGGGCTACGTCAGCCTCCGAGTCGAGATGGTGCGGGTCCGGAGGACGTCGTCGGTGGGCTTCCGCCGCGACAAGGTGACGAGCTGCGAACGAGCGAGTCCGAGCCATGGCCTGCAGGGATGGCGACTGCCAACGGCCATGTGGCAAGCGCATCGAACTCGGCAGGGATCGCAGTGGACGGGGCAAGGTGGGCTGTCCTAGGGCCGGATGCGGGAGTCCAGATGGATGGCGGAGGCGAAGCCATGGGTTACACCACGAGACGCTCCTCGTTCTCGCTGCCGATCTGGGAGCGAGTTGGCTCTGCAGTTGCCTGCCGGCCCGGACGCACGTGGAAGTCTTGCTGAGCATGGCCCATTGACCGGTGTCAAACCATCTCGTCCCTTGGCCCTCCGGACTTGACACTTGCTCCGCCAAGGCGGCGATGATGAATCCACCGCGCCATGGCTACGGAGCTGGCGACGCCCAGGAGCAGTCGAGCATCATCGCGCAAGCGGGCCAAGCGCGCCCACGCCGGAGTCCGTAGAGGTCGGGTTCGCTCTCAGCGACACGGGCGCGCCACATGGGAGCTGGGCCAGTCAGACGGGCGGGGACGTCCATGCATGAGGCGGGAGATGCACGGCGGATGCAAGAGAGCGCTGGCGGATGTTACCCCGTCGTCTTTCGCACCTCTCGCACCTTCGCACCTTCTGCCTCGCGTCTTCGCTCTTTCCCCGTCGCGGGGCGAGAGCTGCGCACACTGACAGCACGTGACCCGACTTACACCGTCAAGAGTCAAGAGCCCAAGAACTCAACCCCAGCAGAAACGCTTCCATGTAATCGAACACACAAAAAAAAGCTCTGAGAGCACATTCCTCAGATTCTTCGTTATTGACTGTATCACGGACGCAAAAAATTAATCGACCATTTTCTGGCGAGCCTGTCCAGCAAGCAAGTCTGCCAGCAGAGGTGCGGCAGTGTGGCACCCCTGGCTAGGCAGGCCGTCGAGCAACGGAGATGCACAAACGCCAACGCGGAGCCACTCCGGCACCAAGGCATCGCCCTTGCCAGTCCGTAATAGCTCCAATGGCCCGGCATTTGTAGCTGCGTGTTTGCGAGAGCATATCGATCCCAACGTCATTTTCCAAATCTCTTCCTCTCCGGTTGGTGACCTGATGAAGTGTGTCGACGTCACCCAAATATCGACGATTCGACACGCAGTATATCCAGATCAGGTTATGAGGCCCCATAGCTGTCCCATGAGCCCCCGATAAGAAGAACACAGTTCCAGCGTCCACAACATCTCCGATGCATCGACGGCCTCGATGCTGCCCAATGGGATCGCGACCATTCTCCCACAGCTAGGCTCGCAACTTCGCCAGGGTCAAGATTTTACAAAAGGTACCAATACACGTGTATTACCATCCTACGAAGCCCAGTGTCTGCGCTTCCTCTGCCACCTAGCCACAGGCCGGCCAGCAACCACATAAAAGTGTCCCTTTCAACGTGATGATTGATCCATGCTGGCTCCCCGACCGCCACAAAATCTGCTTGCCAGTCTAGTCCTACAAGTGCCACGGATGCAAAACGGAGTAACAGTTCAACCCCCCACGGCCTTCGTTGTGCGAATACACGCCATGCTCAACCGTCATTCTCCTTGCTGTCCCCGAACGGGGTCAGGCGCACGCTCGAGCTGCATCGCTGCCGCTCATCCTCATTTTCCATTGCGACCGCAGATGCTGGTGTAAAGTTGCGAATGCGCTTCGGACCCTCCTTCAGCGTCGTCGCGAGTGCGTTGTCGAGAGTCGCGTCGCCAGGAGCCACCTTCAAGCAGCTCACGTCTGGCCCTTGAGAAGGAGCGCAAATAGTATCAGGGCATACCCGACCTTGCGGGCTATTCGATTGCGACGACACCGTGCAAACAGGCATACCACCTCCCGCCGGGATGAACAGTTGCTGTGAGACCCGCCGCATGTCAACGTGGTCCTGTGCCGAAGCCATGGACATATCCGAAGGTGAGTGGGCCCTGGCATGGTTTCGATTCTCTTTGCGCGACTTGACCTCCATTGCAGGTTCCAAGGAAGCCTGGCCTTGTAGCTGGAAGTGCACCGGCATTGGTTGGTTGAGCAGTGAGTTGGTAAGGGAACTGGCCAGGTCCGCAGGAATCACCGAGCTGTTCGAAAGCATGGGAAAGGGCACCGCTGCATACTCACTCAGCAGTTGGCACAGCTCTTCCCTGTCGTTCCACGTACCTCCATTCTCAAAGCTTCCGAGGCCGCTCGTCGTTGGCGTATTCGTGGGTACTCGAAGATGACCAGAGCCGTCCTCCTCCCGTGCGGCAGCAAAGTCGGCTGGCACGACCGACTGTCCCGACTGATCCCCGACACTCCTAGGCGTGTAATCGGGCATGCTGATGTCGGTGCTCACCCTTCGGTTGTTCTGCCGCTGCGCTGCACCCTCGCTGTCCCACGGCGGGACACCCTGGCCGTTGGCCACCAGCCACTCGAAGTAGGCGTTCTTGTTCGACAACGGATCAACCAAGTCTCCATCTGTACGCTCCACCAGACTTGGAAAACTCGTAGCGTTCTGCGCCCCGACCCGTGCCAGAGGGTGAGGCACCGTGGCTCGCCGCGAGGGTGCCGGTACGCCACCTCGAGGCAGGCCAATCCGCCGCCGCGGGGAATGCGCGTGTGAGTCCGCATCGCCTGAGGGATACGACGGGACTGGCATCGACGACGTAAAAGGCACTCGCTGCCACAGAGAGGCGTTGGGCCACGCGATGCAAGCTGCTTCCAGCACGTCTGCGTCGACTTGTTAGGAAACAAAGCTGCGATTTACTCCGCGGCATACACACCTAGAGGAGCGTGCTGGAAGGAAAACATGACAACGTTCTTGACCCGCTCCATGGGGAGCGACAGCGAGTCTCGCGGGAACCCCTCGCTGAGGATGAGCTTGATCCGACCGACGTCATCAGCTGGGCTCCAATGGCTCTGCTGGAGCAGCTCTCGTCGGAATAGCGGGAATCGCAGTGGCTCTAGCTTTCCAGTCTTTTCGACATCTAAGAGTAATCTCAGCTCCGCCTTCTAGAAGAGGACTGCGATGTGACTGACTACAAGTGTGTGCAATGACGTGCGGCGAGCAATAATCTCGGTTCAGCGTCGTGGATCTGCTCGCGTCAGCCCTCCCATATCATACCTAGGTCCTCATGCCATACGTACGCTAGCAGCCGCCCGTCAATGTACAGTCTTGCCTCAAATTTGACGGCCTCGCTGAACTCGCTGTAGGCCCTCGTGAATTGGCTCACAACGGGCGTGGACCAGGAATGGATCGAGACCTGGAAGTTCGATCCGGCGGGGAGGCTGGGGATGAAGCAGCAGACCGTCGGAAGGCCCAAAGATCCATGGGTTTGGGCGAACTCTGCACGTCATCAGCGACAGCCAAGATCGAGACATGTGGCTGCCCACCACGTACCTGCGTCGTGCACGACATGGCAAGCCACCTTGAACTCTTTGATGGGGATCTTGCAGTCTGTCGGGAACAGCAAAATGTCCCAGTCCTGGTACCGCATAGTGACGGGGGCTGTTGGCGACTGCAGTGCGCAAATATATGGCTGCGAGTCCCAACGTTGGAGTAGCAATCGTTGTGGTGTTGATCATTCAAGCACCGTGTCTTGACATGAGTGCGTCCTTAGGTGACTGGCGAAGGATCGTCCCAGGTTCTGTGGTTCGTTGCCGTCCGCCGAAACTAAGTGAAGCGATCTGGTCAGGGGCATTCATGCCGACAACGCACAGCAGGAGAGAGCGGTCTGCCTTCGGGCCGAGTATCTTGGGACGACGAAGACGCGAGGATAGGTACAGAAGTTGCGGCTTGTGGAGATACCGACCGCAATGCTCGACAGGTCAGGTCAGGGTTGCCCCAGGACTGGTTCCGGACGAACCGCAGGCAAGTCGTACCATCGAGAAATCTAGGGAGCTCCTCAGGTCAAGAAGGTGGTCAGGTTATTCCAGGGAGAGATTGACCGGGCTTCGCGGCTGGGACCTTGAGCAAACGACGAAGCTAGCCCCGAGATTAAGCAATCGTCCGTCATAGAGCGGGGGCTTTTAGAGACGCTCCTTCCGGGTGTCAAGGAGATTGGTAGAGCCAAACAAGAAAACTTAGGCGACAGCCAGCAAGTGCAGGCGCTGCCATGGCACGTCAATGGCCACCAGCCGCAGACGTCGACATCACAGAGCAAAGTCGGTGACAAGAATCAAGTCGGTCAAGAAGGTAAGAACAGAGGAAATTGCAAGCATAGGTAGGTAGTACACAGGCACATCATGGCCTCGTCAGCCGCCCTAGACCGCACCTGCTCATCAGGTTGAACCATGGCCCGCAGCACACTTTGTTGAGTATTGCTGTATTCCGCATCTAATTTATGTACAAACGCCGTCCGTCGATCAAGGGTCCTCGTCTCCGGCCATTCGCGCCTGCAGAAAGGGTCAGCATGTACAGTTCGCCGTGCAGGCGTGAAGAGCAGACCACCTACCCTTACGGCCCCAGGACCACCCAGCTCCCGCTCCAGTCCTCCCTCGAACTCTCTCGGGTACGAGGGCTTGTCAGGGTAGTTCATGTACACGACGCTAGAGACACCCAGGAAGACGGCGATGAAAGTGCCGACCATGATGAGGCCCGGGCCCGTGGTCGTCCAGGTGTACTCCCACGGGGAGAAGATTCCGAGGACGTCGTTGTCTTCGTGAACAGGTTCACCAAAGTTGCGTCGCTCTTGCGGGTCCCACCAGGTGGCATAGGGGTCGCGGAATTGGCGCTTGATGCGAGGGGGGTTGATGTAGCCGCCGTTCTGTACTCGCGGTGTCAGTACCCATCCATCCTTCACCCGACTCCGACCATGCAATTGCCACTGACCATGCCGGGGTCTTCCGCCTCGCTGAGCACCGGACGGTCGGGGTACTTCTCATCGAGAGTCTTCTTGTCGGTGTAGGATGCCGGCGTGAAGGCCCGTCGCTGGGCGACCGGCAGGCGTCGTGCGGCAGCGAGCCCGGTGCGCAGGGCCGACGCCCGCGCAATTCGTTGAGGGAGCATCTGCGAGGCAATTGTCAGTGACCGGGCCCGCACGTGGTCGCGCGAGGCGGCAGCTCTGCGAAGCCGACTTACCGGGGGCGGTTCGCGATGTGTGGCGCCCAATTGCTCGGTGACGATGGCAGCCTTTTTGAGTCGAGCCGGGCCTTGCTGCGATGAGGTTGTGGTGATGGCGGCTTCCGGCACTAAGAAAATGGGTGCCTGAGGCGTCCACTGCAAAACACGCCTCTCCCCTCCAAGGCCGCCCACCCCAGCCCGAAGCTCCAGCAGCAGGCGCGACTCGAGAGCAAAAGCAAGGTACGTACCTCTGCTCCTCCGCGTAACGCCCCCCCATGTCACCTGCTCCCTTTCCATCAATTTCTCTCCGTCTCAAAAGTTTTGCTGACGACACGGATTTCTTGCACAAAAACCGCCGCCGGCCACGCCACGGGCCTCTGATCATGTGCAGATTTTGTATGAATATTTGCTGAAGCGCTACGATTCCATAGACCCTAATTTCTGCCCTGCCAATGTTCGCCCCGTCGAGATCTCGCCCTCTGCGTCTCCTGGCTCCACCTTGCTATGATGCCCGAGACCGCGTCGCCCAAGGTCCAGCCGGCCGTGGCGGACCCGGATTCCTCGAGCGACGAGCTGTCCCCGCCACCAGACGACGCGTCTATTGAGGAGCTCAAGATCGGAGATGGCGGTTTCGCGTCGCTAACGGCAGAAGACGTCGATGAAGACGCGACACCGCATACAAATGGACACGTGCCGGCAGAGCTCAACGGTCACCACGACGGCTCCGACGACGACAGCGAGCGCCCTGCGAAGCGTCGCAGGACCCGAGACTCGACACCTCCCCCGATAGTGCGGAAAATTAAAATTGAGTCGCCACCGTGGAAGAAGGTCGAGGCCGACGGGCCGACATCCTACACTGAAAACGGCCGCCGCAAGTCCGGCCGAATCAACACTCTACCCATCGAGTTCCAGCCCCCAGGAAAGAAGCGGTTGACGAGGCAGTCCATTGGGGGCAAGCCTTCTGGCACGCCAAAGAAAGACACAACACCGGCGTCGATCAAGGGGTCCAAGTCGGTGCCCGCTAAGGATAGAACGGCGAAGAAGGCAGCGTCTACACCAAAGTCCGCTTCCAAGAAGCCTGCAGCCGAACCCAGGCTCTCGAACCGGCCGCGGCGGCGTACGCCTTCCCCTCGACCTCAACCAACACGCCACTCGACCCGTCCGCGACGAGCTTCACGCCTTGCTGCCGATTCCGATACGAGCCCCGTCAACGACTCCAAATTCGGCTACTACGATGCCAGCGGTCGATCGCCCCGGTCTAGATGGCGCATCACGCCGGGCGTCATTCCTCTGGTCCACCCCGACCAGGTGCGGAAAAGGCCCAAGATCGGCACGAGCTTCGAGGATTTCTGGGCGCGCGCGGGTGACATTCCCGTCGAAGAAGGCGGTCTGCAGGCATCTGAAGATGGACCGCCATACACAGACGACGTTGCGTTCAAAGAAGCGCAAACGATCCTGCGTATCGAACACGAGGTCGAGCCGGGCGGCCTGCTCTCCAGGGAACGATGCTCCCTCTTTGCGCCCGAGAGTGAGGAGGAGCCGCCGCGGCAGTGGGCGCGTCGGGATCACATGGTCAAGGCCATGTCCAATTTCCGCAAGCTGCTCCTCGCAGAGCAACAACGCCACCGTGCGACAGCCAAGAAGCTTGCCGAGGCGTGCCGCGACGAGTGGTTGCGGCGACAGCCCAAGTCGGCCGAGCAAGTCGAAGCCGAAGAACGCGACAAGTGGATACTGAGGTACAGACTGGTCATCAAAGCGCTCTTTGGGACATGGGAAAACGTCAAGGCCCAAGTTAACCAGAGGCGGCTCGAAGAATGGGAGGCGGAGGAGCAGCGACGAGTCAAGGCGGCGCTCAACGAGGCTGTCAGCTTGTCCGAACAGAAACTCCAGGCTCGACGCGAGCTGGACTCTGGGATTCCATCCGACGAGGACGGCTTCGACGACCTCAGCGACGACATGAGCGGCAGCGGAAGCGATGGTGACGATGATCTCCTTTCGGACGAAGACGGCCACGACGACGCCGATAGCGACAACATGTCCACCTCGGACGATGACGAAGGAGATGATCTCAAGGACGTGGCGGACGAGGCACTGACGCAGGAACAGCTGCGAGCCAAATACGCGAATATCCCCGATTTGGAGCCGCCAGCGTCTGATCAAGACGACCGAACCAGCGCCGATCCCGCCGCAGCCGAAACGGACGCCGATGCCGCGCATGAGACCAGCGACGAATCCGTGGACATGGATGACGATCTTGGTTCCAGCGATATGGGCAGTGACGACGACGGCGTATCAGACGACGGCGACGAGTCGGCCGATGAGTCTGAAGGCGAGGCCGGAGGCTTGCTGGGGCTGTTCTTTGGCAAATCCGAATTGAAACAAATCAAGGATCAGGCTCCAGCAGACACGCCCATGACAAACGGAAATGACACCGACGTTGTCGACGCCGATATCAAACGGACAGACGGCGCCGAGGAGGCCCTGCCGGGCACCAACGGCGCCGTTGACGACGACGATGCCATGTCGCTCGTCCGCTTGCCAGAGTCCGTGAACGGTGACGCCTTTGAGGATGACCAAGCGGATGGGGCACTAGTCGAGGGCGCGACGGTTGAGAAGCAAACCTCTTTGGCGACAGCTGATGACCTGGCTCCCGTCCAGGACAAGGACGACGAGGATGACAAGGAGTACGTCCCGGAGCAACAGTCCAATGGCGACGCACAGCGAAATACTTCTCCTGCCGAGGATGTGTCTATGGCAGACGTCGACCAGCCAGGCGATGCTGGTGAGCAAGAAGCTCTGACCGAGAAACCCGCCAGTCCTGAGACCGAGCCGGTTACGAATCCAGCCAGCCGAGACCCCAGTCAATCACCAGCAACGTCAGAAACGAAGCCTTCCGATGTCGACGGTGCCTCAACAGCCGATCTCGCTGTTGCCAAAGTGGGAAAAAGCCGATCCCCGTCGCAACCGGCATCAGAGAGCCACAAGACTGAAGTCCCTTTTCTTCTCCGCGGCACCTTGCGCGAGTACCAGCGTGACGGCCTCGACTGGTTGGCTGGTCTATACGCCAATAGCACAAACGGTATTCTCGCAGACGAAATGGGTCTGGGGAAAACCATCCAAACTATTGCTCTGCTTGCCCACCTTGCATGCAACCACGAGGTTTGGGGCCCTCACCTCGTTGTCGTGCCCACTAGTGTGATGCTCAATTGGGAGATGGAGTTCAAGAAGTGGTGCCCCGGCTTCAAGATTCTTGCGTATTACGGCTCACAGGAGGAACGCAAACGGAAGCGCCAAGGCTGGAACAACGACGATATCTGGAACGTGTGCATCACGTCGTATCAACTGGTGCTCCAGGACCACCAGGTGTTCAAGCGGCGACGCTGGCATTACATGATTCTCGACGAAGCGCACAACATCAAAAACTTCAAGTCTCAGCGGTGGCGCACGCTCCTCGGGTTCAACACGCAAGCGCGACTCCTGCTCACAGGTACGCCTCTGCAAAACAACCTCACCGAGCTGTGGTCCCTCCTGTTCTTCTTGATGCCGTCAGAGAATGGTGTCGGCGGCTTTGCAGATCTACAGGAGTTTCAGGACTGGTTCCACAAGCCCGAGTCACAAATCTTGGAGAGCGGCAGGGAGCAGATGGACGAAGAAGCCAAAGCCATCATCTCAAAACTTCACAAGGTCCTACGCCCTTATCTGCTCCGACGTCTGAAGGCCGACGTGGAAAAACAGATGCCAGGAAAGTACGAGCATGTTGAGTTTTGTCGCTTGTCAAAACGTCAGCGAGAGCTCTACGATGGCTTTCTTTCCCGAGCCGATACCAAGCAAACACTGGCATCGGGCAATTACATGTCCATCATCAACTGCCTCATGCAGCTTCGCAAGGTCTGCAACCACCCGGATCTCTTCATCGACCGGCCCATCATGACTTCGTTCCGTATGGCCCGATCTGTCCCTACCGAATACGAGTTTACGGAGCGCACGGTGCGGCGCTCGCTGCTAGCAGCACCGCCCATGGCAAAGGTCAACCTCGGTTTCTTGAACCTGATCCCTACAGAACACGAGCAGCTGTCCAGTGCCAGAGCGGAGCGAATCGCGCAACTGAGCTCGCACCGGACGCTGATGGACCTCAGGGAGACGCAACGGGGCCGCGCCCAGAGCTCGTGCATGACCCTCGACCCGTCGACGGTAGAATCCACCATTGCCTACCTCGAGGGCGCATCTCGGTGGGGGCGTTTCGAAGAGCTCCAGCACTGCGTCTACCTCAATGCCCTCCGCCGTCAGCAGAGGCCCATCTATGGCGAAAGTCTGCTAAAGCTCGTCAACATAGAGGCACACCGACGCCCATGTCGACCGCGTCCAAAGGTGCCTCGGAAGATCATGGCTTGGTTCGAGGACGACTCGACATTCGTTCGCAACTTGATTCCAAGCCTCGACCAGCGAGCCGATAGCTTCAAGACGACAATTGAGAAGTTTTCGTGTGTGACGCCGGCCGTCGTGACGCGCGACCTCGAACAGCCAATGCTTGGCCGAAAGGGCGTTGAGGCGTTCACAGACGCTGACCTGAAGCTGTCGGCGCCCGTCCGATGGGCCCCGTTCATGCCGAAAGAGGCGCCGCCAGATCCGTGGCATGAGGCTCGCATGCGTCTTAGCATCCAGTTCCCGGACAAGCGGCTGCTCCAATACGACTGCGGCAAGCTCCAAGTGCTCGACAAGCTCCTCCGCAGACTCCAAGCAGGCGGCCATCGGGCGCTCATCTTCACGCAGATGACCAAGGTCCTGGACATATTGGAACAGTTCCTCAACATCCACGGCCACAAGTACCTACGGCTCGATGGTGCGACCAAGGTGGAGCAACGCCAGATCTTGACTGATCGATTCAACAACGACCCTCGCATCCTCTGTTTCATTCTGTCAACCAGATCTGGCGGGTTGGGCATCAACCTGACTGGCGCCGACACGGTCATCTTTTACGACCAGGACTGGAACCCAGCCATGGACAAGCAGTGTCAGGATCGTTGCCACCGAATCGGACAAACGCGCGATGTGCATATCTACCGGCTCGTCAGCGAACACACGATTGAGGCCAACATCTTGAGGAAAGCATCGCAGAAGCAGATGCTGGACGATGTCGTCATTCAGGAGGGCGAGTTTACGACCGACTACTTCAATCGCGTGTCCGTCCGGGACGTCTTGGGTGAGAAGATTGATTTCACGAGCGAGGGTGTGGCGGCCGCGGACGCCGCGCTCGACCGCGTCCTAGGCGGGCCTTCGGAGAGCAAAGACCAGCGCACCGTGGGCAGGGTTCTCGAACAAGCCGAGGACAGGGAAGATGTGGCGGCAGCGAGAATCGCCGAACGCGAGATCCAGGCAGACGATGCCGACTTTACTGAGAAGCCCAGCGGCCCCGCTTCGGGAGCATCGACGACACGGCAAGGCACCCCCGCCAAGTCGGTACTTGACGGCAGCGTTCTGGATGGCGTTGACTCGGTGCAACTGGACGAGGACGCGGAGTACAACGCCTGGGGTGACAGGGTTGGCAACATTGACGAGTACATGCTCGGAGTCATGGCGGCGGAGCTCAAGGGCACGAAGCTGGAGCTTCCCAAGGACAAGAAGAAGAGCAAGAAGAAGAAGGGCAAGGATACGCGAAAGCGATGAGAGGCATGGGGGAAGGCGTTTTTTGGTTGGGTTCCTGGCTCACCGAGGGAACCGGGCTTGTGTCGATGTGTCGATAAGGGTAGGCATTTGGGATAGTGTATTATAGTACGAAGCATGGCAGGGGGCATGAGGTTATATGCGGGGACCGTCTGCATTGTATCTACGACTGGAGTTTATGGGCGGGACGGCTAGCATGCAAAACCGGCGCAGGGTAGACGCGGACGGGAAGGCCACGGCCGGGGGACTCGGATCGCTGTCGAAGTGTTTGGGCGTGTACGTTATTGAATGGGACAGTGCGTGAGCGGCACCTCAGCCAAGCAAGATCCGTGATTGCTACCCTGGACGACGCGCAGTGGTATGATTTCGAGCAGGACTCGGACGCTCAATGCAAGGAGACGCACTGCGTTATGGTTCACCGATGAGCTGATGGTGACGACTCATGGCCAGCTCACCCGGTGCAGCCGCCGCGGGCCGCCGCCGCGATGTGTCGGGTTTATGAATCATGGCCTCGGCGCAGTGATCATCGCACGCTCCGGGCAGAGCTGCAGCTTGGGATTTCAGGGGCTGGCGACCACGTTTATGGTGAAACAGGATCGGTGCCGGGGGGTCGTGGGAAACGCGGGAAACACGGGCGGGGGAGGTCCTTGGCTGAGCTGCTCATGATTCTACTAAATGGCCGGCATGGAGAGCTCGAGACGGGATTATTGAGTGAGGGCAGCGGGCGTCGTCGCGTGCGTTGCGCGAGCTGGTGTGGATGTGTCCACTGACGGAGTTGTGTCGCGGTCTAAGGTTTGTGTGCTGTAATACGGCGTACTTCCAGGGGAGCTCGGAAACTTATCACGGGTGCCTGGCAAAGATTCCGGTGTTGAGACTGTACCTAAAATACAGCTCCTTGGGGAGCAGTTTGAATCGCACAATGCACGGTCCAGTCCCATCGAACGGTGAAGCCACAGTTCTTGCTCTGGCCAGGCAAGCTCCCATTATTGTGCTTGTTGGCCGGGAGCTAGGTGAGCTGTATACCTACAGCCCGTAGGTGCAGCATCACGTAGTACTTACCTAGCAGCAGCACCAACCCAGATCCAAGGTGCGCGGTGTGGGGTGGACTCCAGCGGCCAAGACGCCCGTCCCGTGTTCAGATGTTTAACCTTGGAAGGCCCACAGGTACCCCGGAAGTAACTCTCCTAACCCCGTGCGCGTTCAGGGGCTCGCGCCGGCAGTGACATCACCTGCAAGGCACGCCATCGCGGGTACCTGGCTGCTACCTTATCATCCTTGAGGATGGCTGCAGTGAGGTGCCCGCCTGCGGTGGGCACAGTGGGTTCAAGGATGCGCCCGGTGGCAGCGATCGACCTGGAAGACAGGCTGTTTCCCAGCGTGGCTACCTACGAGTCCAATCAGTGCCCAGCAGATGGCCTGGACGCGCCAGCCCTCTGTCACGGTCATTCAGCGAATAACCCCCACCCCCTGCGACACCTATGGAAAAGTGCCCAGGACAGGTGCAGCGGCAGCAGAATAGCAGGGCACCAGCAGCACCATCAGCGGCGACCGGACCAACCAACCAACCAAAGAGCCCCTCGACGTCGTCGGGTCCCGTCCCAGGCCATCCTCGATTCGAGGCCATCACCGACTGCTTCCCTCTTTCCCCTTCATCCTCTCGCGTCCCCCCCCGGCCACGACATACGGCTTCCACGACGGCCAATTCGGCAGCACCCGCGGCTTTTTTCTACACCGAGTACGCATCCCGAGACGCGCCTCGAGCGACAGGCGAATGGCTTGCCCTGAAGGTCCTGTTGTCACCACGCACGCCACCGGCACCGTCCGGCCCTGAAGAAGCAACGACGCGGCCGCCACATCACACCACCTCGCCCTGCCCCTCGCTCCCGGCACCGTCGGGATAGCGAGAGAGAGCCTCCTCCTCGCGCGCACATTTATCCCCGGCACAGTCCTCCTCCATTGTCCATCGCCCAGCAGCGCGCGCGCGCGACCACCAGCTCCCGGCGGACCACGCGGAGGGATGCAGCCGGCAAAGGGGAAGGCCGAGCCGCATGGACGCAAGGCAAAGGTGGGAGCAGCCACCACCACCAACAACAATGCCCTGGACACGACGAGCCTTGCTAACGCGCGCCGCCATGCCCAGCTTGCCAATTCGTACCAGCAACTGTTGGAGTGCGTACCGTCCCGTCTCTTCCTGTCTGCGTCGACGCGCAATGGCTGACCTCTCGCAGCGAGTTCTCGACCAACGAGCTCCGGTCCGTCGGCAACTATACCCTCGGTCGCTTGATTGGAAAAGGCTCCTTTGGCAAGGTGTACCTGGCCTCGCACAAGCTCACCAACGGCTCCAAGGTACGAGTCAACGGCCGTCCTCGAATCCCCCAGGGTCGTGTTCGTGTTCCCTCCGCTGACCTGCCGTCCCAGGTTGTCCTCAAGTCGGCGCACAAAGATGACTCGAACCTCGCCCGCGAGATACACCACCACCGCCAGTTTGTGCACCCGCACATTGCGCGGCTGTACGAGGTCATTGTGACCGAGTCGCTAGTCTGGCTCGTGTTGGAATATTGCTCCGGTAGGACAGCGAGGACACAGACCCCCCACCTGTGCGAGACGCGGCTGACACCTGACATCCCGCAGGCGATGAGCTTTACAACTACCTCCTCGAACACGGGCCGCTGCCCGTCAACAAGGTCCAGAAGATATTCGCACAGTTGGTCGGCGCCGTCGCCTACGTCCACATGCAGTCATGCGTCCATCGCGACCTCAAACTCGAAAACATCCTCTTCGACAAGCATGAAAATGTGAAGCTCGTCGACTTTGGCTTCACCCGCGAATATGAGGGCAGGACGAACCACCTGCAGACATTTTGTGGCACGATATGCTATGCGGCGCCCGAGATGCTGCGAGGCGAAAAGTACGCGGGCGAAAAGGTCGACGTCTGGAGCCTCGGCATCATCCTGTACGCCCTGCTCTGCGGCGAACTGCCTTTTGACGACGACGACGACAATGTGACGCGAACAAAGATTCTCTCCGAGGAGCCTCCGTACCCCGACCACCTCCCAGCCGAAGCCGTTCCTCTGCTCAAGTCCCTCCTCTCCAAGCGACCATTTCCCCGTCCGGCACTGGAAGACATTCTCGCTCACCCGTTCCTGGCCGAGTATGCGGCCCCGCAGCAGGAAATCCTCAAGATCAAGACACAGCCGCCCTTTTCGACTGCGCTGGAAAAGGACTGCCTGCAGCGGATGCGGAGTGCTGGCGTCGACATCGATGCTGTCATCGAGAGCGTCCTGGCGCAAAAATGCGATGCTTTGTCGGGCTGGTGGAAGCTCTTGCTCGAAAGAGAGGAGCGCAAAATGATCAGGCGAGAAAAACGACGAAAAGAAAAGGAGGCGGAGCGAAGCCTCCGGCGTCTATCGGCGGCATCGAGTCGACTCGAGCGCATGGCGCCCACGCTGCACGATGTGGACGAAGACGGCGGCCTGACGAGCCAGTTCATTAGGCTGGGCGAGTCCAGCGGCTCCCGAAGAGGCAGAAGCGAACGCAGGAGTGCCCACTACTATCCCGACTTCACCATCTCTGACCTCCCTCAGCTGCCCGAGGCCAACAGAGAAAGCGGAACTTCGTACGAAGACATGCCGCCGACGCCGATAGACAAAGATTCGATTCGATCCGTCTCCACGTCCCGCCATCGTCGACCGATTCCGCCTCCAAAGGAGGGCATCCTGCGCAGCGCGAGATCTAGAGGTTCTACGCTTCACCTAGTCACCACATCAGACACTGTGCTCAAGGAGCAAGACGAAGCGGGGGCGCAGAATCGGCAACAGACGAACGGGCAGAAGACGAAGAAGAAGCCGAGCGAGGCCATAATCGCCCACTGGAAGCACTGGACGCACTGGCTACTTCAGAACACTTCACGACGGCGCAAGGGACATGAGAGGCGGACGAGCCGCAGCACCCCCAACCTGCACATGAAGGAATCGAGCGCCCACAGTAGCAAGGATGCCAGCCCCCGGCCGCAGACGAGCAAGTATCCCACCACGGGCTCGCCGGCGCAGGCTACGGTGCCGCTTCCAAAGAGCGTCGTGGCCAACGGCCATGTAGTAAAGGGAGGCCCGGCGCAGGGCAGCTACGTCCACAGGGGAACGACGACGTCGCGGTCGTCATCGCTATCGACAACAGCGCACGCCCATCACCCGCGACCGCGCGTTGGCACGTCACAGTCATACAAGCGACAGTCGCTGTCACCATCGCCGTTGACTCCCCGCTCAACGATCCGCCGTTCCTCTGCGGGCCTGCGTGGTAGGAAGTCGACGTCTTCGTCCATCTCGTCGGTCCGCTCGATGCACCACCACCACCATTCCCACTCCAAAGCGTCGTCGACGAGCTCGGCAGGATCTGTATCGACCTGCAAGACACCACTTGGTCGCGGGCACTCGCCGCATCATTCCGTCAAGGTTCTTCCCGCGACACCGACGACGACGTCGTTTCCATCCAATATACGGCTTGTTCTCGGATCGCCCGCACCGCCGCCCCTGCAGCTCTACAATGAGGGCATGCCTAGCAACCAGCCGCAGCCACCGGGCTCACCCAATCCCTTTTCATCCGGCGTCCTGTTTGCCAAGCGGAAAAAGAACATCTTCAAAGGGCCGACACTGAACTTTGGCGGTGGCCTCGGCATGGCTGGCGGAAGAAGCGGATCGGCGCACTCCCGAAGCGGCAGCGGGTCTGCACGGGGGCGTCCATCTGGCGAGATCACGATACAAGAAGAGGAAGAAGACGAGAACGCCGTGGCAGAGGACCCGGACGAAGATATCGAAGAGGTGGACATGTTCAACCCTATTGTCGGCGGTCCGGGCGAAACAATCGAGGAGCAAATCATTGAAGACGAAGACGAGGAGCCGACGACAACAATCAACATCAACAGCCCGACTTTTAAACACGGCGAGGAGGCAGCGACAGCAGCGGCTGCGCCAGAGCCGAAGCCGGTGGCCTGAGTTCGCGATACCCCCATAATGACATATACACGGAGATGGCTTTCATGTGTGCAGCTTTTATTCTTCATGCCCAAACTATTGTGAGATATTGGAGGAGTGGGAGTGCAGATACCCAGCTACGCATTGTGGAGGAAGTATAGGCACGGGGCATCATTGGGTGCGTATTCGCGAGCGTGGTCGAGCGCTGGACCTTGGAACAATGCACAAGCGGCACGATGGTCGCGGCGATATAGAAGCGAAGTGTGCCCGTTTGCGATGTGTACTGGACGTCAATTGCTGGGAGTGGAAACGAGCGCGGCAGATGTAGAAATCACTCGTTGATGGGGTATAGTTATGCAGCCTAGATATCCCAGTAACTCCGATCCAAGCATACCTAATGATGCCACTCGCCTAGACTGCACACGGTACAGCTGGCGGATATTCGTCCCACACAATGTCCAAAGTCTCATCATCGTACATCCCCCCGGCGCCTCCTGGCTTCCCTCAAGGAACAAAACACGCGCCCTACTCGTCATGCTCGTGCACGCCCCTCTTTCGCTCCGCGCGGCCGGCCGCACGCAGCTTCTCGACGACGCCGGCGCGCTCCTCGCGCAGGGTGACCCAGATCCAGAACCAGGTGATCATCTCGAGGAACATGAAGGTGAAGAAGACGCGGTTCTTGAGGGCGTCGCCGCCCCAGCCGGAGGGGCGGTAGATGGAAGAGGGCGCGGACGCGGGCGAGGAGGAAGAGGTCGATGTCGAGGGCGGGACGACGCCACCGGTTGCGCCGGCGGCGGCGGCGCGGCGGCCGGCGCGGGAGAGGGAGGCGGTGCCGAAGATGGGGGACGAGGGGCCGAGGAAGTAGGAGTAGAAGACGAGGGCCATGGAGAAAAGGGAGCGGAGGGGCGCTGGTGGGAGGCGCACGGCTGGTTAGCGGAGTGGTCGCGCGCGAGATTGGGGGGGAAGCTTAAAGGGAAGATGTACGTACCTTGGGTGCCCCAGTAGTAGAGTGCGCCGAGCTCCTCGGGCATGGAGAGGGAGACGAGGTCGCTCAGGCCGAGGAGGGCGAGGACGACGGCGAGGAAGGCGAGGGCGGGGGACTGGGCGTCGAAGCCGCGGACGGCGGGCTGTTTGTTGAGAACGAGAACGTGTGAGCCTAGACGCCACGGTACGAGACGGGATAGTCGTGGGGGGAGGTGACGTACCATGCCCATGCTCTCGCCCATGACAAAGACAATGGCCTGCTCGTCGATGGTGCGCGGGTTGGTGAGGAAGAAGAAGGCGAGGGTGAGGTGGAAGAGGGAGATGGAGGTGATGATGGTCTTGGCGGCGATGAGCGGCATGGCGGGCAGATTCTGTCTCTGTCTCTGTCTATATCTCTTTTTCTCTCTCTCTGTCTCTCTCGCACTGTATATATATGATTCGTGGACGGAGGAAGTCGAACGTCGCGCGGGGAGCGAGAGCTGTCGATGGGTGGTTTCTTCGTGGTGTCGCGGGTTTGAAACGAGGGACAGCAGCCGGAATGGACGCGTGTAAATGAGACCCTGTGTGCGACGGGCGGGAGTCGGGAGGGAGGATGGCAGGTAGGAGGTGGGAGGTGGG